AAGGAGCTTATGGGATATGGAATTTGGGGCGAGGCATGACAGGCATGATATAGCTCTTTGAGCCCATCTTCAATAACCTTAAGCAAGCTTTTGCAAATGCAACGTGATAATTTGAACCAGTCATGTCTAGCTCTCCACTGCGCGCCTTGTTACAGAGGAACCTCTCAAAGTAGTCATCACTGGGGTTGAGGAAAAGAGTGTTTATGATCCCAAGGGTGTTCTCATGCGAGTTCCCCTGAAATTCTTCATTGGCTAGCTTTCGAAAGTCTATGATCTCTTTCAGAGTCATAGAAATAGAGCTGTTTCGAAGGTTGCCCTTTAGGAAATCAATTCCTTCTGTGATTGTCTTTCCTCCGGTTCTTTGCAGGTAGTTTATCTCCTGCTGGTACAAAGAGTCTTCAGGAGGAACAAGTGGCATGTGTTGTTCCCTTCCTGGCAAGTGCAATGAGAGTGCCTGGCTATCCAGTTCTACATTCATTCCACACAATTCACTGCAGGCTTTGGCCATACATTGAAAGGACCCTTCTGATTTTTGTACCAATCGGAGATGGAGCTGTTGCTCCTGTTTTATATTGAGACCTCTGGCATGTAGCTGTGATCTGGCAAATTGTAATAGACGATAATTGGTATACTGCTGATCAAAGTCCTCTATTTTGACAGTGAGAGCTTTCACAGATGAAAAATGATGCATGATAGGTGAGTCTGGTCTGGAGGTGACCAGGATGCGAAAATTCGATGGAAGGTCTTGGGCTCGTTGGGTTAGGACTGACAAAAAGTTTCCACGTGTTGAAGACTCCGGCATCTGGTCAATTCCATCGAGAACAACCACAATTGGCCCCAAGATGGCCAAGTATTGGCTTGGAGTGAGAATGAAGCTGGTAAACTGATCCATAGGACTACGGCTTGTACGAACTGCCATTGAACTTGCGGCTGCATATAATGCATGCCGAAATTTGGGATCAAGATCAGCAATATCTCGAGCAATCGTTGGAAATATTAGATGAAAGGGTATCGTGGTCTTTTCGACTGTTTCATCTGGTACACTAGAGAATATTGAGGAGCCTAGGTGGTCTAGGTGATGGTAATGTTTTGAAATCGCATGTGCAACACCAGATTTTTCAGTACCAGCAGCACCGGTGAGCAGAAAGATATTTCCCGGATTAGGTTCCGGGTTATCAATCCAGCCGATTATTTTGCTCATGATCTCCTGGCGAGTAGAAAAATGGCAGCATTTTTCAGTCTGAAAACAAGCACCAGCGGCATAAGGAAAGTTTTCAAGAACCATTTGCTCTTCTGTCAAGTTGTTCAGGCTCAATTATATAGTAGAAGACAAATTAGCCTTACTAAGTTGGACCATGTTTCTCAGAATACGTGACACCATCATCTCAGTGCTGATAGCACTATGTCCCAGTAAAGCAGCTTTGAGCTCAATGAATTTCTGTCCATACTGAACTATGGCTTGATCTGTCGGAATATAACAGTGCTTCAAGGCACGTCGTACCCCTTGAAAGTCATTAATTATATCATTTAGTATGCGGCAGTACCATAGAACTTGCGAAAACAATGCAAATTTGCTTACAAGATTTATTGCCACAGTATGCAGAAATGAAATATCCACAATCAGTTGTCTGTTGAGCTAGATGATTTATGATATTTGTACGTGAATTCATCTGAGAAAGTGGCTCAGCTTCCTTCACAAAGGCCCAGGCATCATCCATAGCCTCTGCAAGGCTGATTATGTTATTATCACGCTCCATCTGTTTCAGAACGATCTGTGGAAGCAAACAGTAAAATTTCATTGAGTTTGAAGCAAGGCAGGATAGTTTGAAGTTTTTACCTCAGATGCGACAAAAATTACATCATACGCAACTTTGGCATATGGATGAACCTAAGAATTGTGGCAAATGTCATAAAATCTGAAATCTAAGATTGAACTTACTTTTGCAATAGTTCCTGCCAAGTTTTTAAATATCTGGAGCTTCTCAAGCAAAGGACCCCATGTACTCTTGAGGCTACCCATATCATCAATGTTGCCATTGGTACATGCCATCACATCCATCAAACTATTTGGCACCATTTGTAATTGAGAAAGTCGAGATGCTTGTATTTTGGCTCTTTGGACCAAAGCACTCAAAGCTGTACAATCTTGACCAATCTCACACTCGACATTGAAATTGATAACAAGACCAGATTCGGATCCTGAGCATCCCCGTAATGGTCGAGAAAGGACTTTCTTGTTTAGAGATTGTGATACCAATGTTTCAAGATCCTCTTCGAATGATCCTATCTTCATGTTCTGCAAAATTGCATGCTTTGCATATATGCCAATGTTCAATGTGCCAGGGCCACTGATATGTCTCAAGATTAAGGCTTTCAACAAGAAGAATGAAATTTACATCAGGGATTGGCTCACAAGGTCACTTTCTCATTCCATTCAGACGCCAGAGTGTGATCAAGGCTTTTTCTTGATCTTCCATCAATACTAATAGTAGCAAAATGCTTTCTCCATTGCCAATCCTCACTCCTTGAAGATTTCCAGAAAATCCGAACAACTTGAATGCAATTATCAATTATCATCAGATCAAACGGAAGGTCTTGCTAAAACTCACTCGAAATATGCACCTGACCCTTCATCAACATCGGTTGTGGGTCGCTGTAAACTTGGATCTGGCTGTACTTCGAATACTGAACTTTATCTGGGGTGTATTGCATGGTGCTTGTAGTCGAGAGTGAAGGAAGGAAAATCACAACACGTTGGGAACACATGTTTTTGGTGCCGCTCCGCCGGGGGCCGGCAGTCTAAAAAAGTTAAGTGGTAGATCTAAAATCCTACAATAATCATTGAAGTTTGAGGACTCGTACATGCCACGCGGGTAACGCAATGGCCCACTTTCGCACTGATAAGTTTACAAAAATCCAAGAGGAGTCCACTAAAAGCAGGGAGGAAAACCGTCCGAAAACTATATCTGATATACAAGATTTATAGGACCGAAAGTGCATGGCGGATAGATTTTTGCTCAGCTGCATTGCACTCTGGCTCAATGGTGATCAATTGCTCCACTAATGGGTGCTGGGCAGACTCCCTTGAGCTAAGGTATCCGGGTGGTGCGGCATAGCAAATTGAGGCAACGAAGAGAGAAAGGAAGAGGAAGGAATATTGAATCATGACCAGTAATTGAGAGTCTCCAGCTTCTTTCATATCGTACCCGCCGATATATACGATACCTAGTCAAATAACATGGTGAATGCAGTAAAGCATATGAGAGTACATGGTAACCCAAAGCAGGAGGAAGATAGGTGGTCAGATCACTCTATGCTCTCAATGTCAGTGGAGTTATCACTCCAAACAAAAGCCAGTGCAGTGAAGGAGCAGAAGAAAATGACTGTCAAGATACAGCCTCTACATGAATCTACAGATGTACTTTATAACAAGATTCTTGCAAGTGCTTTATCAGAAGAAGAGGCACTGAAACAATACTATGGGAATTTCTATTATGCCAATGACCCAGTCACAGTATACAGATGGGTCATGTCTGGGTGGGGGAACTGATTCTGCACAAGCTGGTGCCGGAATATGTTATGGCCTGAACCCAAAGAGGAATCAAAGTGTGTGAGTACCAGGACCTGGAAAACAAATAAATAATAGGGCAGAATCATATTCAGTATATTTAGCCCTTTTTGAAATGGATCCAAACAGGGCACTGATAATATATACAGACTCAGAGTATATTATTAGGCAATGCTGCTACTGGGTTGCCCGCCACTTGGCCATGGGATGGAATATACCAAATGGTGATATACTGAAGGACATCGCACTTCTACTTAAAGAGAGAGCAGCCTCAACCAGATTTGTATGGGTCAAGGGCCACAGTGGAAACCAGAATAATGATGAGGCAGATAATCTGGCCAAGAAGGGTGCTACAATGAATTTACCAGGCAATTATAGGCCACTCAAGGAGGTACCATGGAAATGCAATACCTCTGGCCTATCACCACTAGAAGGTCAGAAGGTCTCAACTGCTCTACCCAAAGAAGTAGGGGGGGAGAGAAAAGCAGGGGTCAAAGATATGAGACAGGATGAAGTTTCACACAGAGGGAGGTCAAAAGTTGCAAAAATTCAGGAGGATAACCTGAAGAAGTTACAAAACTGCAAAAATATTGCACAGTTCTGGTCCTTATATATTAACTGGATGGATGGCAAACCAAAGGAAATGGAAGTGACCATTGAACAGCTGCTTAGGGAATTCCGGTCACGCATGCAAAGCCCAGTCATTATCCCACCAAATTTAGATGCAAAGTATTTGGCACAGTGGAAGCAATGGGAAGCAATGATACCAGATAGAAATGTGGATCCAACTCAGCAGAAATTTTTTAGTCGTGCAATACAGGAAGAGGAGATTGAGGAAGCAAAGGCACATATTGCAATGAAGAACCTAGACAGCTCTGTAGGGGTGGACCAGGTGGATTATAAGCTGATTATGAAGATTCCAAATGAGAATTGTGTAAAGTTGTTGAACTACTGTATAGAGAACAGAACAGCTCCTTCAGCATGGCTAGTTGCATTGGTAGTGGGTATACTGAAACGGGGGAAGGAGGCGGATGACCCTTCAAGCTATAGGCTGGTGGTGCTAGAGTGTTGCTTTCTGAAAATGCTCACATTAATCATAGACAGAAGGTTGAGGGAATATGCAGAGGATCAGGATCTACTGCCATCGACCCAGAATGGGTTTAGGCCTGGATACCGAACCACCAACAATCCATTTATCCCCAAGGCCATGGTTGACACAGCTAAGGCAATGGGAAAGCCATTATATGTTGCATACATGGACTGGACACATGCCTTTCCACTAACAAATAGACCAATGATGTGGATGAAGCTGAATAGGATGGGCATCAGGGGACCACTGATTGATTGGTTGCGGCTAATGTACCAAAAGTTGGCAAATGTAGTACAGGTGGCAGACTCTTTCTCTGAGGCATTTACTTCAAATATTGGAGCTTGGACGGGGGACCCAGGAACACCTATGCTATTGAATCTAGCAATTGCAGACTTCCGAGTTAGTGAGCACCCAGGGGATGTGGTATTATATGACAAAGTGGTCAATCATACAGAACAAGTAGATGATGTATTAATGACTACAATGTGCCCTATAAGCTTTCAATCCAAACTCAACCAATTTGGAGAATATTCTGCACAGACTGGATTTATTGCATCAGTTCCAAAGTGTGTTTATGCAGTGTATGGAAAGGAGGAGACAGAGGGCTTGCCATTTACACTGTATGGCAAAAGGCTGAAAAAGAGATGAAGTACATGGGGATCTGGCACCAGACAACAGGAGTGGACATGTATCAGCAGCAGTATGTCATGCCCTGACCTGTCAAGTCCATGCCTCGGTGCCCTACTACGCCGCTCGGTATTCCGAAGATCCCTCTTTATTGTAATCTCTCCTTATTGTTCTTTCTCGCTACACATACCCTTTCATTCTAGTCCCTCCTTATTGTCTTTTACTTTACCCTGCAGGTACTACTCGTATAGCTCCTAGTAGTTAGTCTGGCGCTCCGCACTGATGCGCCGCTCCATAGATATAAATACTGCCTGTACGCTACTGTAGTTCCTCAGTTTAATTATCAACTTAGATCTCCCTTCCCAACTGAGCTCTTCTCTAAATCTTCAGGCTCAACGCCTTGAAGTACGTTCTACTCAACCTTAGGACTTAGATGTTCTTTGGTTCGCTCCTCGTCACCGGCGTTGCCGCCGCTCCGACGTGGCTGCTACTTAGCTCCTCTCTCTACTCTTGATCTCCGGGGACTAACGGCGTAACGGCGGTGTTGTTAATAACTTCACTACTGTCCCACTCGTCTTCCGCACTTAGACACCTTGTGGCCCTGGCACGGTTTCACGGTGTACATGATCTTAACATGACCGCAACCAGACCAACCCCAGCACCAGCCCACACGCTTCCTTACACCTCCCCAAGACATCCCCGAGGTAGTACGCACCTCCCCAAGACAGTACCACTGGTGATACGCACCTCCCCAAGACAGTCCTGACAACCATCCCGACACGCATACGAAACTCCTAGCACCAGCCCCATTAAGTACCAATCTCGATCACCTGTCTCCCTCGATTACCTGCCTCATGTCCCCTAGACTCTGATGTTCCCTTGTTCACTTCCCATACCTATTTAAGTAGCTCCGTTGACACACCTAAATTTTGGCTAGACGTCTATGCTGTGAATTGTGACATTTTCACGTATAGATTTGTATCGAGAGGACTGTAATTGAGACCCAGATTGACAGTCAAAGTCAATACTGAATCAGTCTAATAAGTTGAAGGGACCATATACCCATACTACCACAAGTTGGTTAGTTTACCCATCCCCGATACTACCTTCGGATAGCAGTCTACCTGTTTGTCAAGCAGGATTATACCAGACTCGGACTACATCCGAAGGATGACCATTCACGTATGACATACCAAGGGTATTCTTATTGGACCTTACACTGGCAGGAGTTTGGAAGAACTTACTCAAGTGACCATGAGCCGAGGATTGACTCGAAATGACTTTCTAGAACTCAGGAATTATCAAATACTCCTTCTAGAACAAGATCATGCATTAATCTAAAAGACTGTGATTTAGTCTAATAGACCAATCAAGTTGCATGTTTGAGGAAAATGACTAGAAGAACGATCGAAGTACTGCGAGGCTCCGAAGACATATCAAATGAATGTCAAAGAGTCCTGACGTAGAAAATATTGAAGAATACAATTAAATGAATACTATGCGTAACTCCCTTGATAGAGTATAGGCACAATGGGTGTCTGTTGAAAGAGAGAAGCAATTAGTTTAATCCAGATGAATCAGATTGATAGGATTAGAATCGAGGAGAGCTGATTTGCCTCCGGACGAGGTGACAAACGATTGAAGTAAGTGTTGAACAGCAATGACAGTTGAACACCATTCGAGTCATTCTCCAAAAACAATTAAATTAAATGAATATCGAAGTACCTACCTATGTTTGGAGGTATACTAGAATCTTGGAACCAATATGGGCCAAATAAGGACATGTAGATTCAAATTAAATGGTATCTGACCGAGTGTAGAAGTTTCCTGGCGGTTCCGAACGTTTATTGTATTAAATTAATTGTACTGTGCGACTCTATATTCTGTATGTATAAATAGCGATCCGATGTATCTGGAATACAAGTGATTTTGGGACGACGTTGCAGTGCTAATCCGTAAAAAGGAAAGACACACTCCCGCCAGACTGAAACCTCTTCGCTAGCAGCCATTCGGGCCCGGCACTTGTGAGTATAGGAACGTTGTGTTCTGCTCCTTGTGACTACGAGAAGTATATCCAGTTGTTGGATATCCTTCAAACTTAGGATCAGTCGTTGGTCTTAAGGGCAAATCACGCTGTGTGGTTGTGCCAGCACATAGTTCTAGCCCTCCGTAGGGGTCTGTGTGTTTCGGTTTTAATTTACTTTGATTCAAACCCCCAATTCTTGATATACCCAAATCAATACAAACCAAAGCACAAATCGTGCTGAATCTACCTTGATCAAAGGAATATATCGAATCCTTAGAACGATTCAAATTGATTGATCAAAGCTTCTTACTTAGCTCTCAAAGCTTTGTGGAACCTTTGCCAACGCTACCCCTTGCTATTAAATAAATTTGATAGCAGTGAACTCGCATATTGTGTATTAGATTGGTTGGTTGGAGTGCCCATTAGATTCCTTCCTTTCTCTTTCACACAAAAACGAGGCAAGCTCGTTACCGTAACGTCCCCAAGCCCCAGCTTGGTATATTTTGAACACACACCCTTTACATAGGTCCAGTCCCTGTCCCTTTGTACCTGCTACCTATACGGAATTCTCTTTACTCTCTATTTCTTTATCTCTGTTTCTCTCAACTCTTGTCTATCGTCTCTGCGGTCGTCTATATGATCCAATACACGCTTTTACTCCACGTCTAAGCAATCCAAGTGAGTTCTCGAGCTCCCTTGAACAATACTAAAGCTCCCCAACGCCTACTGCCTTGGTGAGCTAACCTCCCCAAACCTCCTCAAGCTCCCTAGCTGCTCTATAAGCTTCGGGACCTCGATCTAAGTAACGTCGAACCACGTATTGCTTCTCTGTTACTACCTTCACCACTCGAGGACATCCATCCTCAAGCCCAGTCCCCGGGAACCTCCCCTCCCGGGCGTATACCTTCTCGGGAGCTTACAACCTCGAGACCCAATTCCATCTACGACCTATTCGATTCCTATATTGATGTTCTAGCGAGTACAACTCCTACTACGCGATATTACAAGGTTCCATCCTTCTACCTAACCTCCCTATGCCTTAGGGACCTCTCTGGACCTCCCAGGAACCCCCTCAAGGGTCACCATCTCTTCGCCCCAGCCACTACTAGGTCATTCCTGTCCTCGGTTGTGGTTCCCATAGCTCCCTTCGAGCTCCAGCCTGCTCCTAGCACGCTACTGTCATGCCTCGACCATTATCCACAGCCCTCTTAATGGTGACGACCAGGACAGCCCCAGTATCAGCCAAACACTCTCACCCCTCAGTACCGATCCACGCCCGTACCTCCCCAGATCCACGCCTGTACCTATCCAAGACAGCTCCTAAACCTCCCCCGACACGCGTCAAAGCCCTCCTACACCTACCCCATTAAGATACTAATCTCGATTACACGCCTCATGGCCCCTGATGTTCCCTTGATCACTTCCTGTACCTATTTAAGTAGCTCTGATACGTCCCAAAGCCCCAGCTTGGTATATTTTGAACACACACCCTTTTGCATAGGTCCAGTCCCTGTCCCTTTGTACCTGCTAACCATACGGATTTCTCTTTACTCTCTGTTTCTCTACCTCTGTTTCTCTCTACTTCTGTCTATTGTCTCTCTGATCATCTATACAATCGAATATACGCTTTCACTTCAAGTCTAAGCCTTCTGAGTGAGTCCCCGAGCTCCCTCGAACATTACTAAAGCTCCCCAACGCCTACCCGCCTTGGTGAGCTACCCTTCCCCAAACCTCCCAGAGCTCCCTAGCTACTTCGTAAGCTTCGGGACCTCGATCTAGGTAACGTCGAAGCTACCCCTCACGTCGGACTACGTATTGCTTCTCCGTTACCACCTCCCACAATCGAGGACGTCCATCCTCAAGCTCAGCCCCCAGGGACCTACCCTTCCTGACATATCCCTTCTCGGGAGCTTACACTCTCGAGACCCAGTTGCATATACGACCTACTTGATCCTATATTGACGTTCTAGCGAGTACAACTCCTATTACGCAATACTGTACGGTCCCGCACTCTTCCTTAACCTCCCTATGCCTTAGGGACCTCCCCTGGACCTCCTAGGGACCCCCTCAAGGGTCATCATCTTGTCGTTCCAGACACTACTAGGTCATTCCCGTCCTCGGTCGCGGTTCTCGTAGCTCCCTTCGAGCTCCAGCCTGCTCCTAGCACGCTACAACATAAAACTTCATATACCAAACCTACCCTAAGACCCATTTTGACCCAGGTCTTACAGCTACAACATAAACCTTCATATACCAAACCCTACCTTAAGACCTATTCTGACCCAGGTCTTACACAGTACAAGGAGAGTGCTGAGAAAGCAAAAAAGACTGCAGGAGCAGTACTACATGCAAGGGTGTTTGTAGGGAAAAATATTCCAATATGGAACTTATGGTTGCTGTACATGGGCAGGGTTGATCCCTATTTGAAAAATGGGGCAGAAGTGATAGTGGACATTTATGATGTAAGAAGAAAGCAATTAGAGAGTGTACAGCATTACTTCATAAGGAGGATGTTGGGATTAAATGATAGATCAATGGTGGCACTACTGTTCTCAGGCCTATGGCCAATTTGCTATCGAAGAATTATTTTGTTCTTGAAGAATCTGAAGTATCTAGTGCTGTTGAAGAGGGACCACTTCGCATGGAAGGCATGCAGACAAGCATATGAACTGGCAGAGCAGGGAAAGAACTCAGTCTTTATGGAAATGGTACAAGTGTTAGACAGACTACCTCACAGGGTGATCTGGAATATACCAGAATTCAAGGACTTGACTGTGCAACATATTGATGGGGTAATGGATAGAGTAAAGAAATCAATGGAGAAAGATATTCAAGAAAAGGTGGACACATCAAACAAAACAAGGGATGTGCTGAGGGACAGAAGAGAGTATGACAAGAAGACAAAGAAAATGGTTGTAAGGACCCTGGCCTTTAGACACTACTTGAGGATACCAATAAGTGAACATAGAAGATCCTTGATTGACATGGTGACAAGCAACCACAAATTGGCAGTGGAGAGACTAAGGTGGGCAGAGAGGAATAAACCAATGGTGCAGCATGATAGAAGATTGTGTAGGATGTGTAGGGAAAAAGTGGAAGATGGGGCACATGTTTTGTTTGAATGCAGCAACAGCTGCGAGGTCTTACAGCTGAGGAAAGCCTTTATGCAAAGGGTGATAAAGGAGATACCCCATTTTGCACGGCACTATAGGGATGGATGGGAGCTCTTTAGGGAGTTACTGGCAGATAAGAGGGTTGTGGGGTTGCTGGCAAAGTATGTGCATGAGGTGTTGGAAGTATTCTATGCAGTTGAAATATATCGGCTGGAGTGACACACTGCATGCATATTGAGGCAGGGAAGACCGTGTAATTCATGATACCATGGGAGGGGTTTTTTTCTGCTTTTCCCCTCAATAACCAGGACATGGATGATCATAATCGCCCCCCTGTATTAGATATGTGTGTTCCATTATTGTACAACATTATGTAATATTGTACAATACATGGTAAACTGGTTGTTCGGGAATCGGACCTCGCCAGTATAATTCATATCCTATCCTATCCTATCCCACAGATAACTATGCGGCTGCGTCTGCAAGGCAATACTCCTTAAAAGACCCAAGAACATTTCAAGTTGAAGGAACGGATATACATTTTACACAAAAGACACAAGTATCAAGTACCAGTCAAAAGTTCTACTTAGATTCTGTACCATTTCAGTTCAGCTCGCTTCTCCGCAGGAAAATTGATAGCTTCCATTGCTGCTTCGATGATTTTTTCCTTGTGTTCCTCGTATAAACTCATTCCTTTACTTGGGCTGTTCCGTGCAATGCGAATGATGACATACTTCATGAAGTCTTCGCCTGGGGGAGCACCATTCTTGGGACAATTGATTACTCGTGGTGAACGTATATGCCTGTATTCAAAGTAAAGTCAGGAGCAGGGCCGCAAGTTTATACAATGTGTAGATAACGCACTGAGGATGTCTTCGAAAAATACTGGCAGGTGCATTTTCCGTTATCTTGATCCAGTTTGGAGTTAGAACACCCCGGTTAAAATAACCAAAGGGGTCCCTCTGATAATCGTCTCCACCTCTACCAAAGTGATCCATCGCATCACCCCAAGACATAACCCAACCCAGAAGATATCTTGGGGTCGGGATATTTTCAACAGGCATAGTGGATATAAGAGGCGGAGAATTTAGCTCCAAAACAGGAGGAAATAATTCATCAAACCTGTCAAATCATCAATGGAGGAGGCCCTAAGACATAATGCCAGAAGGATAATCACTTGGTTCGAGCGCTCGACATGGTCATTCAGGGTTCAAGATGGAGTGTTCAGAATACCCCGAAGATTGATATTTAAACAACTATACCACGTGGAAAATATACAAGCCTGAACGTAATTGAAAAAAACAAAAAACACCAAGTGGGGCTTAATTAGTAATGAACAGTACAAGCACATAGTGTTGCCGCCGATTGAGTCGGATCGAAACTCGAGTCCTCGCTTAGAAAACTCGAGTTGAACGCAGATGCAACCCGAGTTCCCACATGAGGACGGTTTTTAATATGGTATATAGCCTTAGCTTCAGTGAAACAAAATTTCACAGATATTACTGTAGTGCGGCCACTTTGTAAGGTACTTTACATGACTCTACAATGATATGTGAAACTTCTGTGACATTTCCACTAATCAATAAGTTACAGAGAACCTCAACATTGACATCAACCACACTCATGGACTGCATTCTGCAGGTTCCATCTGTGTTCTACTCAGCCATTTTGGAGTCTATAGCCACCCAACTCTTTGTAAAGGGGCCATTAGCATTTGCCGTAACCATGCACAGAGTTTTGCGCGGAATATATGTGCCATAACTTGCGCAGAACTTGCACGGATCACTTACCCAACACAGTATAACTTCTTTTGAAGAGTTTACTGATATTGAGTCCTAGTATCATGAATTGTATGCAATGCCAACTCTAGAAGCATTTTACTTTTACCTACTTTACTCTTACCATCTTATACATGAGCAAGCCATTTTGCGTAGTCTCAGTAATGGGAGAACAGTGATTGTTTAGGTATGTTGCAGTAATCCTTCCAATGTTTCAATTATTTATCAATGACAACAAATGCTTGATCCTCAGTTATTAGACATAATGGGCATTGGGCAATGACTTTACTGTAATCTAAGTAGAAGATGTACAGTACGGTAAACTGGTCATTCAGAAATCAGATTTAGCCAGTATAATTTGACTATCCTATCCTAAAACCTTGTTTGATCCTCAAACAGCAACGAAAACAATGCCTCGGTTGAATATCCGGTTGAGATGTTTACAAAAAATCCAAGAGCTCCACTAAAAGCAGGGAGGAAAACTATCTGATATACAACAATTAAAACTATGAAAGGCATGGCCGAAGTTACACAAATCTATACCATCTCAGCTCAGCTCGCTTTTCTGGAGGAAATTCGATGCTCTCCATTGCAGCTTGAATTAATGCCGCACTATTTTCCTCGAACAATCGCATTCCTTCAACTCGAGTGTTGCGCGCGACAACAATTATAATGTACGTTCGGGTGTCATCTGGGGGAATCCGACCACTGGACTCAAGCCACTTCGTTGTTCGAGGCGGACGCAGAAACCTAGTCGGATAAGCCATAATTCTGATCTCAAATGAGTCGTATGACTCACTGAGGATGTTCTTGGAGCACACGAGAATTTGCTGTAACTTTATGCCATTTAGGAGACAGAACACCACGGTTTAAATAACCCAGTAGATCCGCGCGAAAATTCTCCTCGTCAGTACCGAATCGTTCCGCTGCGACGACTAAGGGCATCACCCAGCCGAGAAAGTATTAGGGTGTACGATGGCCTTCAACCAACATGTTAGCAACGGGAGGATGTGGGTAAAGGTCTAATGTTGGTGGAAATAGCTCGTGAAACCTGAAGAGTACATCAACTGACAAACTAATTCATGATCTCGATACCGAGATGAGGATTCACCTATTTGCAGAGGTCGACATGGTGGTAGGTCTATAAGTTTAGTCGCCAAAAGGAGAGTCACGTGGTTTTCTTTCATTTGTTTCGCGTTGAACGTTGAATATTGAAGGACCAAGTATAGTGGTGGTTTAGGGAAGGAAGTAGCGTGGTTCATTTCCTTCCAACTCCCTCCTCCTTTCTTGAAACACGCGTTCAATCTCGATATTGGGTCTTTATTTAATTCATAGCTGAGAAGATGGGGTTACCGCGATCCTCCGCGATCATTTCTGATTGGTTTTGTGACCCACATCTTTCTACGCAAGTCTCTGGCAGGTAACTTATCAATCCACGAAACGGACCCACTCCGTAATTTAGCTTGGTCGAAAACTGTCGAAGGAAATTGAGTGGAGATGTTGGTCGCCCTCTCACCTGCTGTAGCCTGCTGTGAAAATGTACGGGCTGTACAGGCGGTCCATTATGTGTAAACTATATTAAATATTAATCTGTATCATTTGATTCGCCCACACCACGTTTCTGTGGGTTCTTATCTAACTACCAGGGCTCAGCTGCTGGCAGGCCGTTCGAACGTCCGCGAAGCCCAAAATGCTCTCTGTACGGTCGTCCAAGAAATCCGACGCGTCAAGGCCCAAGTCTGGCGCTCTGGTCTCTCTTACGGGTGCAACCCGTGGTATCCGTCGTACATCGCCCATTATCGACGTCAATCTCAACTCTTACTCACGCACTGATCCTTTTCAGGCCTTCAATGTCCTGTTGAAGCTCCTTTCTTCTCTCTCTTCACGCGTCGGTGGTTGTCAATACCGCCTCACGCCTCAAGAACATAGATTGTCACTACACCTGCTTAACATCGTCGAGCCTTTCGTCGGGTCTACACCCTCGAAACGAACTCTTATCACTCATCAACCTACGGAAATCCTCGACGCGATTGTTTTCCATGTCTCGTCACGCGCGGATTTGCTCAATCTCGCGATGACTTGCTCCAGGATGCATGGTGTGGTTATTCCTAGGCATTTTGATTATCGAGTCGTCAAGTGTAAAGTGAGCAGTGTTAGTGTGTGGAATCACTTGAGCGTACATCGGTCTTTGGCGATGAACGTCAGGCAGTTGGAGGTTTTAGATGAGCGTGCTGTATCGGGGCCGGGGACTGCTATCGGTCACGGTACACTCTCATCGTCGTTGTCTAACCAGTCTCGAGAGATGGTCCCGGGTGGAATATCATCTACCGAGACGGATTTGGAAGATACCGACGATGAATTGGCCATGCATATAAAGCAAGAGCAGTATTTACTCGATGCTTTGAGCAAGATGGCCCATCTCGAGTCGTTCATTTGGAGTTGTAATCATTCACCGATCTCGATTGACACATTCTGGCCAATACTTCTCAAAGTACATGCGTTGAAAGAAGTGGAGATTAACGATAATATGGTATTTGCGCCTATGGTCGTCGCAGACGAAGAGGGTGAGGATGAGGATGTGCCAGCAAGCGATGCTCGAAACGCGGTGGTGAGTCCAACCCTCGTTGATATAATGGTACTGATATTGATTTCAACGCGTCCTTTCCAGGCGCGCCAACTCAAAGCGGTCACACTTCAATCAACTCGACACGCGTATGGTTCAACAAAGCATCCAGATTTCACTCGTGTCAAAGGGATGCTCAACAGTTGTCCGAATCTCGTGGTATGTTCTCCCTAATCCCGTTTAGACGTACCTGTTAAATCCATTATGCGTCTTAGTCCCTTAACATTTCCTACATCCACCCGCGTTCTTCCTCATCTCAAACCCTCCTCTCAGCCGACGACCTGTTCTTATTTGGTCGTTGGCCTTCTCTCACCTCTCTGACACTTGCTAATCTCCGCTTTTCTTCCTCCTCCGTCAATCTTTCTGCCGCCAGCACCTTCCTCTTCGCACATTCCAACATCGAGGTCCTCCACCTCGACATCAGTTCTACCCTCAGTTCATCCACTTTCCACAAACAAATTGTGTTTTTATCGAACTCCCTCCCACGTCTTCGTGAACTCAGAGCACATCGGGATGTAGTCAGCACAATTCTCGCGTGCCCGAATGAAACCGGACCAAGACCTCTCGAAATGATCAAAGGCGTTAAATTGTCGTCTTCGGAAATGAAAAACCCTCTATTCTTCGTTAATCTCCGTCGTTTTGGGAGCCATGTGAGAAGGGTCGAGTTGGAGAGTTGGAATGAGATGGATGATATTAGGAAGTTGATTGATTCTGTCCCAAAGCTGACTTGGTTGGATTTGGGGATCAAGGGGTACGGACATGGGAGATCCGGTGGTGGCGGTGGTTCTTATGTACCCACCGTCAATGTCAACGAATGGGCTACACTTCTCTCTTCAGCTCCGGAACTCACAACGTTCCATGGTATCAAATTCTTCTACGAAATATCTCTGCAGGCCCAGGCATCTCTCGCGTCGTCTTACGAATCACTATCCAATGGATCTTCTTCCTCCCCTGCTTCTTCCTCATCTTCTTCCTCGATTGGGTCGAGTACCGACCGCAGCCGAATCCGCAAGAACGACGAAACGGCTAGTCTGTTGGCATGGAAATGTCCTAAACTGAGGAGGGTGGACCACTGGGATTCGGATAATGGAGGAGGTTCGGGAGGGAAGGTTATCGTTATTATGAATAATTCAAAAGATGTTGTGAAAGATTTGAGAAACGGAGAAGGGAAAGAAGGGAGGGATAGAGAGAAGGAGAAGGATAAAACGGGACCGCGGTGGGAGATTCGGAGAGTCAAGCAGTAGGAAACAAAACGATGGTGAGGGAGGGGAGGGAGGTAGAATTAATCAAGAGGAGATGAGCCGAGTGAAAGCCATATTTGGACATGGATCATCTCCTATCCTATGAATAATCGTTTCATCTGCTATGCTTTTTCTTTCTCATGAACGTCCCTCAGTTGTAAGTCCGCCTCTGGAACTCCAGTAGCATGTTGAAGGGGCTAAATATCATTGTTGGCAGCTCAGAGCGCGAATTGGGTTTAGCGCGTACGAAGCGATATAATCGACTTTCAATTCATTTTTGTAGCTTCTACACTTGTCATTGTCAAAAAGTGTTTACGGGAAAACACCGTGCCTCCGTTTGTATTTCTGAGTTATGATTTATTCGAACCTATCATGATGTTCACAAGTTCGGATCAATATGAAAGTAGTTTCCTACCAAGGACCTGAGGATAGGATAAAATCGCGCAGTGCGTGTATTTTCATGAAGAGAAAAAAGTATGAGAGCAACTTGGAAACTCACTGTTAGGCATGAAAAAATTATTCGTCTCATCGCTTATTCCCACACGACGTATCTCGTCCAAAGAATCCGAAAGCATCTGTTGTGCAGTAATTTTTCCTCCAGCTACTTCAATCAGCTTGGACCACATGAATGATTCGATCTGTCGGAGATTCTTCGGTCGGTTGGGGCCTAATTCGTAGGCTACCTGGTTCACAGAAAAATAAAAGTGAAATAAGTTTTGTTCAAGTTAATAGAGGGGTTCAAGATTCAAATTGAAATTATAGTGTTTTGGGAGATGGGATTGGTGAAGGGATGGGACGGTGAAATGTTGGTAGATCGTAACGGCAGTGAAACAGAGCACAACCCCAACAAAAATGAAAAATGAGAATGAATAAATAAATTACTTACCTCTATAAGATGTTCATAGCTAGTATTCACTTCTGTGAGAGTAACACTCACTAAGAGGATGAGTATCGAGATGGCGATGGCGGCATGAAGTGGAAACTGGAAATTCGAGGCGGAATATTCAAAGTATACATCATCTCCATCCAGAGGCCCGTCGATGAGTCCGCATTCTTTCTTGAATTCGGTATAGGTTTGCGGGAAAATCAGAACGCCCTGCCAGTGGTAATGATAATGAATTAGCTTATGTAGATCCGAGGACGCCTCGACGAAGTTATGGAGAAGGTACTATTCAGGTGAATTACAATTTACCTTTTTGATTAAAGAAAGGTATAAAGCAGCACGCGAGATGTTTTCCATGATGTACAGCGCGCCAATATCGTTCAATAGACGACCAACAGGGAGATCTGTCGAACGCTCATAGTCGAATCCACGATTTGCGACGTCTAAAGCACGACTTGCATGTGTGACGACAGACGAGAGGTTAATCTTGGAATCATGGCATGCGAATCTATCGTACTAACACAGCCAGTTCAGTTCACCATTCCATCATCCTGACGCCTACTTACGATATCTCGTAGACCTTCAGGAACATCAAGTGGTTTGCTTGTAGTATTCGCGGTATGTTTAGTGCCATTAAATGGGAGAATCCGGTGGTCCTCATAGTAGATTATCGCAAACAGCCGTGAATTTAATACCAACGAGCCAAAATAGGTCCAGTCAGTTTCATTTGGTGGTGGTTTTTGGAGCATATTCGTTCGTTCTTCGATAGCTTTGGTTAGAGCGATGGAAAAAGGCTAGAATTCATTGAGGAAATGGGAAGTATTTCAGAGATTTGAAGTACGCATTCAAAATGGGAAATACAAAGAAAATACCTCAAGTTCTGGGTGCTCAGAGGATCTGTTCAGGAGCTCCAACTGTTCTGTGGTGAAAGAGTACAAGATCTCCACCGAAAAGAAAGAGGAGTCTTCGGAGTTCGGCATGAATGGTTGATATGAAGGGAACTTGAGGCTACTCCGGCTGGGTGATTTGTTAGAAGCGAAAGAAATTGTAGCATTTTTATAATCTCTGGAGCCATGATACCAGCGTGAGCCTGGAAGTATAACGATGAGCTCAACCAAAGAGTCTTGCGGGGATTGTACAATGTATTTCGTCGTTGTATGGTGCAACATTCACCCGCTCGGTTCACCTTTCACCCGTGAGCTATAGATAAGCCTATTCATTACGTCATATCATTCTGTTCATTCAACGGTTGTCAAACGCTTTTTTTTCATGGCGAAAACGAAAACGGTCAATGGAGTGAAAATATCCGTCAAAGCAGCAAAGAAAGCAAAAGCAGCACAAAAACTTGAACGACAAGAAAAGAAAAAGAACAACAACAACAAAGCAGGTGCCAAAGGGAAAGGAAAAGGAAAAGATGGAGACGATGAGGATGATTTGGAGAGCATACTTGAGCAGGTGTGTAGATACCATAGTAAAAACAATTCATGAAATATGGATGTATTGGATCCATTGAAATATCCAATAGATTAACTGGAAGATTAAATTTAAATTTAGTAGATGCGACAAGAATGGGAAGCGGCACATTCTGTTACAGAGGAATTAGTTGAAGGGCCTCCGAGTCGGAGAGCTAACGCTACATTGACGGCGTGTCCTACTGGAAATCATTTATGGTTCATTGGAGGGGAATTTTTCAGTGAAGATGGCAAAGCGGTATGTGAAACTGTAACTGTTCTGTATGCCTTTTTGAATTTTACTTGCGATTAGTATTTTGTAGGTCTCCGATCTAGTTCGATTTGGCTACGATAATGGTTCATGAAGAGTTCTTGTTATAGTATAACGATGTGTTTCGGTACTCGCCAGAGAAGGTGAGAAACAACGAAACTTTAACTTCAACTTTATCCGTACTGCGCACTCATTGATTCTACTTTTACCACCGCCACCATCTCTGTCCCGTCTTCGCGGCAATCACCGGTCACCTCTTACCTTCACCACGACCGCCCTCACTCCCTCAGGACGAATGGCGAAAATTCGTATCACCTACTTGCCCAGGTCCCCGGTCAGCACACGCCGTCGCGGTAACAGCAGCTGGAGGAGGGAAATTATTCTTGTTCGGTGTGTTCTGAATTCTTTCTCGTTAATCCCTGCTAACATTGCTTTCTCACTCATTAGGTGGTGAATTCTCCTCTCAAAACCAAACGACGTTCTACCACTACCGCGATTTTTGGTGTTTCGATATCTCTACGCATTCTTGGGACCGAATCGAAACGAAAATTAGACCGACGGCAAGGTCTGGACATCGAATGGCGGTTTGGAAACATTATATCGTTCTTTTTGGTGGCTTTTTCGATCCAGGCATCACAAGTGCGCTTATTCAAGTGTTCTGACTTTGAAGTTGTACTAATTTGAAGTTGTTACTTCCAGCACGATACCTCAATGACCTTTGGCTATTTGATACGCAAGAATACAATTGGCGGCTGATAGAATACAAGCCGAACGAAAGTCGTCCTTCGTACGTCGTCACTTGGCTGATCCGAGAGGTCCCTAATAACATGATGCTAGTCCTCGTAGTGGGTTCTCCTTCATAGCAACTTCCGAAGGAGTCATCCTTCACGGTAACGTCCACACCCTCAGTATCATGGCAAATCCAATCTTACTCCTCTTTATCCTTTCAGGCGGATACTGCAAAGAATACTCGAAAGGCAAACGCCCTGTCGGTATCATGCTCGAAGACACCTGGGTCCTCAAAATGTCTCTTCCAGATCCGAGTGCCCAAAATGCCAACCCCTCCTCATCCTCTTCACCCAGTATTCCTGCTGCATCAACAAGCAAGAAAAAACTCCTTGCCTTAAATTATCCCACCGTTAAATGGGAACGACGGAAACGTCCTTCGACGGCCTATGCTCCGGCCTTACGGTCGGGATGTACGATGACGGCGTGGACAGCGAAGGAAATGGGCGTAATGTTCGGTGGTGTGACGGATGAGGATACGAATGAGGAGACGTTGGAGAGTGTATTTTGGAATGATTTGTATGTTATCTATCGTCTCTTCTTCTTTAGTTTCAGTGAGATTAATGATGTCGACGATGCCGTGTAGGAACGCATACCAATGGACCGGAAAAGGCCGATGGTTATCTTTGACGTTGAGGAAGCCAAAGAAAAAGGCCGGTGCTGGAAGGAAAAAGCAAGGTCTTCAACCTCCCCCTCAGCGTGGCGATGAGAGTGACGACGAACACGAAGTGAGTTTCTTCCTCCGCATGTACTCTTACTCGACTTGCGCTCACCGTTCCTGTTTTCTCTACCTAGGATTTCAAAACATCTGCCATCAAAGCAACACCCCAAGCACCTTCAACCGTTACCACAAAGCGACTTATCGGAGACGACATTGATCCGGATGACCCGATACTCACCACCCCACTACCTCGATATAACGCAATGCTTGCCGTGCAGAAAAATTCCTTGTACATGTAAGTCAAGCAATGCGTACATTACATGGATCGTACAACCCTTACACCACTCATAGTTATGGCGGCATATTCGAACGCGGGTCGCGTGAATACACTTTAGACGACTTTCACTCGATCCAACTTGACAAAATGGATCGGTTCGTGTGTTTGAAGGAGAGCGGGATCGTTATCGAAGAGGGAGATGATGAAAGTGACGAGGACGACGCGGATGGCGACGAAGATGAAGACGAAGAAGAAGCCGATGACGACGACGAAGAATATGGATCCGACGACGAAGGAACAATTGTTGGAAGCGTGACGACCAAAGACGAACAAGAAGAATTATACTATCGCCTCAGGGATGATGATGATGACCTAGAATCCATCGCCACCATCGAGGAAGAAGAAGAATACTTCGAAGACGAGGATGAGTTGACTACGACGAAGAAGATTCTTATTGCAAAGGTGGGTAGAACAAAGTATTCGCCCTCAGCTCCATGGTTAATCGTTATATCTAAAACCCAAGGCCGAACTCCGTTCGCAAGCTACCGCGTTCATGGGCGTATCAAAGGATAACACGAGACTGCCTGAGGATATACTCAGTACGCCTCTACCGGGAGAAACGCTGGCTATGTTTTATGCTCGGTCTCGTACGTCGTCTTTTCTGTTCGTATACCTGATTGCTCGGGTTCACTCACCACCACACTCTCCTCTCTCAATTAGGTGACTACTGGTCCCAAAAAGCTCATAGTGCCACCGGCACCGCCTCGACCGACGCTCGAGGCAAACAACTTCGTATCGCTGGGTTCAGTCTAGCTGAAGAACGATACAGTGAGTCTTCTCCCCCCTACTTCAAATTTTCCTTGCATATTATGGCCCGTTATGTTATTTTATGTTATGCTTCGTGAAGGTTCTGCTTCTCACTAACCGATTCTTATTCTTCTTTTACTGTCACTTCAACTCCCAATGTCACATAGGGGAGTACAAGCCTATCCTGCAAGAAGTGGAAAAGATGCTGTCAGAGGCTGGGCTTGATGAGGAGGAGATACGCAGGAGTGCTGCTGGTGGGGCGGATGCAGGATCGGGGAAAAGTAGGAATCGTCGGTAACAACTGTACAGTCTCCGCGTGGCATATGTACATAGCTGTCTAAATATCAATATCCCGTTCCGGGGCGAAGTACGTTGACTTCAAACATTCTGCACCATGACTAGCTCTAAATCCAGGTTATTCATCCTTCTAGTATCTTGTCTTGCCGTTTCCGTTGATAACTCAACAGAATTCCAAGCTATTTCCTCCTATTTTGGAGCTTTCCTCTCCACCACCTGTTGCCCTGTTGAGCCCCGACTATGTACAGGGTTTTCAGCCAGTATGACAGCCATTTGACTAGTCAAGATATGTGGGGCAAAAGCAGGTACAGGCTGAATTATAAGGAAGATATTCTAACACGGTCAAAGCACGAAGATGGAGTGAAAAACAAGCGTACCCAAGTTTTAGATAATCATTTGTAATGGGCAAGGGCGCTCATAATGAATATCAATATCTCAAGTCAAAATTTATTCAGCCCACTACTACCTGCTACCGCTCAGGACCTTGTCAGTCCATCGTGCAATTTTCCTCTTAGCAAAGCTCCTCTCCGGTTCCATGAACTCGAATCCGACAAGATCATGCGGAGGTTTAGCGACTTTGAGATATGTTACCTTGACACCCATATCCACCCTCATACGTTCCCAAAGAACCCTCATGGAAGCCCGACACATTTTAGCCTCCCCCGCAAGAATGAAAGTCGGGGAAAATTTGAAGAACATCCCTTTCAGTTCTACATTAGGAATGTTCAAGGAACTTGGAGATAACCATGCTGTATCGATTTCTGAGGCAGGGAGACATCCAGCAAGGGCAACCGGAGGGTACGCAGCATCAAGCTGGCTTCAAATGTAGTCTGAATTTCTGTTTGTTGCCATGCTATTCCCTGGGTCCTGCTTCAGAGTGGAGTCTGCGGGAGGTGAGGGTAATAGAGCGGCACTGGGACAAGGAAGCGACGAGATGTTGTACATTGCGGTGTACTGTACGAGCTGGTATGCGATGATAGCACTGGCTGAATCACCGCCAACGAGAATGTTTTCTGGTTCGAACCCAAGATCGAGAAAATATCGGTATTCTGCAAGGCCGTCGATCAAGGCGGCAGAAATAGGATTCCCGATTTTGAGGGGTGGGCCAGCGGCGAGACGATACTTCAATGCGAATAGCCGACTGCACATTGGGATGTATTCCAACAATCTTTTGCAGATGGCTGTAGTTACGCTGAAGGAAGGGGCTGCGCTTCCCGTCTGAAATAAGAATTGTATTGATACCCTTCTGTGTTATAATCAATTTACCAAAAAGCCTCCACCTGAGAAAAGGTTCAATGTTTTAGAGAAAGATATCCATGAATCTATTATGGCTCGCCGTGCAATATAAATCCGGCTTTTTCAGTAGGCTGAGCTCGGTGATCAACATGCCCTCGTGAATCCCTGGTTCCGTACCAGAAACCACCTTTATTTTCCGCTTCCACTGATTAACTTTTGCCAACTCTGCTATTTCCCCGAGAATCAAATCTGGTCTAGGATCGACCCATACGAATCCCATCTTCTCAGCAGACAACGCGAAAACTGAAAGAGGCGTCTCTCGAGGTAAACTGATGCCAAGATAACGCTATATGCATTGACGACCTCGATGGATACCGCACGGTCAAGAGACCAACTTTTGCAAGGTCGGAGAGAAGGGATGAGATTAGGGAGGTGGAAAAGGAGGAAAAGGTGCTGAGAATGAGGTTGAGAGATTTGAGAGGCTGTTCATGGTATGAAAAAAACATCGTCAAATGCAAGTTCAACGCTCAGTTTTTCATAAGAAGAGATGGACCAACCAGTGGCCTACTTACCATATCATCGAGTTTGACTGTTCCCATCAACTTAGACTCTGATCAGCATCAAACTCACTATATACACAACCTCCATAGCTAGTGTTATCACTGGCAATCATAGCGAGAGTATAAATGGTGGCCCGATGGTGGCCAAGCTTGGGAGGCCAAGGAGCCTGTATGTGAGATGGTACGTAGGGAATATCCACCAAGTGATCACTCTTATAGCAAGTGATAAACTCCGCAACATGGAGGCCTGTATCCGATATCGAGATGAGACACTAACAGGACATGAAGCTAGATATAGCATACCACTTTTTATCAAAGATTGCTTCAACTTCATCTGCTTTCCCTCAATTGAGGTAAGTGCTTATAATTACAATCCTGAGCATTGATTGGTCGAGAGATAAATGACCAGCATGAGCGACAATGATAAGCATAGGTAGTATTGTCGTTTGTAGAGAATTTAGACCAAGGTATGAGTTCGATGATATAGCGATCGCTCCGGTCTAGCAGCCCAGAAGCCACGTCAAGAATATCAAGCGCGTCAGTTCGAGTTCAGTGAGTGCTTCAGCTGGGAGGAGAAGATATCTACATAACGTCTTGAAAAGATTCGTTTAACCCGGGCCGGAATCGGACAATCGTCTTTGCTTTCACTCCGCTGTTCTCCCCCTAGAATCCAAAACATCTGTCAAAGCCTTCAAGCTTCAAGCTTCAATTGTCACCACCAAATGGCGATTTGTGAGGACAGACTCGATAATTATTACTCCATTGCTCCTAAATAACGCAACCCCTCATACACATGATTCTAAGCCTCCATTTTCCTTCTCTGTGACAACTTGCCTCCTTCCTCTTTTCCAGTCACGGTGGTACATTCGAACGTGTGCCGCGCAAATGTACATAAGATTAACTTCATTCGATCCAATTTGACAAGATGGATCGGCTCGTGTGTTTGGATACGGAAGAAGAAGAAGAATGTGGAATCAATCGTCACCATTGAAGAAGAAGAAGAATACTTCGAAGGCGAGGATGAGTTGACTACGACGAAGAATATTCTTACTGCCAAGGTGGGTAGAAGAAAGATTCACCTACAACTCCATGATTAATATATAAAGCCCAGGCTGAACTCTGTTCGCAAGTGACCGCGTTCATGGGCGTATTGAAGGATATACTCAGTACTCCTCAGTACTCCTCTACCAGCAGAAACAACTGACTATGTTTATGCTCAGTCTCATGCGTCGTTTTTGCTGTTCATACACCTCATTGCTTGGGTTCACTCATCACCATAATTCTCTCCCCCTCTCGAATAGGTGACCTTTGGTACCGTCTCGATCGACGCTCGAGGCAAACGAATAGCGCTGGATTCAATTTAGCTGAAGAACGATACAGTGAGTTTTCTCATTTCTACTTCAAATTTCCCTTGCCCTTTCCTGGTTCATATGTAATGTTGCCCGTTAAGTTAGGTTGTGTTATGATTTGTGAATGAAACCATTCTTCTTCTATCGGGGAAAAGTAGGGATTGTCGATAACTTTATCGTCAATCACTTGTTCGACGAACACAATCTACTACTGTATGATGGTGTTCCAGCAACTTGATCGTATTTCATCTTGAGTATATAATCATCAAGCTCACGTTTTCAGCTTGCTACGACCATGTAATGTTGCGTCTGTTCTCAATCAGCGTCAATAACGATGAGCTCGCGGCTTATTATTTTCGACATTACAATGGCGAGCATATGCCCCGCCCCCGATGCCTGAACCTGTCCAAAGCCAACGCCGCATACCTACATCAGCCACACAGCCTCGTCACCAAATGGCAAGATGAGCAGTAAATTGTTACGATCGTCGTGGAAGATGTTGAAGGAAGTGCAACGGAGGCATCGAAGACTTCCGCTGATAACGTGAGGATAGGCCCACTTTATATAATCTATCCTATGTTACCACTAACAACGACTAGACTCATTCAGGACAATACGAAGTTTCTCGGAGAGGAGATGTGCTCAATGAGATCTGTCAATGTTTTATGCCTTCTACTGATGACTGTCCAGTAAGTATGGCTTGTTCGCTCACTTTCAAATATATAATCCCTTCCGCTCCCTATAATCTTTCCGGATATTGGTACAGTGATCTACTTTCCCCTTTCTCATTATTTCCGATTCGGCGATGTTCAAATTGCAAGAAGATATGACCAAGTTATCGGCAGCTTGACGAGGAGATACAATACGGAACGCTACTTGCGGCACACAAGCAGGCAAGAACAACAAAGGCAATATTCGGGAGACGGTAAAGAAACAAAAACTATGGAAAGATCTCTATCTAATACCAAACCACTTGTAGTATGAATCGGTATACTGATCATTGATGATCATCCTCGATGTCATTGCGATGCACCCAACCACTCAAGTCCTCTTGCACCTGATCCAACCAGTAGCTGGAAGCTTGAGAACCAAGGCGCATAACTTTGGACCATCCTTTTATTTGAAGCAGGTCTCGGTTACCTTCGGGATCTCCCAACTCGACAAAGTCTTGAGTTCCCCACCAATCTGTCCAGGTTGGGTTCCAAATTGAGAAAAGTCGAACATATTTGTTCATGTCCTTCTCGCTGTATCCAGTCATGCCTGATTGTGTTCTGTTAACAAAGGTGTGCCATTCATGATATCCTTGGATCCTGGCATTCTTTGACTCTTGTCTCTTTCGCCATCTGGCCTCTCTTTCTTGTTTCTGTCGCTCTTGCATCTCCTGAGTGCTTTCTTCTAAAGGCACAAGCATTCCTTTCATCTCATCTATTTGATTAGGCTGCACCAAATCCTCCGAGTCCGTCGTTCTACCTTCCTTGATCCCGGCCTCACGCTGTTCCCTAGATTCGACTTTGTCTAGATAATCTTCTTTATTGAATACCTTCTTAAAATCGGAACGCCGAAAGACTCGAAGACACCACCATTCGCCCACTGCTGCGATAGCCACAACATAGCTTTGACGGTAGAAATTGGGCATCGAGAATAGACAGAGGGCCTAAATCAATCCAAGAGGAACTCAATCCCTGTGTCTGAGAAAGCCAGTCGAAATTTTTTACCTGATGTTCCACTTGTTCCTGAGCATTCTGCATAAACACAACAAGCTCGCTCATGAATTGCTGGATGTCCACACAATTACGACTAACTGGCCTCTTCAGTTCTACCAGTACAGGGATGAAAGACGTAGAGATACGTATAGAATGGTATGGCAGATTGAGGGGACTGATGCTGCTGAGTAGATTCCGGAAGGTTTTATCAGTTCTGAGGCGGATATCCGGCATGAAAACCGCGCGATGGAGTAGGATGCAATAATCTGGGATTACTTCAACGTCACAGCCGGGAACGGTCTTGTCTGGATCTTGGTTGAAATTGAGAAGGTCTGCTTCCGCATAATATAGACGGTATTGGGGAATCGGTTGCAGTCGACCAAGTTGAACTCCACAAAGTTGGACCATGATGAGGGACCAAGTTGCGTGTGTGCTATCCTCTGTCCTTCGTCGATTAAACCTTACTGATGCTACAAATGCCAATGACAAACAAATTCCAATGTCCAGAAGTATGTTCATGTTGATCATGTTGAAAAGTTGAAGGCAATGAGGGCTCCGACGAGGTAATATATAACCTTTCAGCCTAGTTAGTAAGATGTCACCTTAGAGTCATCCTGCGTGTTAATTCTGTGGCAATAAATCTTGTTATTGTTCTGCCAGCCTGAGTGTGGCAACAAATCTTGTTCTTGTTCTGTGAATCTTGCTCTTGTTCTGTGAATCTTGCTCTTGTTCTGTGAATCTTGCTCTTGTTCTGTGAATCTTGCTCTTGTTCTGTGAATCTTGCTCTTGTTCTGTGAATCTTGCTCTTGTTCTGTGAATCTTGCTCTTGTTCTGTGAATCTTGCTCTTGTTCTGTGAATCTTGCTCTTGTTCTGTGAATCTTGCTCTTGTTCTGTGAATCTTGCTCTTGTTCTGTGAATCTTGCTCTTGTTCTGTGAATCTTGCTCTTGTTCTGTGAATCTTGCTCTTGTTCTGTGGCAGCAAATGTTGTTCTTGTTCCGTAAATCTTGTTCTTGTTCTTGTTCACTGTGACTTCAGTTGGAAAAATCTTCTGGTTCATTCAAAACTTCACTTCCATGGTGATGGTCTTGTTTGTATTCATTCATCAACATCTTGTCAAGTTGAAATTCGTTCCTTGTACTGTTTATTACTACGCCTCGCTTGGTATTTTTTCTTTTGTTCCAAATTACGTAAAGGCTTTACATTTTCCACGTGGCATGGCTGTTTAAATATTCGGGGTATTCTAAACTTCAGCTTGAACGTTCTCAATGACCATGTCGAGCGCTAAAACCAAGTGATTATCCTTCTGGTATTATGTCTCAGTACCTCCGTTGATGATTTGACAGGTTTGATGAATTATTTCCTCCTGTTCTGGAGCTAAATTCTCCGCCTCTTATATCCACTATGCCTGTTGAAAATCGCCCGACCCCAAGATATCTTTTGGGTTGGGTTATGCCTGTGGTTGATGCGGCAAACCACTTTGGAAGAGGTGGAGACCAGTATGAGAGGGACCTCCTTGGTTATTTTAACCGCGGTGTTCTATCTCCAAACTGGACTAAGATAACAGAAAATTCACCTATTCTTCAAAAACATCCTCAGTGGGTCATCATACAAACTTGTGGCCCTGCTCCTGACTTTACTGTGAGTGCAGGTATATATGTCCACCAAGAGTAATGCATTGTCCCAAGGATGGTGTTCCTCTAGACGAAGACTTCATGGATTATGTCATAATTCGCATTGCACGCAACAGCCCAAGTAAAGGAATGGCTTTATATGAGGAACACAAGGAAGAAATCATTGAAGCAGCAATGAAAACCATGAACTTTCCTCTGGAGAAGCGAGCTGAACTGAAATGGTACAGACTCTAAGTAGAACTTTTGACTGGTATTAATACTTGCTTGTCATTGCTTTTTGTGTAAAATGTGTTACTGTCCATCCAGATGTTCTCAGGGGCACATTGGATCCATGAACCCAACCAATCATTGTTACTTGGTGGATTCTGAGGCATAGTTGAAGACCTCAGTTCATTGATCAATATGCATACCGCTGGAGAGGCTTTTCATGCAGTAGAAACTATGGAGGTGCACAATGAACAATTTGTACTATTGTGTGATGGAATGGGTGGGTTTGAACTTGATCTTAGCTGGAAAAGACATGAATAGAAATGTAGCAGCTAGCAGAAGGCCACTCACTTCGCGTTCTCATCAACATGCAAAGAACACTGAGCAGTGAGCTTCTTCTTCTTCCAGGTAATCCGTTCAAGGAACGTCCATCCGGCGGCGGCGATATTCCAATTCAAAGTTGGTTCGTAGAGGTTCGTAGTATTTATGTAACAGGGATAGGATAGGATAAACAGGGTGTCCGCAAATATTAAGTTCGAAGCTTGAGAGCTCTGATCAAAACCTATAGGTCTGGACTGTTTGCATCATTCGGACATTCCATGTAGCTGTTGCTCTAACGGTCCAGATACTATTTCGAAATTCGGGCGAGGTTGAAATCATCGCCGATAACCTGAAGTTGTCTGGGTATGTACTCATTTCGATGCCAATACATACTGCGGTGTGAATTTACCTTCAAAACACGGGTCCACTTTGACCAAATCAATCATGTCCACCGCTATACATATACAATCAACTGGCTTCACAGGAAATCTGGTCTCTTCAAGAATTCATTCAAATTCAAACATGAATTCAACTCGATCAATTCGAACGGCAAGAACTTGTATGACCCCTTTCCATGGTATAAAAGTTCACCAGGAATACATCCTATCCCCCATTTTTCAATCCAGAGCTGAGCTCATCTTCTAGGCATCTTATATATATCGGCGGGTCCGATACGAGAGAAGCTGAAGACTCTCAAGTATTGATCATGATTCAATATTCCTTCCTCTTCCTTTCTCTCTTCGTTGCCTCGATTTGTGCCGCACCACCCGGGTACCTTAGCTCAAGGGAGTCTGTCCAGCACCCATTAGTGGATCAATTGGTCACCATTGAGCCGGAATGCAATGCAGCTGAACAGAAATCTATCCGTCGTGCACTTTCGGATGCTTATGAGATTGCAGAAATCGCTCAGCATATCCAGAAAACAGATCCTGCGTTCGTATACTGTTATGAGTGTTCGGATACTCGGCTAAACTATCACAACAGGTTCAGCAATTACTTCGTGAAAGGCGACAAAAAATTCGTCCCAGCCATGTTTGAGTCCTTCTTGAGCGGCGGGGGTTCACACAAGAAGTTCCCTATAACGTGTGTTCACGCTTCGTCTCCAGAAAATCACAAATTTTGTCTCGGTGGCAAGTAAGTAAAACCGACTTGCAATGATACGCAGTGTGGTCGTCTTACTGACTCACTGATTCAGTCTTGCCTTTGTCGAAGCTGATAAGGATGGCGTGGAGAAGATATTTTTATGTCCGCAATTCTTCGGCAATCCAGCGCCTCCTCCAGGTTACGGTACCACTGCATTGACTCTCTCCTCAAAAAAGTTTACTGCACAAGGGTGGTGCACTCCCCCGCCCCATATCCTTGGGCATTACACATCCTTGGGCGCACATACGATATTACATGAGATGACCCATATCACGTTCATTGCCACTCACGCGCTCAATCCGCCACGCCTCCCGTACGTTCATCCGCCCTAATGCTTCATTTACTCAGTCACCAAACCGATTATCTCATCCTAGACATGGATTCCGACTTGTCGTCGACCTCATGGGACAGCCAGACGAGCTTCATCCGGGACATTTCTACAATGATTGGCCTCCTGCTTTGGCTCGGGAACTCAAGCACCGCTGGGATGACTACCAAGCTGCTCAAGCTAAGGAGGATTTCAGTTATAAAATGCCACCTGTTCCGACATCGCGTAACGCAGAGAACTATGCCGATTCCGGCGTTGGTACGTCCATTGTTCTCAATTCTTCAACTACTCTAATAACTGACTGCACATAACGTAAAAAATCTCGATGCCTGCAGAGTACTATTTCGGGAAAAAATGTTCCAACTTCAAGCCAGCAGATATACTCGTCAAAGCGAACTAAAGAGTGCAGGTGTTCTCATAGCTCCTCGGAGCCCTTCGTACATCTGATGACATACTACTGAACCATGGTATTTTTATGACCTACAATCACAGAAAAATCCAGTCCGTACAAGTTTGCATTATGGTATTGGCGTTGAAACTCCTGAGCCATCAAGGGTGCAACAAAACCTTGGTATATCCGTCGATCCTCTTGTCAAATTTCTCATAAGCCTCCACTGCAGCATCGAGGGTTAGATTATGTGATACGACAAATGAAGGTTTAGCACGTCCGGCAATGATGAGGTCTCGCAGGTACCGGTTGTATGCCTGTACCATGAACACACATAAGAGGTAGAACGGAATTGGGAAGGAACACAGACCTTGACATTACACTGCCCGGTTCCAAGACTGAGTCCTTTCTCGAATAATTTGCCTGAACGAGCAGTCGATGAAAAACCTCAGTGGATTTTACACCAAGACTCACCGAAAGGGAACGAAATGTATCCCCTGGAAAGAGTGATTTTTTGTTCTTGAAACGATATAGTCTTGCGATGAATCTGGGGCTTACTTGGCTGCTGCTGAATCGGGTGCCCCAGGATCACTGGGCACATACAGTCCAGGAACTCCAAGTCCACCAGTTGGTCGTACGACCCTGATGAGGGACTCGAGCACCACGTTTGGTTGTTCAGTCTTACCGTCGCTAGTGACCGCCTGGTATCCGACCGCTGTACACGGTTAGCTGTTAGCAACATACATTGGCGTTAAATTGAAGACTCACCATCTACCCCTCGATCGACTTCTTTACTGTAATAAAACACAACATCAAGATTCAACCAGCGCATGAGAGCAGCAGAACTCGCGCTTACCCTCCCCTTAACTTGAGAATTTGTTCCACTGGATCGCTGGCGGAAAAGTCGATTGGGGTGGCACCGATTTCTTTGGCCTTTTGCAGACGTTCCGGCACACGGTCTACAACAAAAATGTCCGAAGCGCCACGGATAATGGCAGAGTACGCTGCCATGAGACCTACAGGACCGGCTCCAAAGACGACAACAGACTCTCCTGGGCGGAAGCCCTGAGCGTCATCCCAAAAACGTGAGTATAAGCTGATCTCGGGAGAGCGAACGTTGCTACTGACGGAGAGCTGTACGCCATGCCATCCCTGTAAGAGGTTCTGAGTGAGGAAATTACAGTGAACAGCAGTAGTCCGCATACCGTCGGGAAGATATCCGCGAGGAGAGCAAAATCCTCTTCATGTTCGGTACCCGGGGGGAGGACTAGAGCATTAAAGTCGGCGAACGGTACACGGACATATTCCTACTCGCAGATATCAGAAATGGAACAAACGGGGGAAATCAGGATACGCGTACAGCCTGGCCTCCTGGGTAAGGACCCATAGCTACATAACTAGCCCAACAATGAAAAGGAGAACGTAAATTTATCCGTCAAGTCAACGTACCCATAAGCGCTGCAAAAGAACTGATAGTAGTAGACTTGCGGACAAAAGATTCAATATTACGCACCCTCCTGCCTACATGGATTTGAAAAGCGGATTTGAAAAAAAGATAAAATGTCACTCACGAATCCTGGATTCACAACGGTACAAAACGCTGACCGGCCCTCCTCACAGTTGATGCATCTCCCGCAAGCAACATTGAACGGCATGACCACTCGATCGCCTTTCTTCAAGAGCTACAAAGAGTCTTCAAGCTCAACATTCGGGTAATCGGAAGACGAAGCACCAATTCAGCTAACCGTAACGCCACCTCCTACTTCCTACGGTTCAATAGTATATCCAAATCAAATTCATATATGTAGATTGAATCACGAACATCAACAATGCCCATACTATGAACACAGACCAATCAGTATCTATAAAAATGAACAAATCGTGAGCGTACTTTTCATGCCCGAACACTATGTGCCGGAGACCAACCAATAAGTACCGGAGAATGACGTTTGATGCATCACGCGCATCAATTCAAGAGCATGGAATATTGAACGAAATCTGCCGTCATAGAATCGACCGGGTTCAACGTAGATATTCTTCGCCCGTTCTTCGCAAACAATGACATTCAGGCTTGTGTGGTACTCGCTGGGTTCATTCAAGCATCGGGGGGTCTCTACGGTGACGATTCATGAAGTTTGAACTAATTTCCAAAAGAGGTAATCAGATTTTTGAGGTTCCGACACGCAGATTCTTTCTCTTTCACCTTCGTGACCGATCCCTTTGACGCGTGTTATGATTACGCTCCTGTTATTCTGGAGAACAATAACCGCTTGGTGTCCAGCCACTGTGGTTTAACGATCCAAGCGCATATTTAAGTTACACGGTGAACTAATTTCTCCCCAAACGTCTCAAATTTCACTAACCACCGATGTTTCTCCTCGTAAGAAAGCCTTTCCACGTTTACGAAGTACGTGAAATACTCTGCTCTACACCCACATCTAGACAACTCACTTGCCTTGTCTATCAAGTCTGGACAGGACACAGAACACCTTTTCCATGAATTTCTTCGTGACCCGAGTCACCGACAACTAATCGACCAATGGATTCGTTTGGCCTATTGGGCAGGTCCAAAATCTACTTTTTCTCGCGCATTCTACAGTCTATGGCGAACAGATCCGGATAGGAAGAAACTTTACGGCTGCGTGGATCATCTTGCTGAAATGGAGACCGCAATGACTTTGCGCGACATGGCACTCGTGTTAGATATTGGGACGGATTTATTGAACCTGGATGATCCAGGGGAGCCGAAGAAAGAGTTAACGAATGAGAAAGAGAAGGAAGTGGAGAGTTGCAAGTTCGAATATTCGGAATCTCTTGAATCTCTTGAACCTTTTCCATCTGTCCAATCTCTGGAATCTCAATGGCCTCTGACTTGCCGTTCGGTTGCATTGACTCTTACTGAACCTCAAGTAACGTTTCGACCTCTTCCTGAAGTAGTCACACCGGTATCATTCAAGACAATGAAATCGCCGTTCGCCTACCTTGAGTGGCACAAGGAGATCGATAAACGACTAGCAAACGGGGAAGCAAGTTCAGCTTTTCGCTCGCCACATTCTGGAGATCTCGGCGAAGGTCACTGCAATGATAGCTCCGTTGGGGAAGAATCGATGAAGACAACCGTTGTTAACAGAGCGGAAGGTATTGCTACCGAGGTATGCATCCCCAATTGCTATTGCTTCCCGATCTTACTCTTTGGTGTATCCAGTCGCAATCCGGAACGCATCCTACTCCTAGTAAGGATACTGAGTTGGCGGTCCAAGTTGAAACAGCTAGTAGCGAAGTAAGTGTTATGTTGAAGATTGGAAATCTCGGCAGGATTTAGAATCTTTCCAGATCGACTCACTTGGCAGGTGCTTCGTCGAGTCTGGCGTCGAATCTTTCAATCTTTCTGCTACTCTTCAGACAGTGATCTAAATCTATATTCAAACTCCATCTAATTCCATCCTCCTTCCAATAGGAAAGCCCAAAGATTCACAATCCCCCGTCTGGAGGTCATTCAGAGGAGATCGAGAATAGAGTGAAGGTATGAATGAATACTACTGTATGTCGTTGATAAAATATTTACTTCGTGTGTAGACTCCTGTGGTGCATCCACTTAGCAGTCCCAAGAGTGCAAGGGCGAAAGAGAAACAAAAGTTTTCGAACTTAACCAATCAGCATAACCAGTCTATCCATGTTTCAGAGTCTATGGGTCCACCACCTCCCGATATCGCTTCTCGGGACAACAAGAGAACACTTACTATCCGAATTCCTCCTCAGTCTGAATTTGTTGGCTCGCCGTCATCTGATTTTTACCATGATGAGCGGCTTTCATCGCCTCTTACTCCCTTACTTCCAGGATCTTCTCCTGGTGCTCCCCCGGGTCCCATTAGCACTGCTTTGGTGGGTGACTCACTGATTCATCGTCGCTCTGCGAGGATCGCCGAAAGACATCTAGGTGAAACGGTGGCCGGTCCTTCTAGCAGACGCGGATAACAAGTACTTACTTTCACCGTGGCTTGTTCAGGATAGAATCTTGTATATGTATCGTTGTATGTCTCTAGAATACTGGCAATTACTTCTTTTTGATTGGTAGAACAGACGATAAGAGCAGCTTTGCCCGAATAGGATCCGATGGGAATTCCGAAAAGTCCAGAGTCCAGAACGCTCGGCCCGTTGAAAAGCGTGGACATGAACATTCACTGAGGTTGCCAGACAGTGTCTTCTCCCGCCCAAACTCTGGCATCGTTGTCAAGGACTATCATCACGAAATTCGCGAGCTCGACCGCTATACACGTATCTCTGCGAAATTCACGAAGAAACTCCATTGAAGCCATGTCAGAAGGCATCGCAATGGCTCCTGCGCCAGTCGTGGCGCCAATTGCACCCAAGGAACATGAGGACGGTTCGAGGATAGAACCACCAGAGGATGTCACCGAGGAGCCGGCTCCAATAACAGAGCAAGAAGTGGGAGAATACAGAGAGCAGGATCGATATCTGCCTGTATGTTGCTATTATTATGGTTTTTTTTGAATTCCGCTGACAAACCCGTCTTGTAGATCGCCAATGTCTCTCGGATAATGAAGTCATCTGTACCTCCAACTGCAAAAATTGCAAAAGACGCGAAAGAATGCGTGCAAGAGTACGCGAATTCTTCTTCATTCTTTACATCGCAAGTTTTGTACAACTTTTTTCCCTCTCTCAGATGCGTCTCGGAATTCATTTCGTTCATAACATCTGAAGCCGCGGAGAAATGCCAGCTCGAAAAACGCAAGACAATAGGTGGTGAAGATATACTATACGCCATGGGATCATTAGGCTTTGATAACTACGCGGAATGCCTGAAAGTTCATCTAGCCAAGTTACGCGCTGTGAGTTCTCATGTTAGTCTGGCATTGATTATCTTCAACAGCACCATTTTCCTTAGCATCAACATGGAAATGTTGCAGTAGCTGGAGGCAGCGGACGCGGCACCGATAGGATAGACGAAGAATGAAGGAGACTTATGGGATTGTTACGTCAGGCTCTGGAAAACCCTGCTCGTTTGTTTTCAACAATCCGCGTTGAAATTCTTCATCGGGTGATTCATAGAGGTGCTCCTAGGGGAGGTGCTCCTAGGGTGTATCTATTACAGTATCTGTGCGTTCTTTGTTCGATGAAACCAATATCACTGACGATTCTCTCCTTCTCAGATTCGCTTTGTTCCAACTCTGTATCCTTCGTTGTTCTCGTACTGTATATGTTATTTGCTTTCCTTATTCGTCTGACAATATCAGTAGCCGCTTTCTCTGACCTCCAATCAAGTGAACGGCGTTATTCAGGCGCTGATCATTTACGACGCTCTATACGATTTAATACACGCCCAGCGGCGAACGTTGCCCGTGTATCGTTGAACGAATATCACAAGCCTAATTGTGTTGTTGAATACTTCTTCACAGAAACTCAGATCACCGAAGTCTTCGTCTTTGTAGGTGTATGCGCTTGACGTTCAACAATTGAAACTTGCAGGCACGATCTGCGGCTTGTCCAGGGTGTGTTCAACGATTGACCGCGTACGTATATAAAAGGTTGAGATTTCTTGAAGGCTACATACACATCTTTCTCCCCGTTCTTTACTTTTCAGTCTCAATTTACCACTCATTTCTCTTTCTCTTTAAGTATGAGAAGCCTCTTCTTCGGTCTCGTAATGCTCAGTATGTCTCTTTGTTTAACCAGTTGGTTTTGGTGAATTGCTCACACCTTCCTCCTTTTGCCAGGTTTCGCCACAGTGATTGATGCCCAGTCTGCAATCGGGGCTACAGAAGTAGGCACAAGCACTGCTTTTGTTACCGCTTCAGCCGTATCCGACTCGCCTCAAGCCCTCCCTTCGTCAACCATCACGGCTAATCCGAACGTTGTCACGTTCTATCTACCCTCACCAACTTCCCAAGTCGGAATTCCTTTCACCAGCATTGTGTCGGTCAGCCTCGTTGGCTCTGGAGTTTCTGGAGGGGTCACCTACACGACGTACGTCGAAGAGCGCGTGGTGGAGATCCCGGCTGCGACGATGACTACCCTGGTCGATAGTACTCCGGTAGACACTGCTCTAGCTTCTGGGTCCACTACTACAATAACCGGTCTGTATTCACGGTCTAGCGGTTTTGCATGTACTAAATTCAATTTCAGGTACAATGGTATCCAATGGACAAAGCTGGACGTTTACAGCTCCCGACTTTGGCAATTTTGTAGAGAACTGTACCATATCCCCGCAAACCGACGCGATACTACAAATGTCACCTTTGCTCGAGTGTTCGTATAACTCGACCAACGGCTTTGGGGGATCAATAGGGAGTGGCTTGGCGGAGTATACTCTTATTCTTGATTCTTCGAATGCTGTTCCATCTTCAACCGGGAGCCTAAGTCATGGATCGGATTCCGGGAGCGAAACTTCTCTCGGTTCTGATTCTGGCTCTTCAGTGACTTCGACTGCCACTGGATCGGCATCTGATAAGAGCGTCAATGGTTCGGGAAAGAAGTGGGGTAGTGAGATTTCTGTGGCAGGAGCGGTAGTTGCCCTCTGGGAAATATCGTATTTGTTTTGAAAATTTCAGCTGTACCATTCACTATGGCATGGGTCAAATAAAGCGCTTGCCATCGTCTCAATGGACAAGAATATACAGGTTTTATGGGTCGGTGCGATCTGGTACTCATTCAAACGTTCCCCTTGTCCTACAAGATTACATAGTAGCACACAAAATGGACCCACATTTGATGGCACTGACATGGCGGCTGATCCCGGGTTCAACTTGCTCATCAACGTTCAACGCACATCTTCAAATTTCGAGGATCAAGATGCCAGATGCAGATGATATCTCTTCGATCCGACAAGACACTCTACGAGCAGAGATTGCCCGTCTACGAGGAAAGCCAGTTACAGATATGGAGAAAATGAGATTGTACAAGGTTAGCATAATGGAGCTTACTATTTCCAGTTAGACGTCTCACAGTCTCAGTAGGTCTTTGACGTGGTTCTCGACGGGGGAGAACGTGTCATTGCCCGCTGTGAACGGGCTGGTTCTGATCAAGAGGATGCCAGCGAGGCTCAACGTAGAATTCACAAGCACGCTGCCGTCTTAGATGCCTTGCGGAAGACCTACCGCATCCCTGTTCCACTTATCTATCATATCGAGCCAAATCCAGAGGTAATTGGTGCTCCCTGGATCCTAATGGAGCGCATTCCTGGTGGCGAGCTTCATTATGTCGTCAGCCGCTGGGACAAGGCCGTCAGGGAAGATAACATGGCATGTCAGCATTTTCAGCGCGTATGATCTCTTATATAATGACCTGGTTTAGAATATCGTTATTGCCCAGCATGCAGCCATCTATTCACGCATCTTTGACACTCTTATACCTGCGCCGCTTTCCTCGATGTTTGCCGAAGAACTTCAACACGGTCACATTGACCCCATGCCTACTGCGTTTGACATCAAGCTCCATTATGAGTCTTTCACCAGTGATCCTGACATTCTTCGTGCTCGCGCATATCGGCAAGAGACAGCTACCTTCATTGCGCATCGCTTCTGGGCAGTCATGCATGATGCAGAGTATTGTGCTGAAGCTGAAGGACATCCTGACTCGGAGCTTCCTGTTCTTCACAAGCTCAAGGCTCTTGTTCCTGCTCTCATCCCCTCGGTTCAAAAATATCTCGAACTGGATAATAATGGGCAAAGTCTTCTTGGTTCCAAAAAGCTACACCACTACGATCCGTCAGTTTCTAACATTATGGTTGATCCTGCCACTGCTAATATCATTGGCATTATCGATTGGGAGTTCACGACGGTTGCTCCTGCTCTGCTCTCAGCATCATATCCTGAGTGGATAAGGTATGATGGACAGCAGAGTCCTACAAGTCATTGGTCTAGCCATCTTCTTCAACTTTCTCCTGACAAGTTTGAGTATCGGAAGTGGCGGGAGACGTATGAGGATGTAAGTCGCATTTGGTGTAATCTTCTGCCTCCTTCAATGCCTGAGTTTGCCATTCACAGAATGTTGGTCAAATATCTCCGAATTATCTCAAAGCCATGCGTGCTGGCAGAGAATTACAGGAACTTGTCGACTGGGCTAGGTTTGCGATAACTGGTTGGCCTCTGAATGAGCGTATGGCTTTTCTTGATAGCTGGGCCAATAGCAAGGCTATGAATTTTGGGGTGGATGTAGAGTCTGTCCCTGTTCTCCGGAAGAAAGATTGGATGTGCATTTCCATCCAAGCTGAAAATTAGAATCTAGTGCAGCGACGACACGATACACATGGCAGCACTGTGACGAAAGGCCTACTTAATCATGTAATTTGGAAAAGAGTGTCCATTTGAGGGTCAACATCCGTTAACATCCCGTTGCAACTCGCTGCAGCCCTTTGCAATTTGGCACGACTGAGAACTCGTGTCCAGAAGCATGCAGGGGTCGTGGTCCAGATGAATGTCACTTTTCGCCCCTTACATATGTACCATTTCGCCCTGTCCTTACCAGGTCCTTACGAAGCTTTACGAAGTTACCGAAATGTGGAAAATGGACCCACAATTGATGGCACGAATTCCGATTTCAGTTTTTCATCTTGTTCACCATCGTTCATCTCAAAATGCCCTATGATATTACTTCGATCCGTCAAGATGCTCTCCGTTCAGAGATTTCTCGTCTCCGAGGAAAGCCAGTCACCGAAATGGAGCAAGTAAGAGTATACAAGGTTAGCCCACTAGAGCTTACTATTTTCAGCTCGACTTATAACATTCTTAGTTGGTCTTTGACGTAGTTCTCGAAGGTGGAGAGCGCATGATTGCTCGTTGTGAACGGGCTGGACCTGATCAAGAGGATCCTCGCGAGGTTCAGCGTAGATTGCACAAGCACGCCACCGTTCTGGATACTTTGCAGAAAGCCTACGACATTCCTGTTCCACTTGTCTATCATATCGAACCTGATCCAAAGGTTATAGGCGCTCCTTGGATTTTAATGGATCGTATTCCTGGTGGCATGCTTCATTATGTCGTTAGCCGCTGGGACAAGGCCGTCAAGGAAGACAATATGGTATATCAGCATTTTCAACGCGTATGATCTTTGATATAACGACCTGATTTAGAAAGTCATTCTTGCCCAGCATGCGACCGTCTACGCTTGTATTTTTGACACTATCATGCCTGAGCCGCTTTCCTCAATGTTGGCCGAGGAACGTCAATACGACCATATTGATCCCATGCCTACTGCCTTTGACATCAAGCTCCATTACGAGTCTTTCACCGATGATCCTGACCTTCTCCGTGCGCGCGCATATCGACAAGAGACAGCTACTTTCATCGCGCATCGCTTCTGGAAACTTATGCATGATGGGGAGCATAGTGCCGAAGTTGATGGACATCCCGAGCTTCCTGTCCTCCACAAACTTAAGGCTCTCGTTCCTGCATTTATCCCTTCGGTTGAGGCATACCTTGAATTAAATGATAATGGGCAAAGCCTCCTTGGTTCGAAAAAGCTACACCACTACGATCCATCAGTCTCCAACATTATGGTTGATCCTGACACTGCTAAAATCACCGGCATTATTGACTGGGAATTCACGGTGGCTGTTCCTGCTCTGCTCTCTGCAGCATATCCTGAATGGATAAGGTATGATGGACAGCAGAGTCCTACAAGTCATTGGTCTAGTCACCTCCTTCAACTTTCCCCTGATAAGTTTGAGTATGGGATGTGGCGGGATATGTATGAGGAGGCGAGTATAATCTTCAATATCGTATTTTATTTCTTGTTTCATCTTATCATCTGCAGGATGTCGGCAAAATATCCATGAATTACCTCAAAGCTCTGCGTGCTGGCAGAGAATTACAAGAACTCGTCGACTGGTGTAGATTTGCTGTTTATGGTCTACCTCTGGATGAGCGCATGGCTTTTCTGGATAGTTGGGTCAATAGCAAGGCTACCAAGTTTGGGGTGGATGTAGAGTCTGTACCCATTCGTCAAAAGAAAGATTGGATGTGATATATCAATTTTGTTTGTCCGAGTGGTGTTAAATTAATGTTGCTAATGCTCTAAATAGATAGATACTCTTTTTCTAATCTGTCGTCCACATACGAGGCCAGAATAACATCGATGTCTCTCTTGGATTAACATAACATATCCTTCCGCAGTGTGAAGTAGATCAAGTAATCACCAACTGTTTGTTGCGCAACGTTGCCACTATGTGTGTTAGGATTCAGAGAATTAGGAAGCCGACGAATTATCTGTAAACTTGCTTATTCCTTCAATGCACTCACCGGGATGGATGATAACGTCGAGCATTCGTGAAAGATCAAGCGGGATTTGAGTAAGTTGGAGCGGGAGAGGTTGTGAACTTGAAAGTAAGGCATTTACGATTTTCGTAGGCTGACACGAAAGGTGCACATACACCATTTTGAGTTGTTGCTAGATTTCACGTTTTCTCATTGAGCTACTACTGCGCAGATCTCCGAAAAAACGGCACAGGCCTACAATGCCATCTGGTGAGAGACGTGTTGGTTGATGCCCGAAGCTTGTTATCCTACATGGAAAACATTTGCGTTAATCGCATCAAGCAAAGCAGACAGAACCAGCAGCTTACGTGTCTTCGCAATATGCTTCTTCCCTGTTGCATACGATTCAACACTTCCCTCAAAGTGCATAGAACTTTGAATCTCAAGCATTCCATCGCATGGTTTCTCTTCAGGGCATTCCGCGATATTGCCCTTCAGCTTGAAATGCACCGGGGAAGCCTTGGACCCAGCACCTTTCTCAACCCCTTCTTGGTATATGCTGTTGGTAAATCGAATCGAGATAGTCTTTCCATCCTTAACACCCCAATCCTCAAGTGCCTGATGGGAGAGGACCTTCATTCGCCAAGAATGAGAGACTGGAACTCCTTTTGTCCCATCTCCGACCGTGATCGTAAGACCAGGCTTAGAGTTACTTTGTGAGGATGAGCCTTCACCAATCTATAGCAAGAAAAGATGAATCAGTGGTATTTTACACTCTGAAAAAAACATGATTTGAATAGACGCACAGGTGCTGCAGAAATAGCGGTGGTAGCGACAAGGCATAACAGAAGGTAGGTCCAGCCAGCGTTGAGACGCATCGTAACTTATGTGACTCGTGAGAGGATTCTGAATAGCTTCAAGAAAAAGCCTAAGCGAGTGGTTAGCAACTGGTGGAATCGGGTCGAGTACTCGTGGACGTTGATAGCGATAGGAAGCGGCGATGAACTGAGTGGTACAGAGAACAAGCTAACTGTATATCCCTTTGACCAGCAAAAGACCAGAGATAAAAAAGAGCCAGCTGCCAGCAGCGATGAAAGAAGGTGGGAGGATATTGGAATGAAGTCGCTCTATTCTTTATGACCCGGTCCCTTACCTTCCGCATGACCCTATCCATAATCCAGCCCTATCCTACCCTATCCGATCTTGATTCTGACGAAGATTCTAGATGATTGAGCAGTATTTGCCAAACCCCGACGGAGAGCCTTCTACTTATGAGTGTCTCAACTTGAATACCTTCGCTGCTAGTTAACAGCTGCTACTACTGCATCCTTGACAAAGCCTATGTAAGTGGACCTTTAGAGTAAAACTATATTTTCCTGAGCTGAGTGGAGCGCGCAATAATTGATGTCTTTGGAGGAGGGCGAACAAAAGGTTTGGACTGCCAAATATTTCCCAGGGTCATTGCGATTCCTCTTTGAATTCTTCCGTTTTACACCCTCATACCAGCTTCATACCCAACGAGATAATCAAAAACGCCGTGGGATCGTTTGGATTTTGGGGGAGGCGCGATGAACAATAAGGGAAAGGAAAATCGGTCTGGTTCAGAAATTGTATTGCATGATCGGAATCTGGATTCCTCAGGAGCCTGATAGTCTGTCAACCTTTATTTCTACTGCAGATGAGACTCTGAAATGCTGAAAAAACAAAGGGCGTCGTCGGTTTACATAACGGCTAAGATATTGCCTCCCCAGATCCAAACATAATTCATTTCGCTCTTGGTACCCAGTGAAAGACGCCTCGCTGATGCCATTTTCAAATAAATTAATCCACATCCTACTCGAATTTCGATCCACCACACCGCCTCTATGTCCGACGATCCTTCACAGGCTCCGGCCTGGGTGTGTTTCCAATCTACTTGACGGTCGCAAATACACCGTTCACGTATCGACGCAGGCCTGCTACTCCTCGGACAATAGCCCCCACCACTCCATCTGGGCGGACGATGACGATATTGCATGACCCGAGAAGAGATGAATACGCTCTGTACGCATGTCCATTGCTATCGCGTAGCACCAGATCGACTCCAGATGGCTGTGTTCCTGAAGCACTCTGTTCAGACTCGCTCGTAGTTAGAGCGGGAAAGATGAGCACAGTCTTGAATAGATTCTTGGGATAGGTACTGAGCTCCGAAGCGATTTCTTCGCCATTGGATACTGGGCCGAAAATAAGCACCGTGTGGTGGTCTGGTTTGAAAAGGTCGAATAAACTGGCGGCGGCGGTCGAACTTTCACCGCTATGGAGAACTTGCAAGCCAGGAGCCTCGGGAGCTCGATCTCCAGCATGAATCACCCCGTTTAAGGTGATACCATATGGGTCTAATTGGATCTTATCCTTGGTAAGGTCAACCGTCTCGTCGACTAGTGCCGAACTACCACGATAATTGACCCCAAGTTGTTTAAATTCTTTGCCTCGCTTCCAGTCCTTACCATCACGAAAGTATTGATTGAGTAAAAGAGTTGACTTGTTGAGCATAGCGGCGATGACAGGAAGTCGTTCTTCCGTATATGTGTCTAGGAGGGAGGGTGGGGAAAAGCCTTTCAGAACAAGTGCTAGTTTCCAGCCTAGGTTGAACTGATCCCGCGAGTAAAAGGATCAGACAACGTTATTTGGAATGTTGAAGAGTACTTACACTATCCTGGACACCGGAGTTAGTGCCTTGTCCTATGGAATGACTCAGTACTTTGTCATTTAACCGGGTTTGCAAGACAAACCTCCAGCTGGGCTGTGAACATGAGCAGCATCTGAAAACCAGAGGATGTGGATGATTTACTTCAAGGAATGAATGAATTTAGAGCCAACCTCCAGCGACAAAAACCCTCCCGTCTCCAAATTTATTCACCATTCGAATACTGGGACTAATGGCATGCAACACCATGAATTTTACAGAGAAAGTGGCATCGAGTTAGCATGACATACCGATAATTCGAGATCCAGATCAATTTTCCAAATTCTATGTCTTTTCGGTCAGTGATGGACGCGATAGTTTTCACCAATTCGTCGCGTCCAGAGGCGGTTTTGGCGTGGTCAATCTCTTTGCCTGAAATAATGAACGTGAAGACGTTGTCGTCCACTTCACTGGGCACCAACTGGACTCTACATAGCGATATTTTGAGCAATACTTTAAAGATTTAGAGGAGTATGTACTTGCGATTTTGAAGAAATTTCTCCCCAGTTGTGCCATGACTGTAAGTTGGCTTCAGGGCACAGGATACAGACGGATAAAATTATTTTACCTTGTGGTCCAAGCCACCATGGATCTCAATGTCACCGACTACCATGTTAACATCATCACGTACGTCCCCAAGGAAGGTTAATCCAAGAGCTTTGCGGACAGTGCTGTGAGCTCCATCTGTGCCCACAAGGTACGACACCTTGATGATCTCTAGGATATCTTTGCCATTGGAATCCTTCGTCGCCAGAGTAGCCAGGACATGTCCATCAAATTGCTCAAAAGACCGCAGTTCAGAGAAAAATTCAACTTTACAACCATGTTTCTCCAGATGACGATGGAGAATGGACTGTTGGCGGTGCTGCCCAAGCATCGTGAGATTGAGCTGAAAGTATGTTGATCAATATTAGGGTGCACGCATAGCTATACTAGGTTGCAAGGACTGGCGCACGTAAGGAGTATCCGGTGTAGGTTCTTCATATGGATCCAGTTCAAAGGTTCTCAGTGGCTCGGTCCCACCGGGTAGCTTGTAGAGGGTACATATAGGCATCTTTTTGGCGATGCTAAGAATATCCGGCAGGGTCCCTAGGAAGCGATGCATTTCGAGGGTACGAGGCTAGATTTCGATTATGTTAGGTAAACGGAAGAGTTGCATGAGTGCCAACTGTGCAGACCTGGATACCGAGTCCTTTCTGACCAACTTGAGGGCCTTCCTTGTCAACAATTCGTACATTGATCCCATTTTTGAGTAAAGTAAGCGCAAGCACTGAGCCCACAGGACCAGCACCAACCTACGAATCGATGCAATAACATGCAAGGGTAATCAGTGATAATACCTTTGTTAAGGTACTGACGCGCAGCTTACAATCAAGACGGAAGGGGAAATTAGAGTTGGAGACATTCTAGAAGCACTGGTGAAACTTGCAGTTCCCTGGTCTGAGGCTTTCCCTTTATACCTTTCCAGCCTCTTGATAATGATTGAGTCGATTATTTGGTGGACGGAGAATTGAAATGGGCAATAGCGCCTTATTGTCAGCGTGTATCTTGTAATATCGCCGTTAAGAGCAGTGTGTGTATCTTGTAATATCGCCGTCAAGAGCAGCGTGTTTAGCCGCCGCTCGTTTGTTACATGGAACGAGTCGAGCAAACAGACCTGAAGCAATAATAACTGCCAGTATCTGTCAAATTCCAGAAATTTTGGGATCGAAATCGTGCCATGAACTTCGACCCCCCCTTCTGGTGAGGCATTGATGTAACTGACTTCGAGCACCCAGATAGATGACAACCAAGGATTTAGAGGAAATTCGCAATCCTTGATGCATTATTCGAAAAATATGACATTCGAATATATCAAAAACAGATCAATCAGCCTCCTTTCGTAACCTAAATCCACCGCCGACTATTTTACGTTGTGTTCATCGCCCCCTTCACCACCGACGACACTCGCGCCTTCCCATCCGAAAGGGAGAATTAACGAACGTACATCTGCCAAGACCGGGCGTTTACCATATTGAATTCGTTCCTCCAAAGATCCCGCTCATCATGCCGCCTTCTGCTCCTGTTCCCTCATCATTTTGACTCGGGCTGCCGATAGTCTCAATGACCATCGTCGCCAAGCCAAATCTGGTGTTATCAATCCTCTGACCGGATTCATCCAATGTGTCAAGTGTGTTCACAAGCACTGCGTCAGGAATGATGTTGTCTAGATAGTCGATTGAAGGTTGCAGCTCGTGGTCTGTCACGTCATCTCCGCCACTATTTTTCCCAGTAGCAGCGCTGTCGGCGTAGTTACCGACGAGGTTTCCATCGATATCGATAAAGCGTTGGCACCACGTGTCGACTGCATCTGCTCTTCGCCAAACTGTTGCTGGCGCTAGCCTGATCTCAGTTAATGAATGAGGTAGGAAGCTGTTCCAAGTGGTGATCAGTTTTGATATTTGGTCGTTAGATTTAGATGGAGACCATGGGAAGGTTGAGAAAAGGGATGAAGATGAAGAACATGGATTAATCCTCAAGCATGACCCGGAAAACACCGACAGCGCTGTAGGTGTCTGGGATTTGAATGACGGATTTGGAGCGGCCGCAGAATTGCGATTGAAAAGATGAAAGACCGAGAGACAAGGCAGTTGCGGGAAGCGATGACGGGCCATGTGTTCAAGTTCAACCTATAAGCAAAAGTAAAGGAGAAAGTTAATGAGACGATGATAGCGACCAGATGCCACGAATTTACGAACTACGTCAGGGAATCCTCGTACAACCTCGATTTTTAGCACCTGCAGCTGTCCAAACATCTTTGAAACATCTTGCATGAGCCTATCCTCCCAGCTGGAAACCTTTAGTTCTAACTCTTTCACGGAGTCATACTTCCTCCCTCGCTCCTCCGCAAGTGCCTTGTAAAGCTTCGTCCAACTCACAGCTCGTTGCTCCGAAGCTTCCATCCCATTTGCAAATTCTAGATACGTATCATCATAATCTGAGCGCGATCTGGCACTGTAAAAGGACGAGGAGGAGAACGAGCGATCGTCTCGGTCATAACCACGTTCCACGATTCGAATTTTCTTTAGGTTAACCCCAGTATTCCAAACACTTCTCAGAAAATCCAACGGCCCCTCATATACCTCCAAATTCCTGATCCTCACGCGTTCTCGAGGTTTTCTGAGTGGGTAAAGATATCCTTCGACCTCTAGCGTTCGCATGGTTCTTCGACAAGCTTTCAGAAAATGGTCCAATTTCGATGTGTACACCCGTCGTTCGCGTTGCCGGGTCAGGTGAGGGAGGCGTAGCCAGTCGGATTTTGTACGTGTTGTGAGGAATAGAGTCTCAATGTGTGCAGGGAAAGACCGGACACGAATTCGAGCTTCATTTTCTCTCAAATTTGCTCTGATATCGCTTCCTTGTGTGGTTGTATTCGGGAGATCCAATAAATAAACACGTCCCTTAGCTAGAGCACTGAAAAAGTTTGCTGTTTGGGTGTTCCAATTGATGTGAAGTGTGCGCAAATTATTGGCAGTAGCAAGGTGAAGAATGTTGTAATAATCCAAGTCCCCGCTGACAGCAAGAGACCCTATGGCACTGAACATTGTCGATCGATTGATGTACCAGCGATTTTCCGTTAGACGTAGATTGGTGATAGGGAGATTCTCGAACGAAAATGGAGAGATGATATTTGCCTTTTGATTCGCGGGACCAGCATCAATGATTTGGAACGGGGACAGAACAGGTCGGCGAGGAAGAGTACAATTGATAACCGATAGTTCGCGGAGGTGAGGAAAAAAAAACAAGAACCCATAGAATTCGAAGGGCAGAGGAACTCCGTCAAACGTCATCTCGCGGATGTTCGGGAAGGTCGCCAGTTTTTGCATGAACATCGGCGGAAGCTCCAGTTTCCGAAAAACTATCCTCTCGTCGGTTCCATTGGAGGCCAGATCCCACCTCCGCAACTCGCCAATGGAGTCCAGGTTCATTAAAGACGCATGGACCCGAACCGAGCGAGGCGCTGTAACCATGTCGTCACGCCTATCCTTCCAGAACGAAATGTTATTGAGGAAATGGGACATGTGCTGGAATGTGATGTCTCGGTAGAGCTCGCGTAGACCGAGTAGGTAGAATTTTCGACATTTTTGAACGAGGTGGTAGCGGTCTCGAGATTTAGTGAATTGTTCGAAAATATGGATCCAGAGAGGGTCTGGAAGGTCGCTAAAGGGAGAGAGATTTGCGTTGACTGGCGTGTCAATGTTATTGCACCTATAGAGAAGACTGTTGAACGATGTTGCGTAGAAACATTCAAGTGAGAAACGTACGACATGTGCCAGTCTATGGTTCTGTCACTTGTAAAGTTTACACTCCAGGCAGTTGATTTTGATACGACGATTTATGTGATCCCGTTATGAAAGGAGATGTCTGATGAGACGACCTGGGGTCGGGCTTATGTCTTGTTTTGAATCATAATATGTTCGGCACGCTAATTAAACGCCAGATGAAGACAAAAACATAATGATATAAGCGGCATGGACGTACCAATTCCGCATGATGAATATTATGCTTTTACCGGCTGTAGAGGAAAACTTAGGTATCAGGCCTTCATGCCTTCAGCTTCAGCAATCATCTTGAGATTGTCTGCTGAGCCGAGCAGAATTTTGCAAGATGAGATTGAGGGCATAGCTGCTGCTTACTTCAATGAGATCGGAGGAGACTATATCATCGTATGTAGGCTGGATTGCGGGAAGAGAGAAAATCTTTCCCACACTTTCCAATCTCACGGACCGGGATACGGTTAACGCGTTTGTCGCACTACATTTTATTTCCGTCCAGAGCATTTTTACCTTCAGCTTCATTTCTTCGCATCGCACTTCGCCCAGCCTGCTTCAGACCAAACCCCTTCGCTACGGAACTCTAATCCTAACTCTTCCTGCAGTCATTCGAAGAATAGAGGATACCTTTAGTTCTTCGCCATTGGCATTCTCAAGCATGCGCTCTATCTCGCTCTATCTGTTGGAACTTGAACGTTACAATCGTATTGAGTCTTGAGATATCTTTCGCGGGATATTCGCTGCTGCCCCTAATTGTTTCGCTTGCATATAGGCTTCTAATCCTTCCATTCTCCTCCCTATGTCCTCCCAACTACTTTGCTGTTCGGCTCAAGTTCTTGCTATACTGTTCCTTCAGGGAGTCCATCACAAACACTACGTAGAGCTTCGCGTTCAAGTGGAGAGTAGTTTCAAAGATTCCTTTCTAAAACAATTCCCAGGTCTTTACTATCATCTCGACCTTCTCCTACTTATGACTATTCCTGAATCTTGCTGGATATTCTTGAACTTTGTAAGGAAATTGCTTTCCTTTGTGATTCCCTCAGCTTGATAGTCATGACTCCTTTCCCCAAGGTGAATTCCCAGATTTCCTGGGAGTCATAATAACAATGGTCATTTTTACCATCGTGTGAGCATCCGAACCTGACACGAGTTTTGTGGCCTTTTTCCAGATGTCAATCTAAAAGGTTTAACTGGATAACGGTTGTGTCGAAGCTCTGGTTGTCCTGGGGTGGTGTTTGCGGGAGCTAGGCGGCAAAAACCACAAGAAGAGTCCCAAGGAACTTCGAAGTTCTATGTCGATCTCGACTCGGATAACATAAGATCAGAGCATTGAACAGGATCGGTTTCTTGAGATCAGTCCGTAAGTCGTACGCAGGTGCATCTCTGAGCTCTTAGTGAATGTATGCGCAGTCGAGCAAAGTAGTTCAATGAGCTGAGCGACGGATTCCGCGCGCGCGGCGCGTCGTGAGGGGATTGCATCAACGCTTACACGTGGAAGTCACATGTGCAAATCTCTCTTTCCGTTTAAACTGACGTGGCCGTTACGATCCTCTCAAAAGGATACAAGCCTGATACAGGCGCATCCACCCGAGAGGATCGTAAACAATGTTGGGAGGCGCGGGACCAGTACTTTGCTTGCTTGGATAGTGTTGGAATACTGAAGCCTGGGGATGAGAAGACTTCTGTTGCCTGTTCCTCAAAGAACAAGGCCTACGAACAAAAATGCGCTAAAAGTTGGGTAAGGAAAAATTTTTCTTGCTATTGATTGCTTGGAATCAACGACAGTTCGAACAGATTGAGTATTTCGATCAAAGACGGGTAATTGCAGAGGCTCAGAAGGATAGATTGGCGCAGGCGAATACACAGGCTGAGAATTCAAAACGTTAGTCATGTCCTAGAATAAGGACCTACTGTGTGTATTTTATCTACTTTTTGGACTCACCATCGAACTCTAATAGTTTTTTTTGAATATACGATTTACACGCAGTCACTGCGATGATGGTAGTAGTTAATATTCTTCTATATTTTCCCCCAAAGAACGCTTATTCAAATTGTGGAGGACGACGGACATTCCGGACAGTGGACACTGCTCTATTTACTGTGTGTCTTGATCATCTCTTCTCAAAGATATGTGCCTCACTTGCTTTACCCTAGGTCATCTGCATTATCATTGTTGTTCATCAGTGTTTCACCTCGAATCAGGAAATTCTATCGTTTTTGCAGTGACACTCGATGATATGTGGGACACAGGCTCCCGAATATCTTTTTTCAAGGAAGCGTACTACTTGATTCGCAAAGCAGTAACTTACACGAGAAGCCACCAAATGGGATTTACGAACTTTGTTAGTTTCTCGCGATCGGTGTTGGAAGGAACTGAAAGGTACTTATGTATTGCCGTTGATTGCTAACTATACATAAGTCAAGCTGTACCTTAATGATTTCTTCTCGTTCACGAACATTCTACGGAGGTTCTGGGTATGTTTTGCTGAGCCTTCGTGATGAAATCCACAAGTTCTGGTGTTGGCAATGAACAAATCGAAATAAACGATCAGGTTTGCGGGAAGACCACACTGCTCCAGACTGCTCGATCAGATCGACAACCGGAATAGCGAATACCATTTGTTCCTCTTTTTTGTTAGTCCTTCCTCCTATCGCGGGGCCACTTATGACGTTCCAATTTGAATTCTGTCATTCAATAGGAATCGGAGATCCGGCCCATGATCCACTATATATGGTTCAAGCCTTTACTAGTCACTAGTGGTTAGCGTTGCATCCCCTCAACGCCATGCAAACACCCACCAGTACCAGGGCCCGCGCTGGTGGTTATTCCGATTTCTTTTCTTCTGGGTTTCGAGTCATATATGCTAAACGCGTCAAGCCTCGTCCAAGACCTGCATCGACGTATTCTCTGCCTAGCATTCCCTCAGATCTGATACGGTCCATGTCTTCCACTTCTCGGCGACGTTCCACCGATTCCCAGAACACAGGGCTTCCGTATCCGCTGCCTAGTCCAAAGCGGAAGGAGGACTTGCATTCAAACATCGTAACTCCCTTGCCCAATGAAAAGCGGAAGAAGCGTTCCTCATTCATCGAGTTCTCTGCACGGCTGTTCGATAAAATGACCCCAGGTGTACCAGAAGCGGTATCGTTTGTTGAGTTTGACGAGACTCGAAGATGCTCTCGTTCGCAATCGCGCAATGGCACATCTCATTATTCAAAGTTGGGAATTCCGAGTCCTGTCGTTGAGATGAATGTTTCTTCTATTCGAACTTTGTGGGTGCATTCGAACCTTCCCGATGTCCTTAACTAACTTGCTCTGTAATAGCTATCCAGATTCCAACGAATCAGACCCATTCAATTCATCACCGAATTCCAAGTCTTTCTTCATTGACTTGAGCGATTCGTCTTCGTCTTCGTCCTTTACATCTTCCCCGAAACGCTCTAGACACCAGTCTTTCATGTCGTTCTCCGGCTCTTCCTTGAGCTCTTTGACTAGTTTCACGAGGCGTGAAAGGCCTTCCTCTATACACTCTCTTCCTACTGTCGATCTGCTATCATCGGGACCAGTGAGAACGAGGTACTCTATTTCACGCACCCCGTCATACCAGCATCCCTCTAACAGCGACAAGGCCAGTTTCTCTTTCCAGGAAGAGAGCACTGTCCCAGAGTCTCCTTACGAAAATGACGATAGGGATCTAGCCAATATCGATTGGCGCGAATTCCACATCCAGTTCTTCGACAACATTTGAAAGGTTGCAATTTCCCTCTTCGCGTTCTTCTGATTCTATTTTACGGAACAATCGAAATTATTTACTCCACAGCTACCAGGTCCCGCCCGTGCTCTTGCTCATACCATTTGTAGTCTACATTAATATATCTGTGAACTAGTACATGCCTCCTTACGTCCATTTTTGACTTATTATGCAAAATTTGTAGTGCCTCCCTCTGTAACCATAGTGTGCGGTGTAATTTCATCGTGTTCGCCACATAGATGCTGTGACGTAGGTCATACAGGCGGTATTTTGGCCTGTTTTGGCAACTGGCGACAAAAAATTTTTAAACGCCGACGTGCGAGAAGCGCTTTTCCATAACATTCAGTTTTTGTCCTCTCTCTGATACTCATTCGGGATTTATTGCAAGTTCCCTCACGATAAGGGACATGAACAGGAATGATTAATGTGCTTCCCTATCTCGAGGAGTTAGCTGACTCAGTTCAGCCTGACCGCCGCTATCTCACTGGTGAGGTAGATTATAGTGAGCAACTCGAGATCGGTGTTGAAGCAACTCATAACGTTAGTGGAGAGTAGTTCAAAAATTGTTAGTATTTGACAGATCGTCTGCTAGCTTTCTCTTTCTCTCTTGTTGTCTTAATGATATTGTTCTCTCTCTAGGGAATAAACTCAACGGACGATGTTAAAGATAGTTGATCTCCAATTTGAACGGAGCGGAGTCCTCGAACCCCTCTTTCCCTCTTTTTTTCTCCCGAGTATCTTCGTCATTTCTTCGTTCATTGGCAGCAATTATAAACGGTCTTCCCGCCTCTAAAAAAGCTTGTTTCCATTCACAAAACGTTCCCAAAGAAGATGCAGGTTGATCCAGACAAGATGCGGCAGTGAGTTTATCCCTAATTGCCTCGTCCTTGTTAGTCCTAATTCGATTTCAACTATCCCCAAAGTCCCCTTTTTCCATGGCGAATGCGTTTTCCGCCAATTCTGCGATCACACATCATCGCAACCGGCATCATGATAATGGCCTGGAGCTCGTCTTTCGATTGATTAACAAAATACTGCCTTCAACTTTGTTAGCTTTACATAACTTGCATTTATCCATTGAACCTCTAGCACTCCCTTTTCTCACATCTCGATGTCGGGTTCATATGCACCTCCCCTACCTTACGCATTCGTGGAATTCCTCGGCCCATTACAACCCCATGATCGAACTCTTATCGTCTCGTTCATCGCGGCCATTTGCGGTTTTTCGTCGAGTTTGACAGAAATTTTGTATCGTTGATCACCGGCACCCTACTAATGGGGTCACCTGGGTTATCATCAACGCTAAACCCCGTTGGCAAACGCATCCAGCTTGGTACGTGTGCTACATCTATATTGCTAGTGCTAGTGAAATAAATATTGATTCAAACGACTCCTCTTGCTTCCATGTCCTTCTCTCAACGTCCCATCAGGGTGTCCTTTCTAGTTGCTCTTTTGGATCATCTGAGGCGAGCTCTCCGCCGTGACAAACCGCCTATGTAGTTTTCATCCTGTAATCTCCGATATAACTCGGAGAACGAGGGATCCTCTTTTGCATGCATGAAATCTTACTTCAAACATCGATAAGGCTTCTGCATGCCCCACTGGATAGTTCCATTTCGGAGAAGTGACGATGCGAATCTATCAGAGGCCAATTGACAACAGTTCCGTATCCTTCTTCTATATTTGTACATGCTTGGAATAATTGGGTTTATCGTTCCCGAATCCAGATCATATCCGCTGTCTTTTTTTTCATCTTTTTATCGATGTCCGATGATTCGACGAGTCCATGAAACGATCCTCGCTTCCGAAATTCCTATAAAACCCTCCTACATACGCTGCTGACAAATTAAGCCCAAACACACAAAACCTCATCAGGTATTACTAGTTGTTCCATTCTTCCCTAAACACAATGGCTCGTCCATGTTCGGACTGTAGCTGTCCAGACTACCGCGGAACTGGGAATGGCTCTTGTCGGGTGCTTTTTTGCCGTCATTCTGCAGGTCGCCATCGAACTCGACCTCCTGGAAGCCGTGCAATAGAATCCTTCACAGTTCCCTCTTGTGCTCATTGTACATGCACCTCGTACATATCTGGAGAGGGTGATGACACTTGTCAAGATCCTGAATGCGCTCACCCGCAGGGAGCCCATACGTGACGATGATATGGTCAGAGTTCCCTTCGCCTAGGTTTCATTCATTTACTCACATTTGGCGTAAACGTAACAGGGTATATGATCACGAAAGAAGGGGCGAAGGAGGTGAGAGCTAATCGAAGACTGGGAACAAATATGGAATTGTACATCGAAAGACCTGATTGTTTAAATCCGTAAATATCTGAAGGGAATCATCCTTCACGACTTTTCTACCGAACTGATGATGTGTATCCTCGCTGTCCACCATTCTACGTACTCGTTTCCGACCAATTTTGCTACCATATACATAATGTCACTCCAAATTGTCCAAAATTACATATCATTTGCACCACTTCAAGCCGTACTTCAACTGTTTTCTACCCAAGAGATACTGATGTATTTATAGCGATACTATAGCAAGCGTCTGTGACCACGTTGTACGTCTTCGTCACTGCTGTCGTTGCGGCGCTCATCAACTTTCGGGATGCTTCCTCTAGCGTGTCCATGATCGGCAATGTTATCCTCTGTTATCCTCGTCCGGCAGGTCCACTACTACTATCGCTTCCACTGTGTTCATCACTTCTCAGCTCTGTTGCCACTGGGTAGCACTCATATGTGATTCCCCGTCGTCAGCTTGTTCATAACTGAAAGACCCATTCGCAGATTGAGATTTCCGCTGGCGCATCATGATTTGTACGTTCTACCTTGTTTCCATCTTATCAGTGACTGCTAGGAAATGGCTGAACACGAAAAGGCGGAGGGTGTCTTAGTCTAGTTGTGGTCCAAGCTCTCCATGAGGTGAACGAGTAGGACTAGGGCATAGAGAAAATGGTAATTTGAGTACATTATGTACCCGTTTCTGACTAGCTTTATCAGAATGAGATAGAAAATCAACCTCAGTTTCTTGTTCGAAATTTCATTTTATAGTGGTTTTAGGCAGCACTACTCAAAGGTCCCAAGGCCATGAAACGTACTGTCACTGTTCTCTACCAAATTGAATTTTTATTCCAAACAAACACAAGACTATCTACAATCCTCTAAATCATTAATCCAAGTCGGCGCCATAGCTCACAGAGGCCTGAGGGAAACGACGACCCATCTGTGGTTGGCTTTTACGCCCTTCGCGCTCAGGCTTGCCATCTTCGGCCCCAGGAACTTCTTTATCTTTGTCGTCGGATCTACCAGTGGATTTCTCACCGCCTGAACCACCATGTTGTTTATCCTTTCTCCCTCCCCGATTCCTCTGCTTCCGACCGCCAGGTGCACCTTTCTTCTTGTCACCGTGCTTCTTACCATCTTCCATAGCATTGTTTTCACCTTCATCACTGGGAGGACCACCATGGGCGTGATCCACTTCACCCTCGCCCTGTCCATGCTGCTGTTCTTGGCCCGGGAGAGTGCGACGATGCCTCTCATCCCCGTGATTGGGTTTTCTACCGCCAGCATGAATTGGTACATGTTCCTCTTCATGTCCGCCCTGCCTATGTTCTTGGCCGGGAAGAGTGCGACGATGCCTCTCATCCCCGTGGTTGGGTTTTCTACCGTCAGCATGAAGTGGTCCATGTTCCTCTTCATGTCCGCCCTGCATATGTCCTTGACCGGGAAGAGTACGAGGGTGCCTCTCACCTCCGTGGTTGGATTTCCTACCACCAGCATGATTCTCTTGATGCTTACCCTGCCCATGTTCTTGGCCAGGGATAGTGCGGCGCTGTTTTTTGGGTGAGCTTTCCTTCTCTCCTCCGTGGCTCTTTTCAGAGCTTCCAGTGCCAGAATGTTTCTTCTTCCTGTCACCCTTCCCCTTCTTGGGGCCATTGCCGTGGTTTTTCTTCTTCTTCTTGTCACTGTTTTCGGCACCCTCAGAACGTTGCTCTTCTGCGCCAGGAACTTCGCGACGCGAGGCAGCAGCATGAGGAGTAGGAGTAGCTTCGGATTTGGAGGTAGATGATGCAGAGACGGTAGATTTTGAGTCAGGAGATGAAGTGTCTTTAGACGTCGAGTGGGAACTGGCGGAAGAACTGGTGTGCGTAGGCGATGCATCGGCAGTAGCAGCAGCAGATCCAGTGGAAGGTGAAGACGAATCTGTCTCAATAGGAAGAGTAGGACTAGTCGTATCGGTGGGAAGGTCGACAACAGGTGTTGCGGACATGGGATCATTCCCATGACTGTGCTTGCGGTGCCCATGACCATGATTGCGATTACGTCCAGGTCCATCATGTTTGTGCATATCATTACTGCCCGCTGGTTGACCCTTCTGATCAGCGGTCGAAGGAGCTTTGCCCTCTGACGGCTTTCCGCCTTGTCCTTCGGGAACAGGGGCAGCCAATGCAGAAAGGGCACTGGCGGCGATGATAGCAGCGACGATGGAGCGAGAGTAGACCATGTTGTCAGGTATTATAAGCGATAAAGGTTGATTGGATAGATAGATAGACGTGCAAAGTGGCCGGCACCGATTGTTTTCGTAATTCGCGTTGGTGAGTGAGAAATGAGACCTGCTCTGTTCTGGGGAATCAGATACTGAGCGCGACGCATCTTTTATAGCTTTTCATGTAACGCTATCGGTGTAACAGGATTCCTAAAATCGCACTAGTAAGACAGCGACTCGACGATTCAAGAGATAATAATAGCTGGAAATGAATGCCCATTGACCCACCTTTGGAGGACTCAATTCATCTTCGTACATCCAGTGTTCCATAATCGTTTCTACGTGCATAGGAAAGTAGAGACTGATACCCTTTTCTCCCGGCCAGTAATCTGTTACATCAAACTATGGAGCGGATTCCATGGCGGTCGGTACTTCCTGTTCACCTGGTTGCTGAATAAAAAAGATTGATCAGCTTTTGAAGACGATATATTGGAAAATGATAGAGGCAACATTACTAGGAAAAGTCCAAACTGCGATGGCGTTGATAAAAATGCGATCATTGAAGGTTCACAAGGCGCTCGATTCTGTCAACCACTGTTCTTGTTTTGATAAAATCAGTACAGCATCCTGAAAACATGTACATAGGAAGAAACAGAAACCTTGTTAGAAAATACCAACATCGTAATCCTCCGTCAACAAAGGACTAGCTGTTCCGTCCCCTTACATTTTCACAATGCCATATATACACAGAACAACGTTAACTTGTTGCGCAGCAGCACTGTTCCGAGTTCCGTGAACGTAGCAATTTCGTGTTACTACCTTCGTTCAAATATAGGTTCGAGCAATGATACTGTACAGTGGAGGAAGGCACACCAAGATGGGGGCGGAATCACCTGTGGACAATATAGGTGGGCCGTGTAGGCCGAACGCCACCGGTTTCAGCTGGCCACCATTTTGTGGATCCTGTGTCTATCACAACTAGGATGATGCAACTCGAATAGGTCAAGTTACAGATGGGGGGCGCGACAATATGGCGGCAGCACTTACATAAATATGTCAGAGACCAAAGGTAAGAAGATCACGCCACCACTCACAACTTTGTTCAATCTTGTCCCCGAAGTGAAGTCATGGCGTTCAGTCTGTTGAGAACGCACGCCTTGAATCCCCTTGACACCGACACCAACATGAGGGCAAGATTCGAAACGTTATCATTTCGTATGATATGTAGATATCTCAAAGCTCTATCTTCATATTAACCAAAAATTGTCGTGATCATCAACAATATTAGTCAATTCAACCCCGCAAGAATTTCTGTCCCATCTCCCTTGGTCGTCAAAAACCTGACACTACTCCCATTTCCACTAATTCCACTGACGCCTGACCCAGTCACGTTCGCCAATCCACAGACCTCCATAAAGTCTCCAGCAGAGTTCGCCAACGGCCCGTTCACCTTCTCGATGAACTGCGCTAAAAGACACGTTTGTCCAGGTCCCGAAGAGCATGAAGGAACTGGAATCGGAGCGTTATCTGCTCGAACACGGACATAAAACTGAGGAGTAGTGGTCGAAGAGATATTAGGAGAGGCGACGGCAGTGTCGTTCAAATTGACGACAGCACCACCGAGGACGCCAGCCTGGTGAAAGATTCCGGAATTGTTCAAGTCGGGCCGTGGAGTAGAACAAGTTAACCGCTCAAGCGCCAAGTAGCCTCTGAATGCAACAAGGTGCCCACTGCGAAATTGTCGCAGGGGGTTCGTGTCGCGCTGAGTCAAGGAGAGGATAGTATCGTTCCAGAGTCCGAGTGCAGAAACGAGTGGAGGCAGGTTGTTGTCATGCTGTAGAATGAAGTAAATCGAGAACGGGCTTGAAAATGGAGGCTAAGACGACACAACAATTACACAGGATACTCACCGAAAACCCCATGATGAGAGGTGGAGGTATGAGTGTACCGTTCGAGACAGTATTATTTGGTCCTACTTCGAAAAGGTCGCTGATGGCCTTGATCCAAGGGTAACCAGTGACAGCGGATAATGGATTTCCAGGACCCGATCCGTAGTAGTAATTTAGGTCGTCGGCGTATTCATAATCGAGCCATTCTTCGCCTGATCGATAAGCGATCAAAGAAGGGACATTGAGGAAGCTCAACACAATGAACTTACCGGTGAAGATATCACAGAATCGCCTATCACCATTAATTTCATATCCGAACCCACAAAGATCTTGCATCACGCCAATGTCTGTAGCATCAAAAGTTAGATTTCCTTGCAAGAACGAGTTGATCCTCGCAGCAGTGCGATTTTGGTACGTAGCACGGAAAGTAGAAGCGGCTGCGGATCCGTTATTGCTGAAGACAGTATAGGGTGGGCAAGAAGCAGAGGGCGTTAACGAGTCAGCGAATGTACCGTTGGTTGCATTGATGGCTTGCTCTGCGGTCAATGAGTCGGGCAGGACAATTAAATGTCCTCGATTGAGCGAGGGGTCTGCAATGTAATTCCCGTCTGAAAGGTAACCTCGTAGGAAATATGTTGCAGTATCGACGACACGTTGTTCACCAGCTGACCTGGGAATATGTGATTTAAAGGGCGTATGCAAAAAACAAAGCTGGACGCACCATGCGGTGAAATTTCCTCCGCCAGTGGTAAACTCATAACGTTTACGAAGCTCGACACCGAGATCGAATGATTCTTGCGCGCCAGTAGAAGAAAGAAAAAGTGGCTGATGATCGACATTGTCTACAGGCAAATTCCATGTAGGAAGGAACGCCAAAGGTCCATGGGCGATGAATGTTGCATTTTGAATCTTCCAGAAGAGGTCTTGCCAGCCAACGAACGAGCTAGGTTCCGGGTAGCGACTGAGAGACAATGTCAAGACCTGTGTACGCGCATGAAAAGGTGTAAATGGCGTACGACCCATGGCGCACAAAATACGCTGCCTGGTCGACCACACATCCCGCAGGGGTCTCTGGACCAAGGCCTGGAAGTGTAGGCGCGTCAAAGTAGGGCGATGCATTGCCTGAATGTTTCAAAGGGTCAAAGGCTGCCCCAAACGTTGACACGAGAAGGACAATCGAGACCAATGACGAAGTAATCATGCTGGTCAACAGAAAGCTGACATATCCTACCCTCCTTTTATCAGTGCCCAAATGATGTCGATGAGGCCTGAGGGCCACGCTGGATATTGCAGCTCGAAAAGTGCCTGGACAAAGATAAACGTGAGAGTTGAAATGATCTGTAGTGAACATGCAATTACTGTAGAACGTGTGTTCCTAGACGTGAGAGCTGTTGACTTTGATTTGACTCCGAGCTGAGTGTTTCCAGACGATTACATCTCGCGAGCAAAAAATCAAGATGGTGTTGAGTTCAACGTTGTTCGGGAGCCGGGATGAAAAGCACGTGTGACGGATCAACCGATCGATTCCCGCGGATGATTCCACAATTTGTAACGTCGACCGTCTGAGTCCTTGAAGTAAGCTCATTTTCTCCTCTGACGAAGCTTACGATTCTACTCGAATATAGTAAAGCAAGTATTTTATAATAATGAAGAATAGAACACTCCCTTCAGCACATTACTCTCAAGTCTGTGTCAACGTCTCCGTCCTCATTCCAGGTCATCTATATCTTCCACACAAAGAGGTTTTTCAAGACGCTCTGGAGAATGGCGCCGAGACCGGTTCCACTGTCCCAACATTCTCTTTTCTCTTAGAACATCCAACTAGAGGTAAATACTTGTTTGACCTTGGTTTGCGAAAGGTGAGGGACTTGGACATGAACGTTATAGACTCGGCCTGATATGTGTGCTCAATGTCCGTCGTGGGTATCCCTAGCATGCCAAAGGTTACCCTCCGGCTTTGGACGGCATCTTGGTTGAATTTAAACCTAACTGTGACAAAGATGCCTCTGAGATCTTGATAGAAAACAACGTCGACCCAAACGAGATTCAAGGTATAATATTCAGGTAGGCATCTAATATACATGAGCAAAATAATCAAACTAACAACTACACCGCGTATAGCCACCTTCACTTTGATCACACGGGAGATATCCAGCTCTTTCCCTCGGCAGAAATTATTCTCGGGGGTGAAGGTGAAAGCCTTTTTGACGCGCCAACCTCGTGAGTTCCTGCCCAATTGAGAGTTGGGGACTCAACAGCATCGTGATCAGAGCTCTTGAAACCCAACTCACTGTGCCTGTAGACTCAGAGGTAGAGAGGAAAGGCAACAGCTAGATGGCTGGGCCTGGATGAGATACCAGAGACACCACTATTCTGAGGAAGATCTTCCAGCAGGTATCGATATCCAGCAACCGTGTCGAGGAGATGAGCTGGGAAGGGATTGACAGGCAGGAAAGGTTTGGCGGCACAGAGGCGGTATTCCACAGTGAGAACACCCGCGAGATCAGTCCATCAGTTTTTGCGTTGAGGACTGGCGCGACCGGGATATTATCTGATTTGGGATCACCGGACCCCATCTACTATATAAGTTAGGAACAGCTCAGTGATTTATTCTACCTTAGGTTTTTGTTGAACTGGAATGGGCTTACAACATGGGCACCACCTTCTATCATTGTATGTCAGCCTGAGTGCATTTGAAAAGATCAAGTCTGTATACATACCATGAAGATAGAACGAACTGTTTCGCCTTCCGTCGCTCGCTGGGGTGCATTTGGCTTCCCTAGGACCTTTCCATCCAATCCGAACCAATAACCGCACATTTCAGTAGTCCATACGTCATTCTTCTGAGCCAAGGATAAGATATCGCCCACGATCAAGTTATCTGGCAGACGAGGGATAGAAACAACATATTTTGCATTGGATTTGCCTGTTATGTCGGAAGGAACAGGAGGAGGAGGTAATCCAACATCGTACATCAATCAAATAGCAACTTGAGAAAAACGAGTGTGGACCATGATTTCCGCGGCCTGTTCGAGGGGAAAGCATAAGCAATCATCCAAAAAGGTATCCTTATGAACAGGACATGCAAAACGGAAGATTTAAGATAGATTTTCAAAGGCTGGGTTCTGGATGCGACCGTCACGCTAGTACACACATCATCATGATTAGGCCTCAATTGTAGCGAATATATATATATATATAGTCTACATCGAAATTGCTCATGGTTCGAATTGAGACTCGTCGGTCAGTTCGGATTGCAATTGAGGTCAGTGTGTATTCTACTTTCAATTTTACCTGCGAAATCATCCTGATGTTGAAGGTAAGAACTTATATTGCAGGGAACGAGGACGAGATGAGGGAATTGATTTCGACAAGGGAACAACACCCACATTTAGTGGATAAAGTCATGCCAGTGACTTGCCACTCCGTTGCAGACTATGAAGTTCGGCTCCTGACACAGTCCATAGTGAAGTATTCAATGAGCTCTTGTTGACTACATTTCTCAACAAAATCATGGAGGAAGGTTGGCGTATGATGGTTGAGTCAGCAAGCTGGACCTTCTTGAGGTGCGGATGAACCGATGTATAGGAAACATAAACATGTCCCAATTACATATGGAGCTCCTGGAGACGGTTAAAAATCCGATACCCAAATTCATCACCACTAATTTTGACGGATTGAGCTCATAAGGTCCGGTGGGTAGGTTGCGCAAGCGATGTATGAGCTGCAGATAGAGTTTGGGAGCTGCTCCTTCACTAAAAAAAAACAAATAACGAAACATAGTGTGGAAGTGCGCCGGCGACTGAAACTATCATATGGATGAAGTATAATTCCAATGAATACTACATCAGAAACGAATGATTTTAGTGCGTCGTCTCAAAAATTCGTTTACCGTAGAATTGTCGTGCTCAGAGGTAATCATCTGGCCATCCAGATGAAGTTCAGGTCGCCAGACACTGCGAGTGTTATACACTCCTATCGGGTACACAACCTTTCCTTCTCGCCCAGCCCAATCATAGTCAATGAGCTGACATTGCCATCTATCCTGTTTTCGACGTACAAACACATTCGTGTCACGCAGATCACCATGAACAAAACCCATGGTGTGAAACTTCGACACACACTCTGTAATCGCATCCTTGCAAGGCGGCTCGAGGATGTCAAAATCGTCACATGGTTGAAAGTCACTTTCCAAGTTCTCCATTACTACCATCCACCACCCACCAGCAAGATTAGAATGGCTCAGCAGAGCTGGGGCGAAGCCAGATTCAGCTGCTGCCTGGTGCGCCTCAACTCCATAAGGCCCGTATCCGAATTTGACGATAATATCTTGATCACCCTCAGTACGAGCGGTAAATACGAGGCGGATCTGGCTGACTCGCTTGATGTAGGTGAACTGGACTGTGGTCCTGGAAGACCGGTATGAGCGAGGATAAGGGAAACTGACTTGATCCGAGTCAATAGCGTAGTCGTTTGGCTTTTCGTAAACCTTGAGAAGAGAGCGGAAGAGATTCCGGAGGGCTGTCATAAATCTGAGAAGATTTTCCATAGAATGGGTATCGTACTCGCTGAAATAAAGCGGCAGGGAAGGTGAGAGCACTTCGACATATTGATCGGTTAGATAGACGGCACCTAGAGCCTGAATATTGGGACCTGTGTCACGTCGGAATCAGACAAAACGAAAGCAAAGGTCTATGGCATACCATTATGAATGACGAGGACAGAGGGAATCCTTGTCTTTCGCCAATCACCCTTGTATTGATCATTTGAAAGTATGAGCCTGACGCCTTCCTGATCACAAAGTACGATCTCAAAGACAGCGTCACACGATCCTTGGGTAAATTCTATCTTGACCTCCACAAGCAAGGGCTTAACTAACAGATCAGGTAAATCCGTATCCTTTGGATCAATGCCTCCGCCGGTCTCAAACGAGCCGATTTTCCTTCTCGCCACCTCGTAACCGTCGAGTAAATTGGATAGAAGCTCATGAAACTTGGACTCTCGCTTCTTCTCGTCCTCAAAGAAGCCTGAAAGTTCCTTCAACCACCTGTACGCGAGGGGCGACAATTCTTGATCAAGAGCGCCGGAAACAATATCTTCTTTGAATTGAGCAAATTCGGCATGGAAGAGGGAAATAGGGACGTGATAGAAATTGTCCTGCTTCGGCCTCCCAATGGCGATGGGATCGGATCTGTGGTCGTTGATGAAAGTCGAGGCGGTGGCACCCTTGGAAGGAGCCTTCTGGGGACGTTGAAAGATGTTCTTCACCCGCATATCAGTCAACTTGTCCCGTTCCTCATTCAGCTGTGCGTACTGGGAACGGGGAACCAGAAAGACAGATATGGAGACGGGATCGATGGGCGGAACAGGGGCAGGAAGTGGGCCGGACTCCCAAACACGCCAATATCCGGTCTTGTATTCGACAGGCGGGCATTCTGCGACACGATCCCAGAGAGTTGCGGAGGGGGCATATATGATCGGAGTTTCAGGGACCTATGCAGGACAATGAGTTCATGAAAAGGTCTTCTTGAGCAACGCACTAGAAGAACCCATTTGCGGTGAAATTGAGGTCGCTGTTTTCGAATGGGAGCTATGAAGGAATCAAAATAATCACCTGGACCTCCATAGTCAAACTTAGGATTGACAGGGTCTTTCACTAGTTTATCATCTTCGATATGCGCGAACATATAGTTGAGCTCTTTGCTCGCGGGAGGTGTGGTGGTCATGGTGGCGGAAGTTGAGAATGAGGCCGGCCCGGGAAAAGGAAAACCGGCTAATACCTCTAAGTCGTTTTATACGAATCAGCGAGGAATACCACGAAGATATCGCTGGAGCCAGAGATGGCCTTACTCATACAGGTCGCGAAGCAATCACCCAATGTGGTTATCATCCTGGCATATGAGAAGGAGTATGAGGAGGAGCGAATGCCGCTCCTCCCAGCTTCTTTGAATGGTTGGGCGGTGGAACGGGTACGAGAGCGAAGGAATGTATGATACCGTTATCCCAATACAGCACGAGTCACGAATGAAGAAAATTTTGCATGCGTTCAGTTCTCCAGGACTCGAATGCTTCTTTCCGAGGCATACTGCAGAATTCCTAGCCACAAAGTTGAATTCTCTAAAAATACACGTAGACAAACGATACAGAGATATGAGGATGATTCCAAGTCAAATTATACCAAACCAAGGTCCAAATAAAAAACCGATATCTACTGGATAGAAAGGGAGAGGATAAGAATACGTAGTAAGGGCGGGAGAGCGTGGTTACTATGTAATACTAAACAATGTAATAGGTACGCAGACCAGAAGGTACTATACGACCGGTATTCACTGCATTTTACTTATATAAATGGTCGAACAGAACGCATAAATTATTGCCAAATAAAAGAGTGTGCAAAGATAGGCAATGGGGGCACCATGCGTATCGCAAGAGGAGTCAAGAAGAGTGGTGGAAACAGGTAACGACGGAGGGATAGCGGGAGACGCCAGGAATTCCGCGTTGAAATTTTTTTGAGAGAACCAGACGAGGAAGTGAACCGAAGAGATGAAGGAAAGCAGGTGGGGATGAGGGTGGAGGTGGAGGTGGAATAGTAGCAGTTACTCAAATGCAGTCATATCTGCAAATGGGTTCCCTTTCCTCAACGTCAATTTCTTCTCGAGTTAAACTCGGCTGTTCGCGCGCTAATATTTCCACTCTAGGGGATTCCTGACGAACGAAAAGGCGAACGATCAGTTATAGCGCTCGTTTGGAAGATACACGGAGCGAAGACTCACCAAGTCGTGCACAGCAGCAACAAGTGCGGGTATATGTGCCGGAATGGGTGATGCTGCTACGAAAGCGGATACTGAAGGGATAGAAAAATGTGATTAGCAAGTGGCCGATAGATGGAAAGTCAAAGGGACGTACGACAAGACAAAGCAAGTGTGATGAGGAGTTTGGACTGCATTTCCGTTCAGTTGATGATCACGCGAGATACTCGGGAAAAGATAGTCAAAGGAGTACGGAATGTATCGGAGTCGAAGGCCTGTCGAAAGCGGCAACTGTGAGTCCTCGATGGGGTAGGGGAAAAGACAATAAGCTGGAAGCTGGAGGGAGGAGAACAATAAGACGTTCCATTATATATGGAATCGTCCTTGAGTGCCTAGATACCTTGCTCTGCGAAGAGAAAGAGCAAGGAATAAGGGGAATTCCAAAAGGGGAAGCAAAGAAACATGTTTCCTTCAACCCCAGACCTGTTCAAGGACAAGTGAGCATCCAAATTTAGTTGTTCGTTTGAATATTCATACATTACTCGTGCGAATCATCAATGTTCAGTTATCGATGCTTGAGATGGGCTTCATGGGCACGTCGCTCGAACAATGTTGAAGGAGTTTGCCAAATTTGGACAAGACTTCCTTTTTGGGAACAAGGTCGGAGAGGACGTATATTACTAGGTACGACTCGTAAAATTCATTGGACGTTTGAGGGAAAACTGGGGGGCCAAGAAGAACAGTTGTAAGTAGAGAAAAACAACGATACATGTCAACGAATGACGCAGGGGTAACTGATAGAACCAAGACAAAACTTACCATGGCAAGCGGGTTAGGGGGTCATTTCGGCCATTGTAGGCGATCTGTTTGTGCATAAGAGCTTTGCAAAGAGCTTTGCAAGTGCTCCAACAGTTCAGAAGTTGTCTGTGGAAGGCGTCGAGCGACGGGACGCAAAATCCAATGTTTTTCAACTTGTGATGAGCGGGGATCCCGGTCGTAGTTGCAATAGTTGCCAATTGTGAACGAGATATCTACTGATTTTTGCCACTATAGTAAAAATGAATCACGATGATAGATGAGCTGCGCTCAGCTTTGCCTTTGACAGATGACATCTAAAAACTCGAAGGCGGAATATACACCTGGAGGTACATCAGGCACGGACTGGGCACGGATATCATACCAGAGGATGTTCTTGGGGATCCCGGTCGTGAAGGAATTGTCGTAAATGCGATCTCCAATTCCGGAATGGAAAATAGGGAATGAGGGACCTACGCCCAGCTTGATCTCCCTGATTACGACCACGGCAAGCTCAATCACGGCCAAGATATGAGCTCGAGATTGGAACATTCTCGCCTCGGGCATGATCAGCTCTCCAAAGCGCTGAGACTCAACCTCACAGCGCAATTTCATCGAGTCTTCGAATATCTCGTGTACTTTTCTTCAACCACTGGCATCCGCTCACCCAACTTGAACACAAAGGATCGAAGAGGATGTACCCCTTCAACCGTACAACTTCGAGAAGACCGGTGGAGGCGCATAAAGCGAATCGACTCATCTGAACCTACAACCGACAAGTCAAGAGGTGAGAAAAGAGTTAAAGACTGAGGACACACTATTCTCAAGCGCTCGCAGACATGAGTGTGCCCATTTCTAACCGCAACGGTAAATGATCCACAACTAGTTCAAGCTTAATCCCGCGTTGCCCCTCCCTTGTCCATCATATCCACCAGTTGCAAGATCTGCCTTTCCTGGCTTTCTACCCTGGACATCCACTTCGAGTCTCATCCAGATTCTACACTCAGATGTGCTTGCCAGTCTGTGATTGTTTTCATAGTTTATAGGCGTGAACGCGTGAACAGACTCGCCATAATTGAACAGGTAGAGAGTCAAGAGGGTTTGAATAAGTCCAAATATCGTCACGGACTAGAGCGTTACGTGGCGTAACACCAAAAAGGGGAACGTGAACGGTAAACTACTTACTCATTACACCATTAATCAGTACATCCATAGCACATCATGCATCAAGCTCAAGGGTCATGACGCATAAGCAGAATAAAAGAGACGGCTCTCAATGCCCTGTGGGTGGCTTCTCTCTAATATCTATCGAGATGCAGTATTCATAACGGTGATGAATGTAGTCAGAATAACTATTAAATCTCCCTCTCAGAAATTCCCTGTCGCCGACTCGCCATCTCTTTGGATTCTATCAAGATCTCGTGCAGCATTGTAGCTACGAATGGATGTGATTGAGGTCTCGATTATTGATCGAAATTTACCGTTATACATTTAACTGGGACGCAAACAGCTAAGGAGGTGAGACCTCGCTGTTCTCAGCCATGACCGGTTCACTCACGTCTTCATTCCAGAACGAGAAAGCTTTAGGCGAACACCTCGAAAATGCAAGTGAATATGACTTCGGCGGAGAGTCTCGTCCTCCCGTTCTTTCTGAAGACAATGAGCGTAAACTATGGAGGAAGATTGACCTCCGTTTGATGCCCATACTCTGCGTGATGTACCTCATGTCTTTTATGGAACGCGGTGAGTAGCATATCTGCTCGCCATACACGCATAAGCTAAATGTTTGTTCTTACCTCAGGTAACATCGGTACTTGCGCTCACAATGGGTCAGACGATCGTGTAGCTGACTAGTATTTCCATGAAGGGAACGCCAAACTCCAAGGGCTGACAACGCAGCTGAACCTGACGGGAAATCAGTATAACATTGCATTGGTACGTAGAAGGACTTCCGCCGAGAGCTCAGGGTGCTGAATTGAGCTTATAGACAATGTATTTCATTGTAAGTGGCACTGTATATAAAAACTCACGTTTGACAAGCCCTATTGTATATTTGAATGTCCCGCCAAGTGAGCTATGATTACCTATTGAACTGACGCTAGCATCTCACCATGGGATTCAGTTTGGTACTGAAGAAGTTTCGCCCTTCCATGTATGTAGGCTCTTTTTCGGCCCCTTAAAGTTATTGTTCTACATCTGACTTCTCCCTTTAGTTGGCTTCCAGGCATCACTGTTCGTGTTTCTTCTTCTTTCGTAGGCGAGCTATTTAGGCTAATCTCTCGAACCCGTCAGGTTGTATGGGGTGTCATCATGTGAGTGTAGCGTCTACCATATTGACGGATGGTTCATATCTCGACATTTGCAGGACACTCATGGGACTTGTCAAGACGTACGTAGCTATTGATCTTGTCAGATTACAATGAGTCAGTGATAACACGAGGATTCAGATATCCACAGTTGGTTGGCGTGCGTGTCTGTCTCGGGTAGCAGAGGCTGGGCTATTCCCTGGTGTTGCTTACTAGTCAGTGTCACTGTTTTTTATCTCCCCGAATTTACTGACGTGCTACCAGCCTTTCCTTGTGGTATCCTAGAAGCGCTCTTCAGACTCGTATCGGACTCTTTTTCGGTGCAGCGACTTTAGCTGGAGCATTTTCTGGCCTTTTCGCATTTGCGATTTCGTTCATGAGTAGCACGCGCGGATTGTGTAACAGCAAAATTCTTGACACCGGAAGAACAGGCCTTTGTGATTTGGAAGAAGAGTACCAATTTTTCTAATTCGAATTTCGCGAGATGATTCATGACATAGATGACCAGAATATGACAACTCATCGGTCGGAGAGGAGGAAACATTTGAGGCCAAGCATATTTATCAAGCTTTTACAGACTGGCAGGTATGGTTCATGAAACAGAGAAGTTTGTAACGTGGATGCCTTATTACCCATTATTATTTTATGTTTCCAGGTCTGGATCCATATCCTGAACTACATGTCGCTTGCTGGTCCTCGTTGGTGTACTTCAGGCGTTCCCCTGATACTGCGCTCATATCTCTCTACTTCAAGTTTGTGGCATTACTCTCTTTCTTCCGTGAGCATATCAAATTCAACCTTCCAAACTAAAGTTTACCTTGCCGCATAATCCAGGACCATTATTAGCGAGTATGACATCAATTCACTACTATAACTACCTACATATTGACGGACTTCCTATCATAGCTTCGGCGAATTTTCCACCCCCATCAGTCAATTGCTCACAGTCCCGCCCTACGTTCTTGCGAGTGCGTGACACTCAACATATACTGATCCAGCAAACACCTTATGTTCTCTTGCTCCACCCAATTTGTAGCCATCGTCCTAGGATTCTTCTCTTATTATTCCGACAAAGTGACGATGCGCTCGCCTTTCATCTTAGCGGGCCAAATTATATGTCTCATAGGGCTCTCAATCAACATCGCGAACGTTTCGCATAATGCCAAGTACTTTGGTACTTTCTTGATCGTCGCAGGGAGCTACTCCGGACTACCTGGGATCGTTGTGTGGTAAGCCTTCAATCTCGATTCCAACCTCAATTACATGTCAATCACTTGCAGGCTAAGTACCAACCTGAGTGGCCAGTACAAACGAGGCATAGGAATGGCCCTCCATATCGGTATTGGAAATCTCAGCGGTGTAATAGCGTCTAACATTTTCAGAATGCAAGATAAACCGCGGTATATCTTAGGCCGTACGTCTACCATCATCTCTACATATCCTTCCTCTACGACCACTGACAGAGTATGGATAACTGCAGAAGGAATGGAATTAATGTTTGTTGGCATCGGACTTATTTTCCTCCCTATAACTGTCTTCACGTATAGTCGGATCAACAAGAAGAAAGCGGAGCTCATGAAAAGAGTAGCTCAGGGTTTGGAGAAGAGACCTTCGCCAGAGGAGCTGAGGGTTGGGGGACAGAGCGCCTGATTTTCGGTATATTCTTTGAGATTCTAGAGGCTTCTAGTTGCATGTACATAGGTAACAGAATATCTTCCTTGACATCCTATGTAGGTTTTTCAAAGGTCATATCACTGTCAGCTGAATGTACCAACTGCCGCACCTTACTGCTGCCTTCTTCATCCTAAGCCCGTCAAACCGAAAGACGTCCACAAGACCGAAAGACAACCCATCCAACGACTCATCAAGTGACAGTGCATTCTGGCCGCGCGACATCGTGACTACCTGCTTTATGTACATTGTAAAGGAGGGCAGCTTGATTATGAACACTGGCAAATAAATGGATGGATGAGAAAGCTACTACTAGGCCCAGGGGATCCACCCGTTCACCTCTGATCTTGGGATGAAACGATTGTGGACATATTTACATAGCAGACGAAGAGATCAGTACAGCTCGTTGAACACTAATCGTTATATATATCTCGGTACTGATATCACTCTCAGCAACCCCCGATATATGAAAACGGCATCATGTGTCTCTCGATCTTAATCTGTCGGAAACATACATCGGGAGGGTCCCTCTAAAAGACGTATATGCAGGGACCAAAGACCTGTATTCTGGGGCAAGCATCTGGAGCATGTTCGAGCGTCCAGCCAAATGTGGCCGAGTCAAGAACCACAATAAGATCCAACGGGGACGTTCAGACCAAGTTATCTGCTCGTCGCGCATCACACCTTGTTCTCTTCGTCGACGTGTAAACCGGGATAAAGGCCAATGGGAGCTAGATAAAGAAGAGCTATTCAACGTAGCTGCGGCTTCAGTGTAGAATGTCGTTGCAAGAGAATCGCCAGTGGCGTTGGTACGACTGCTAGTAGTGTTAGTGGTGGTGTCCGAAATAATATTTCCGTCCATATGACGAACAGGGTTCCTAGGTTCGTCGATTGAACGAAGCCCGTGGAAAGTGATAGGTCCACCATACTCCGGATCAGTGTTGAATGCATGAGAAGTCGTGCTGAGTTTTCTTCTAAAATCATTCCATACTTGCTTTCCAAGAGGAGTGCTCACTTGGTACAAGTAAATCAGTTATTCTATAATCATGAGCAATGGAAACACGTACCTGGACAAGCTCCTATCAAACCTCCCCCAAACGAAAGCTCTGTCGCAGTGACCATAATAACTTCTCGGATTGTGGCCAAAACCCACTGACGTTCGCTATAAATTCAGACGCATCAATAAGTTGTACCTGGAGTGAACTGGAAAGTCTACACACGTCACGCGCAGATACATCGTCAAATAGCGAAGTTTTTGCAACACAAGTGCACAACTCTGCCCTCTAATAAGCTTCCACGCCACGTATGCACTGAGAATCTCCTCCATTGCCAGCTCAGGAGATTCTTCATCGACACATCTGTCTAGCAGCCTCGCAACTTCGGATTGAGATAGCATCGAAAGACGTTCAGAGTGTCTTCATTATCGTTGAAACGCTGGGGTGATAAGTGCAAAGCCTGAGATAACCGGGACCTGGAGTAGGCAATCGCATATTTCGATTACTAAAGTAATTGAGAGAATAGATTGATTGATAAGGTACTTAGATTGCATCATTGATAAATCGGCTCCTGAAGGCCTGAAGCTTGAAGGCGCGGCCTCACTAATAAGGTTTTTGAAGAGGGAAATGAGAGAAGGGTTCTTAGTATAATTTCTATCAGGATTCTGAGCAGAAAAATATTTCAATTTTAAAACACTGTCGTCCGATATGAGATCATATCTGGGTTGTGACTAGCGCGTCGTAATGTACTACTTCGACAATGCTTTATCAACATCATCAAATCCACGAGAGCCCATTAGATATTTCTTCACGAAGCTTTCTCCATCCATATCATCCGCATTAGTCGAATGGCTAACCCACTCCCACTTTTTCGCGTCATCCAGCGTATTTTGTGCCTGCATCCTCACAAGGAACAACGACTCAGAGCCCAATTGAACCCTGAGAGGTAGCTCAATGGGTGAACTCGGTAGAGCACTGCTATGTTCTGCAACGACCTTCTCTACTCCTTCACCAATCCATAGGCCCGGAAGCTCCGAGCGTACACCAACGGAAAGGTCAGCGAGTCGGATGACTGCTTTAGCCATCTTGACTGGGTCACCGAGACGAGGAATTTGGTCGCGAAATTGTCTAAACATAGAACTCGGGCTAGAAGGATCCGTATACGCAGGATGCGGAGGAATGGTTTTGGAGTTGTGGCCGGCACTCCATTCTGAGCGGAAGCCTCCCGGTTCGAGGATGCAGCCTTTGATGTTCCAAGAAGGGTGCATCTCTTGAAGGAAAGACTGTGTGGATGCCTCCAGAGCTGGTAGTATGTGAAGGATCGAAGTGATTAGTAATTTCTCATCGTGATTGGTATCAGACACGTACCAAATTTACTCGCGGAATAATAGGAAAGGGTTGGATTAGCTCGATAACCACCGACTGTGCTGACGTTGAAGAGACGTCCGCCGGCTCCTGCAGGATTGACCTCGCGAAAGATGCGAGCGGCCTCAACGATATAAATGTTATCATGGTGTTGTGGATGACAATCAACAACCCTCACCTCCTTCATAACATGAACTGGCCCCCAATACTGCAGCTCCATTATATGCCTGGCGTCTTCTTCCGGAACTGCCTCTATCTCGCCAAAGAGTCCGATCCCAGCGTTATTGACTACAACGTCAATTCGACCGAACCTCTTGATGCCAGCAGCAAAAGCGGACTTGATTTCATCTTCCTTCGTGACATCCAGCTTGTAGGCAAGAAGTTGATCTTTGTAACGAGTAGAAAGTTCATCATGAGTCGTAAGGTTACGACAAGTGGCTACAACGCGTTCTCCATTGGCGAGAAGAAGATCAGTGAGAGCTTTGCCGAGGCCTGAAGAGGTCCCGGTAATGAACCAAACACGATTTGGAGAGGGCATGGTTTGACAAGGTCTCTATGGTGGTGAGTTAGGATTTTATAGGCATTCTAGGTTGAAGAATGACGAATTCGTTCGGCGAAGCTGGATGTAGATGATAGCACGGAAGATATCCGAGCCGGCATCTGCCTTGAGCCCATACAATCTTGAAATGATTTGAGTCCTGAGTCTGACGCTCCAATTAACATACTGTAAGTCCCCCACTAGACACATTCTGTTTCTAGCCTTTACAGCTCCTCTCCTCCCCCATGCCTTGGCACCGTCGTCGTCTTTCCTCTTCGAATGTAGACACTGAGCTCCAAGACTAGGAAATTCTATGAGTCGAAGAAGCCATCATAGTGAGGGCAGAGTCGAGGGAATCCTTTAGGCAAACCATCAGCTTACTGAGTAGAATTGACAAAGTGCATCCGATCCCGCTCCGTATCTTGAACATGCCCACAACCAGCCTACAACTGCACTGGGTAGGATTCAGGTTGATGTTATTGACTCAGGCAACGTTCGTTTATCCAAACATGGCAGAAACTTTATGAAACACCCGGCGCAAAAAGAATATCCAGCGGGAGCACGTAAATTAACCTACGGATATGTTCAGTATCTAACGCGTTGCAGAAGTATCAAGGCGCAGAGCACGTACAAGATTGATGAATTGGGCTATGTGGATGTCGAGTCCAACAACGCGCGATGACGAAGGTTTCTCAGTCTGGGCATGAAATTCCATGACTACATTCAATGGCTTCACACACAGGCTGCACACACGCATGTGCAATATGGCGCGAAATTCCCACACACTCGTCAAATCCTAAAACAGTTCACGCTAGTTCACGTTGCTTGAAAATCTAAAACAAGAGTACGTCCTTGGACTACAGGGTTTTGCATAATTCCGTGAAAACGAGGTTTTTTTCCCCGTCCGATTTTTGAATGTTCAGGACCCAACTTTGATGTCGACCCGACGTGGAAATAGAAAGATAAACCATATATGGCTGATCTGATAAGGAGAACTCACCTTAGGGGGAGAAACTCTGAACTTCGCGATCTGAGCTTACAAGAATGATGACGGCTTCGCTACATCGCTCCCTCGTACCGAATACCATCGAGATCGAAGAGTATCAGAGACGTGCTGTCCCACAGCTAATGAATAAACATCGAGCCGAGACATGCGAACTGTGCTATCCTGGGAGCGAGCGTATAGCGAATAATATGTCCAACCCAGAATCAAGCTGAGTAAATTTTAGCATCCTCTGAGCAGAAATAAATGAATGAGACGATCTCGTGTCGCTAAAAGTTACTTGGCTAGAACTGTATCGAGAACATGTATCTTGCTAGCTTTGCTGCGGTAGGAACTTCGAGACAGTCACTAACGACAAGCGGCTTGACGAACGCACTACTGCACGTTGTTCAAAATCTGCACAATTGCCAGTATCACCTTCGACAAGATGCTATCATTAGTGAGTGACAATGAGGTCGATACCAATGCAAAACACAAAGTTAGAGCCCGAGGGGGGAATGAAGAACCGAGGGAAGAGGTGAGCCTGACGAGTATATTGTAAGGTCAGATCTTATAGTGGAAAACAGCGCGCTCTCACCAATTTAAGAGCACTTGATTAATCTGACTGACGAAGAAACTCTGTAGCTGTGTTTGACCGCGCAGGACGGGTGGTTACATGAGACGTTCCGGAGGAAAACATGTGGAGGTTTACCTGGATGTATTTGCTCGCAAAAAAGATATCCTGAATAAGTGAGAATCAGTGACAATTTGCGGAGAATGACTACGGCCTTTGAGTAGAATTTTCGTATCAGAGGTTGAGTTCACCACGGAGTTTTATGCAGGTTTTATGTCAGCCCGCCAAGGGATTCCTCACAACTTCCAGGTTATGGTCACCGTGGGCAGTGCACGCCCATAAATCAATACAGTGAACCTTCGATCCATTCTATTCAGTGGGATCTTCATGAACAGCGCCTGTATGTATTGACATGTATATATTGACTGAGAAATCCGTGTCTTGCCCCAAGTTGACCTGTTTGCTTACCCAGTGGAGACTTCAGCTTGACATGAAATGTCATCTTAAAATTCACTGTTCATCACAAGCTGCTGACGTTCTATGTAGGATCCGAGGGTTTGAACAGAGTACTCTATATTAACAACGATCCAGAAAGATCCATACCCCATCTAGCATGAAATTAGGTCAAGTATATCATGCACAGTACAACCACAGGGGATATTAATATGAAAGGACATGTTTGAGTAAAAGAGAACGGTTTCAAGAATGTAGGTGAGCTAATGCCCAGAGGTATATGTGATTAGAAAGTAATACTAAATATCAACCGACATCAGCCAAGCTCATCGAAGATTAGGGACACATACTTTAAAGACGGCTCCTGTGCACTTTACGGGAAGCAGGAACAGGAAGAGCGGGTATATGTGAACGTTTTGCAGGCATGGAGCGCTTGGAAAGATCGAGGGCTGACTTGGGGCAATCTTCTTCCGCGCTTGTGCACTCGCCAGTAAGCTACGACAAACATTGATTGGATGTGAATGGAAATATTCGACATGGGGTTCGTACCACATCATATACACATTTGAGCGTCGATGTGCTACTGGTATTGCCCCGGAAGCTAAGGACGGTGACGAGTCAGTGACAAGTCTAACAGCTATTACAACTTCAGGACATCACTCACGTGCATCCGAAAACAGAGCTAGAGTGTGGAGGAGTGTCACAAAGGTCGGGAATCTGAGAGTTTCCGTTGGTCGTGCTGGTTGGACAGAGGAAGCCAGTCGACGGGACGGAGGAGGGCTTGCTCTTTTGGGCAGCGAGAGCAGGGGCTGCGACAATGAAAATGGCGGTGATTGCAGTAGAGAAACGCATTGTCAATAAAGGGGAACAGTAAAACGAAGGTAAGTGGTAAAAAAGAATGGACACAGATTCCTCGAAGGGAAAAGCTGGCTGTTGCTCTGGGTAGGTGCGAGTGAAGAGAAGGATTTGTGTATGAGGCGAGACCGAGCCTTATATACGCCGAAATACGCGACCAGAGTGGAGCCAATCCATTCAAATGAGATTCAATAAGTTCCGATTGTTTGGTGACTAAACTGCAGATATCAGTCGGTCGTTTTCGAGTATTGCGTTACCGTAACGACTTCATACCTTTCATTTGTGCATTGTAACGACGACCAACCAACAAATCCGACTGCTGTTCAAAGGTTCAAAAGGGTATTCTTCTATTTCAAGAACGTTATTCGACCGACGAAGCCAATCCGACCCATGTGAAGGACCTGCTCGTAATGCCGGCAGATGGAGCGCTGTACCGGGAAAGTGTAAAAACCCGTTTATTTCCAAAAGTGGGGCACGTATGGTGGTAGCTAATGAATTCTTCAAAAGGAAGCATAGGAGAGCCCTTTAATCTGACTTCATAACTCCGAGGAAGACCTGAGAGATCTATGTATGTACATTGTGGTCGCCGGTGAGCTCAAGGCTGAGCGCTGAGTGACAGAGGTTTGTTTCGGAAATAGAGCAGGAAGTAGGGTCGGCGAATGACCGTTATCCCCGGATTCATCATGCAGGGGCAATTACGCGGTTTTCCGTACCAGTCCGTACCAGCCTCATGTGACATGCCCAGCTCATGCCTCAAGTTCTAGCCGTAGCAATCCTAGAGGCTAGGGCTTCCAAAAACAGTGCATAGCACTATATGCCAGCGAGTAGCGCGAACATTCAACTTCGGAACTCTGGTAGGATGGGGAGAAAATGAAACGGATGCCCATATCACAATCCGCACGATACATGAACCCAATTCAACCCTGTCTGTAATTTTCTAGATATGGGATGATTCCCGTTTCTGTGCTTCACCCTGGCCTCACCTATATCGCGAACCGTACCACTTATTAGGTACAAATGGCACGCAATGGGTGCAGCACTGGGTGGCTTGCTTGAAGATGACGAGGGGAACGACCGGAAGGTCACAAAAGAAACCTTTGAGATTTAGTATTACTGTCATTGCGAAATTTGACTGACACCTTTAGCGTAAACATCCCACCTCACCCGTTCCTCCGCATTCTAATAGCAGCAGTGGTAGGATCCAGACATTAATGACATTGGGATCGTGCATCTGAGCCATTGTACGTGGTATGACTTCCGTGAGCGTGTTGCTAGACGTGCTCGGTTTGGACAGGTACTTCAAAGCGTATTCTGAAATTTCCTCAGGACGTCTTATCCGCGGTTGGGTAATAGGATCATGGACTTACATATTTGTCTCACACACCAAAAAGTTGGTATTTGTTCAGTACCACCCCAAGATAATGAGACTCAAACACGGAAACTGTATGTAGTTCCGCAGCGCCATAAGGAATGAACGATAGCAGCATCTCCATGCGCTGAATCATGCGCTGAATCCGTAAGATTTCGTTGGAATTGATTAGTCGAGAAAACACGAGTGTGGAAGCCGACGAATCGGTGGTGATCTTCAGTAACATCGCCTTCTCATTAACAGGTAGATGGTTGTGATTGAGAAATCCGGTGTATTTGTTAGATAGTGAAAGTAAGCCATCGACATGTAGCTCGTAGATGGGTTGCGGGTGCGAGATCACAAGAAGCAACCTGTAACAATTCACAGGTAAGCAGATTGACTTCATTTGGATTTAAAAATCGACTCACCAGGCACTACGCTCCTCGTCATCCCAGATATTCAGATTCTACAGCGCAAGTCGTTCAGAAGCCCTTAGGCCGCCTTTTCTCCACACCATATCCGACTGTGAGGCACGCGCTCAGCGGCAAATCATCGATTGTCCAGAAATCCCGGTGCGGAATAGGGTAAGCAAATAATCAAGGGCATTTAGCATGATGATAAAAGCCTCCCATGCTACTCTATCCTACCTTGGCTGGATGTGAATTAGAGTTGATTTTCGTTTGTCCCTACATCGGGACGAGGAGATACCATCGGAAACTTTTTTACGCCAGTTTGTCGTACACTTTCGAGCGAGCATCCGGAAAACCTATTTGACAAACTATACTGCACATTATAGAAGATTGTAGAGATGTAAGAACCGATACTTGATAATAAGTTCAACATGAATAAAAAGTGTTTTCGTTTTCTGGATCAAGCATTATTGAATGCACACAATTGCCTTGAACCTCTTTGTTTAGACCAGCCAAGTTCAAAACTCTTTGTCCTTAGAATTAGCATTGGGTGTCTGGGGAATCAAAGTTAATGTTGAGATAGATAGAACTGGAGACGATCACGCTCATTGACAATGATTCTGAATTCAGTGTTTACAGGTGTTTACCTCCCTTGTATTCCCTCGAGTACCGCCTGCAGTGAAATTCAGTCCTCATTCAGAAGCTTATCATCAGAGGATGAATCTCCTAGCGCTTGTACAATTCAGCAGTCAGCTTCTAAGTAATATGTCGAGAATATTATTCCAAAATTTGTAAAAATTTCACAGCCGTACGCACAGGTACACTGTGGCGACTCGGAGGAATTCTGTAGGCTCGCTGATCACTGGGGATCTATAATGACCCATCAATATTTAGAACAGGGAGATAGTTTTGAGAGTTTGCATGTAAAGCAAAGCTTCGAAAGAAGTTCGAATGCACCTTAGAGAATATACTGAAAATCGGGTGCCCTGTCCCCCAATTCCCTCAACTCCTCTGGTGAAGGTTTTCTTTCCAAACCATCAACCACTCTACTCATGAGATAGGCTCTCTTCTTGTTGATCCTGCTGTATATGATGACGGTTATGGGAAGACAGATCAGCCCGATACCGACAAACATTAATTCGATTGCGTCTGAAATTTTGCGTGTTCTGTTAGCTAATTCATTTTAAGAAAAGTTGAAACGTACGGCCCAAGATGAAGCGGGGCTTATCCTGAGTTCTGAATATATTGGACGCTATTGCGCCGCTGAAATTCCCGATACCGATATGAAGAGCCATTCCTACGCCACGTTTATATTGACCACATAGATTGTTTCCTAGCCTGCAAACAAGATTGACGAAGAATAGAGTTACTGTGTTGAAGAACCCACCACGCGACAATACCTGGGAATCCAGCGTAGCTCCCTGCCACAATCAAGAATGTACCAAAATATTTAGCACCAGTGGATACGTTGGCAATATTTATCGAGAATCCTATGAGACACATAATCTGCGCAGCCAGAATGAAAGGCGAACGCATCATTACTTTGTCTGAGTAGTATGCAAACAGGCCCAGCACGATGGCTACATACCGGGTGAGGGGTAAGGGTTTAGAAATCAGCTGCTGGAGAATCACGTACTTGCAAAAATGTAGGGTGGGACTGTGAGCAATTGACTGATAGCAGTGGAGAATTCACCGAAACTACGATACCGTAAGACAATGGTATTTGAAGCGAAAGAAATGGGCACATACTCGCTGATGATGGTCCTAATAAGGATACAGGAGACTCAAGTCAGGGGAATTTATGTAGTTGGTGCATTAAAACTCACGGCAGAAAGAATGTGATGCCATATACTTAGAATCAAACGGTGATCAAGATGTAGCGTAAAGATGAAGGGTTAGTACAGCACAAGAAGCACTCACAAGGACCAACAAGTGATATATATATCAAGAGATGGATCCATACCTGAATTTGGGGAATATTAGCTTTCCATAAGCAATAGTAAACGCGTTCGAGCTACACCGGGAAGCCATACCTGCCAGTCGGTAAATGCTTGATAAACATGCTCAACCATGAATCTCTCTTCTTCTCCGACCGAGGAGTTATCGAATTCTAGCCATTCAGAATCAAAATCGTCGAAATATCTGGCAGGTACGAGGCGCCTTACTCTTCTTCCAGACTACGAAAGCTCGTTCTTCCGGAGTTAAAAAGTTTGCTGTTACAGGAAAGTCGACCAAAACTGTTTCCATTAGGGTGTGTCAATGTCGCTCGTACATAGAGAAAACCTTCATGCTTACTCAGGAAAAAAATCAGACCAACAGCCACAGTGATGATCCCTTCGATGATCTGGACATAGTTCCTAGATCAGCCTGTGACTTACATGTGTCAATGTGGATGGAGGCTTGCGAAAATCCAGGACCATCCAAGTAGTCCTCGTGTGCCACTCATAAATGAAATTGAAAAAGCGAAGAGTCCAGAGAAGGCTCCGGCAATGGTAGCTGCACCGAAAAAGAGCCCGATACGGCTTTGAAGAGCATTTCGAGGATACCATAACGAAAGGCTGTTGGTATGCGATTCTAATCAATGAACAGTGGAGACGGAGGGCGCACTTACTAATAGGCGACACCAGGGAACAGTCCAGCTTCTGCTATCCCGAGACATACACGTACGCCGACCAATTGTGGATATCTGTATATCTCAGTTCAGGAATGACCTATATAGCCTCATCCTGCATACGTTTTAACAAGTCCCATGAGCGTCCTGCGATGGTCAAGAGGTAAGCATACGTTAATTCAAAAGGAGCCATTCCCACATGACAGTACCCCAGACAACCTGTCCAATGTGAATAGGAGAGTGAGTTTTCAAAATATAGAATGAAAAAACACACACAGTAATGCCAGGGAGCCAGCTGTTGAGTAGGGTGAATGTGATGCACAACAGAGAGGTCAGAGATCAATACTTACATGGAAGGGCGGAATTTCTTCAGTACCAAACTGAGAAGAGCCATGATCAGAGGTATGAATTTCAATAGAGGCTGACAGCTCACTTCGCAGGACATTCAAATATGCAATATGGCTTATTGAGTCGTAGTAGAGCGTGAGTGACCATAGATAGCATCAGTGAGGGGCTCTCACGATGAAATACATCGTCTGTGAACTCCTCAGCTATCGACCACGACGAGAGGAGATATACGCACCAGTGCAATGTTATATCGATTTCCCGTCAATTTCAGTTGGGTTTCCAGCCCTTGAAGTTTCGCATTTCCTATAAGATAAAAATTAGCCCTATAATCCGAAGACAACATCGTGAAAGCAGTACCAATGTTACCTGATCAAGTGAGTGATAGTAAGTAAGCTTACGCCTCTGTCAGACAGGCAGAATGACACTCACCACGGTCCATAAAAGACATGAGGTATATCACGCAGAGTATGGGCATCAACCGAAGGTCAATCTTCCGCCAAAGCTTCCGCTCATCCTCCTGCGAAAGATCTGGAGGAGGCGGTAGTTGGGATTCTCCACCAAAATCGTAATCACTCCGACCATGTTCCAGCCGATGCTCTGAAGCTTTCTCATCATGGGTTGAAAGCGTAAACGATCTGGTCATGTTTGAAAGCAAAACGTATACCATGTATTTCCCGCTTTCACAAGATATCTCAAGATATACAATGAGGCAATAGCAGAATTGAAATGATGACATGGATAAGGATACGGCCCCATGACCTGTCTTTGGGATATATGGCGTGTATTTAAGGCTTCACGGTGTTCACTGAGGAGACGAAACGTGCTTCAGATGATATGGCTATTAGTGTGAAGAGAACTGGAAGAGAACTAAGAAGGATAAGCGCTCAGGCGTCGGCTGTTATGGGTGTCGCATTATCATGCTCCCTGTTTCAACTATGTTGAAGGTTTATTCTTCCAGATTGGTGTCATCGAAGAGGTCGACACTTCACAAGGGATGAGCACCGCAGCTGCAGAATATGTATGAGGAGATCGGGAGAAGAGGATCAGCAATAATGAAGAACTGAGAAACATGAGGTAGAAGGCTTATTGGATTTCGTCGAACAGCTTATTGTCGAACAAACATAGCTACGCAGTCCACCAGAGGTCTGTAGTGTCTGTCTACTGCTTTATGAATCGTTGAAAAATATCCAGTTACATATGTACATACAACGGGAACCCCCGAGTATCTCAAAGAATATACCGGAAATCAGGCGCTCTGTCCCCCAATGCTCTCAACTCCTCTGGCGAAGGTTTCTTCTCCAAACCCTCAGCTACTCTGTTCATGAACTCCGCTCTCTTCTTGTTGATACGACTGTACGTGAAGACGGTTATAGGGAGAAAAATGAGTCCGATGCCAACAAACATTAATTCTATTCCATCTGCAGTGACCCGTACTCTGTCAATGATCGTAGAAATACGGAGATGATATTAGACGTACGGCCTAAAATGAACCGCGGTTTATCTTGCGTTCTGAATATGTTAGACGCTATTGCACCGCTGAAATTTCCAATACCGATATGGAGGGCCATTCCTATGCCTCGTTTGTACTGACCACTCAGATTGTTACTTAGCCTGCAAGCAAGATTGACATGTAATCTAGGTTGAAGTTGAGGTTGAAGGCTTACCACGCAACGATCCCAGGGAATCCGGAGTAGCTCCCGGCGACGATCAAGAAAGTACCAAAGTATTTAGCACCATGGGAGACGTTGGCAATGTTGATCGAGAAACCTATGAGACACATAATCTGGGCCGCTAAGATGAAAGGCGAGCGCATCATCACTTTGTCGGAATAGTACGCGAAGAAACCTAGGACAATGGCTAAAAATTGGGCAAAGCAAGAGAGCATAAGGAGTTTTAGCTGGATCAGTAAATATTGAGTGTCACGCACTCGCAAAAACGTAGGGCGGGACTGTGAGCAATTGACTTATGGGGGTGGAAAATTCGCCAAAGCTACGATAAGAAGTGGGTCAATGTATAAGGAGATATAGTAGTAGAATGAGGACATACTTGCTAATAATGGTCCTAAAATATGTGGTAAGGTAAAGTACAGATAAAGGGGTCGAATCTGAGATACGCACGGGAGAAAGAGAGTGATGCCATATACTTGAAGTAGATATCTAAGCATAGTATCGGAGAAACGCAAGAAGAACATCAACTTACGAGGACCAATAAGCGACATATAGATTAGAATATGGATCCAGACCTGGATACAAAGCATGATAACGCGTAGTGAGGCATCGACATGATAAATTTCTCTGCATAAAAAACCATACCTGCCAGTCTGTGAAAGCTTGATAGATATGCTTGACCTCAAATTTTTCCTCCTCTCCGACCGATGAGTTGTCATATTCTGGTCATGTATGAGATGAATCATCTACCGGAATACGAGTTAGTAAAATTCGTACTCTTCTTCCAAATCACAAAGGCCTGTTCTTCTGGTGTCAAGAATTTTGCTGTTGCAGGAAAATCCACCAAAACTTTTTAACAAAAGTCAGCAACCGATATTCTTACCTAGAAAAGGCATTGTCCCTTACCTATGAAAGCAATCAAACCAACGGCAACGGTGATAATCCCTTCAAGGATCTGAGAGGATTTCGCATCAAACCTTGAATGCATGGAAAGGAACTATATGTACTAACAAATATCCAAGACCATCCAAGCAATCCTCGAGTGCCGCTCATGAACGAAATCGCAAATGCGAAAAGGCCAGAAAATGCTCCAGCTAAAGTCGCTGCACCGAAAAAGAGTCCGATACGAGTCTGAAGAGCGCTTCTAGGATACCACAAGGAAAGGCTGGTAGCACGTCAGTAAATTCGGGGAGATAAAAAACAGTGACACTGACTAGTAAGCAACACCAGGGAATAGCCCAGCCTCTGCTACCCCGAGACAGACACGCACGCCAACCAACTGTGGATATCTGAATCCTCGTGTTATCACTGACTCATTGTAATCTGACAAGATCAATAGCTACGTACGTCTTGACAAGTCCCATGAGTGTCCTGCAAATGTCGAGATATGAACCATCCGTCAATATGGTAGACGCTACACTCACATGATGACACCCCATACAACCTGACGGGTTCGAGAGATTAGCCTAAATAGCTCGCCTACGAAAGAAGAAGAAACACGAACAGTGATGCCTGGAAGCCAACTAAAGGGAGAAGTCAGATGTAGAACAATAACTTTAAGGGGCCGAAAAAGAGATTACATACATGGAAGGGCGAAACTTCTTCAGTACCAAACTGAATCCCATGGTGAGATGCTAGCGTCAGTTCAATAGGTCATCATAGCTCACTTGGCGGGACATTCAAATATACAATAGGGCTTGTCAAACGTGAGTTTTTATATACAGTGCCAATGAAGGACCTTCTTACAATGAAATACATTGTCTATAAGCTCAATTCAGCACCCTGAGCTCTCGGCGGAAGTCCTTCTACGTACCAATGCAATGTTATACTGATTTCCCGTCAGGTTCAGCTGCGTTGTCAGCCCTTGGAGTTTGGCGTTCCCTTCATGGAAATACTAGTCAGCTACACGATCGTCTGACCCATTGTGAGCGCAAGTACCGATGTTACCTGAGGTAAGAACAAACATTTAGCTTATGCGTGTATGGCGAGCAGATATGCTACTCACCGCGATCCATAAAAGACATGAGGTACATTACGCAGAGTATGGGCATCAAACGAAGGTCAATCTTCCTCCATAGTTTACGCTCATTGTCTTCAGAAAGAACGGGAGGACGAGGTAGTTGTGACTCTCCGCCAAATTCATAATCACTAGCAGTTTCGAGTTGTTTGTCCGAAGCTTTCTCGTTCTTGACTGAAGACGTGAGCGAACCGGTCATGGTTGAGAACAGAAAGAGGTCTCACCGGCACCTCATTACCTGTCTGAGTCCTAGTTAAATGTCAAGTGAAAATTGAATATTGAAATCTGACATACCGTCCCATGACCATGGTTAATGCCACATTCCGACTGCAAAGATCACGAGTTGGAGCAGAGATACGATGGAACGGTCGGATGAACTCCTCAAAGAGAGTCTAACTTGAACTGAAGCTTGGCGGGGCGGAACGAAAAGAACAGTAAGGCACGCGGTTAGTCGCAGGCTGTGGAGTCGCGCGCGATCGTTTCACAACATCTCTTGTTGTCCCGTAATTTCTCTGAATTTCAATCTTTGTCCGTCAGCTAGACTCAAGTACTTTGAGAAACAAGAAAATCTCTTACTCGAAAAAAAGACACACCTTCCATAGACCGAATTTCTGTTATATTCATACAGGCCCCGGAAGCTCCGTAAGCTCCCCCAAAACCCTGTCCGACATTGCGCCAAGATTAGCCAGATCCATGTTCGAATCTAGCGTGGATTGAAACTTGATCGTAACCTTGTCTGGGCGTAGTTTAAAGCTGCTACGAAGCACCGACCTAAATTGTATGTTACTGTATAGCACGTGGGGGCTTTTTTTTGGGACTCCACGTGATTAGCCTTTGTCCGTTTAGCGTACTTTAGACCAGCCCGGACAGAGTTCTGGAGGATCTTTCGTGGGCCAATTCATATAGGCTAGAGTTACAGGTGGTACAGTTACAGTTTACATACATCCGTATTTGAAGAGCACAGAATGAATAGAGAACGCAAGAATAATTGTCCTACAAGTAGTCCGAGAAACTTCTCGCGTCTCTCCAATCCCGTTCGGTTTGATTGATCCAATATGACAAGTCCCGCTTACAATCTGCGCACTTGTCTCCTCCCACCTCCTGCCTTCTTTCCAGTACTTCCGGTAGTCGTAAAAGCACATTTTTTCGTCCATCACTTCGCGAACGTAAGTTCATTGCATTCGCGCCGGTAGCCACAGACGATGACGCGCTGGCGCCAAGAACCGATGAGAGTCCCGCACTGCCTGCCCTAAGCCGTGTACGAGGTCGAGGAGGGCCTTCACAAGCAAGAGCTCCGGCGAGCGTTGCAGCGATGAGAGCATAATGTTCATGCCAAAATTGACAAGAAGCAGAGACACCACAGTGGGGGCGAGATGGTCCAAATCGAGTAAACTCTTTAGCCAACAGAGCGTGATGAGTCTGTTGATATTCAATCTATACGCCCAACGTCAGACATTATAGACGAAATGATATCAGAGAAGATGCAGAGTTGACATACCCATGCGGCAAAGACGTTCGGAGGTACGCAACTCAGCATGGTGTACGGAGGAATGTCCAAGGTCGCCTCGGCACTTTCATTCATCATGCCAGTGTATTTGTGTCGTACCGAGAATAAGAGAACATCAATAGGATGTTCGTACAGACGCTCCCTGAGTATTTGCATCAATTCTTGGTTTTCCAAAAGTGATTTTGATGATCGTACCTCATTCGCTGACTACAAACGCCAATGGCCGAATATATTTCATACTTTTCGACTGCTTCCGCTAGATCCTTCATGACCTCCCACTCGACCTTCTGGAGATCCGGCTGCGGTTGCAGGTATATATACTGCAACATAAGCTCGAGTACTTCTGAGGTTTCTGACAACGAGACGATTTCATTCTCGACGGTCCCCACCGTCGATCCTCCTGCATCAGCAAATACCTGGGAGTGCATTTCGAGGTTGAGTCGGTGCACCTTAAAAATGACATTGTCCGAAGATTGCAAAGTCATGTCTGCGGACGCTGAATCGACTACAGACGAAGCAGCATTAACAGAAAATATGACGACAGGCAACTCAGTAAATGAATTTCGGGAAGCTTCCAAAGTCGAAACGAGACGTACATCGTTTCGACACTGGAAGCGTAGGTGATATGGATACTTTTGCAGCCATCGATAATGGGTTGTGTCCCAGTGCAGTCAGATGGATGGTTGGAAGGAAAGTGTGGGGTATTTAGTGGTAGTGTGAGAGCTGAGACAATTTGAATGAAAGGATCATCTGACCGAATTTTTGCGCTACATACCGGACCCATTTGGCTACCCGCTGTCTCCTGCTGTACCTCTTACCACCTGCCTACAATGGACAATCAACACATATTATTCCATGTACACAGTTCTTGATCTTGAAGATCCCCTGTGATGAACATTGTCAATATGGAGAAGCAACAAACAGGAAATTTGGACAGCTCCAGCTTACAGTCTAAAGCTGCCGAACTCGTGAATTTAGGGTGGTGACCACAGTTACCAAAGACCAGAAGATCTTATTAGCTCCGAGTCCTTGACTTGAGGTTCTCCTCCGGCAAAATGAGACTGAATATTGAAGTTTTGAGATTGCCATTGATATAGAGAGTTGAGACTGTTGATAACAAGCTCGTCAGCGCGCATCGTAAAAAAAGATTTAGAGCTCGCCTCTTATCCGCGCAGGAGAAAAATATCAGAGAATATCACAGTCAGAATATGGGATTTCATCCAGAGCGACGCGTCATCGTGGCATATGATGCGACAGAATTAGTTTGCCTTTAGGAACGATTGGAGAAGGTGAGCCTGGCAGTGGACGTTGTCGCTGAAAAGGATTGGATTTCGAGAACCCGCACGGTGAGCGGCCGCGGTATCTCGAGGTTATCTGGCCCTGATTCCCACGACTCTGCCGTGTCCGCGAAAGCGTGGTCTCACCTGTCTTCGTACTTGCTTCATACATCAAGTTGGAGCGCGACTTCGGACTTGTGCTCTTCCTTACCTTTGTTCTTAGGAAGCATAATTCGACCAGAACTTTCGAGGCTTGGATTCTGAGATCGCTTGAGCTTCCGACTACTTGGCTCAAATAACTTCAGAGGCTCAGCCAGGACTAATTCTCATTGCTATGTATACACATTGTCGCCAAATGCATCCCAGTACCCCCTTATGGCCTGAATACTGTTTATATTGTAACAAATTTCGACAGGATCTACCTAACTCATGGCGCACATGAAGTATGCTGATAGTTCGATATGGTAGCTTGAAGACTTCAGCAAACAATCACTGCTATGACATTTTGAGCTACGTATGAGTGAGTCTCATTGAAACTCTGAAAACTTCTTTGTTTGTTTACGGACGCTTCAAGGAAATCAGCGGTGACTTCTGGCCTATCTGATTGAGCTCTGCACTTCTTTACGTTCGGCTACATAGTCACCACCTTCCTTGGGTTTAAACCCTTGATTACTCGCGATCTCTCTCGTTCTAGTAATGTTCCTCCTCAATGAGCGAATCACCACCATCCAATGACTACTTATGATTGACAATCGCAAACTCTTCCAGACCCTTCCCCGCCTCGAGGTTATGCGGCGAGTCTACTGTATTGTTCTCTCACTCCTTCGTGGTGATTCACTTCTCATAAGAGCTGAGTGATTTATCTCCGACTTTCTAAAAACTATCTAAGAACATTTTATCTTGTATTTTGCAATGTTCCGTCTCTGTAATGTCCCTTCTAAACAGATAATCTAGAAGTGAACATCATCAAATTGTTTACCCACCGGAGGTTTGCTATTTCCTAACCACAGTCTTTTTTCTTTCCTTATGAGCTGTACGACGGCAGTGAAGGAGCGTGTACATCCCTGACATATAATTGCTTGTTTAAAGCAGAGACCATCAAGGCAAGGACATATAATCAAGAGTCAGTCGATTATTTCAGAATCAGACTCATTCAAAATCGGTTCGCAGGTGCGGAAATTCTACATAAATCCGTAAGGACGATTTCATATCACGGAGAAAAAGGGCGATTCCGAAAACGAAGGACTTCGTTCAAAATTTGGTCTGGGAGCAACAATGCAGACCCCATTCGTCCCTCATACCGGCCTCTGTTCTGGCCGGACTCAAGATGAACAAGTTGGAGAATTCGTGGTCATCATGTTTGTCCATTTCAAGCTGTGATTATGCAGAACTCGCTCAGCTGACACCATATTATATAGCTCATCACGAAGATAGTGCGATTGAATTGATTTATTAGTGATACACCGGTTGAAAGACGGGTACGGACTGGTACGGAAGAGAGGTCAATTTCGTCATCTCCTCGATAGAAGTCTTCAACACAGACCATATATGCTCATTGCGGCGTCTTTTCATCTAGCAAGGTCCCAGGTGGTCGCAGGTGATGATTGCTCAGTCAAAAACTCAAACAATACAGTCATCGGCAGATACCACATTATGGTTCATCGCGCGAAAATATGTAATAAGGACCCGAAGCGTTTAAATTTTGCACAAGGTATTAGAGGTCACAATAGCCCTCCTCTCGGGAAAAGCACACATCCTAATGGTCGAGAAGTGTGCCAATTATCATTGTACAGCAGCCATGGATTCGAATTGCTACTGATTGTGACAAATAGAGAACAGGGGCGTCGTAATTCGCTCCCTTTGTTCGGAAATCACTCGTCCCCATTTCAAGCTGCCGAGGTTATACAGAGGCTATAAGTACCACTCGCGACTCAGGTACGCAAGCCCCCTTATCCAGCATAGAGCCCCTTCGACCTATCCTCGCTCACCCACGACCGCGACATGGGACAATCGGAGCCAGGTTTGGATAATCCTCGCCAACGCACCGTGACCCCTCTCCCAAGAATCCAGGTGTTCATCGTGATCTTGATGCAACTGACAGAACCTATATCCGCGACCGTAATATTCCCTTTCATAAATCAGCTCGTTCTAAGTACGGGGGTCACGAACGGAGACGAGAAGAAGAGTGGGTACTATGCTGGGATAATTGTATGTCATGATTTTAGCCTTCGCTGTCTTGTGCCACTCATAGTCAGATTCAAATTCAAATCCGTAGGAATCGGTGTTCTTTTTTTCGGAAAGTCTCACTACCATGCTATGGGGACATGCTTCGGATAGGTATGGGCGGAGGACCATACTGCTGCTAGGTCCACTAGGTCTCGCAGTCGTCACTTCGCTATTCGGACTCTCTTCCAAGTACTGGACCTTGATCTTGTTCCGGAGTCTTCAAGGCGTTTTCAACGGGAATCTCGGTACGTCGCATTTGCCGCTTGTGTTTAGGCAGATATTTTGATCGTTTGGCCTTTGTAGGAGTCTCGAAGACCGTTCTAGCTGAGGTCAGGAGTGGAACCCATGAAGATATTACTGTTCATTGCTGACAACTAAAATTTAGCTTTCGGACGCGACTAACATGGCGACTGCGTTCTCATTCACCTCCGTCATGTGGCAAGTAGGCGTTACGATTGGGTACGTGGGCTTCTTATTCGGCTGGTGTTCCACCAATTCTTATCTTCCCATGAGTAGGACCTCGCTTGGAGGAATTCTTTCCAATCCAGCAGAACATTGGCCCAAGTCTACTTTAGGAAAGGCACCTTTGCTTCGGAGCCACCCGTACCTGCTTCCATGCTTAGCTACGGGTTTTATCTCATTCTCCATATTCATTGTCGCGTTCATTGGCCTGAAAGAGGTAAACTTCCTGGTTACATGCGTGGTTGAGTGTATCTCTGATATGGTCACTAAATTAGACGCACGCTGGACATGACCCAAATTCTTCCAAAGTTTCCCCGTGTGCGGCATCCGTGACCTTGAAGCGTACTAAATCTCCTACGGTGAAGAGTAATAGATGGATGTCCCTATCAAACTACTGGACTAGGGCTGGCCAAAAAGCAGATTCTGAAGATCAAGCCAGTCTAATAGCGTCAGCGGAAAATATGTCTGTTTCCTATGATTCGATGACCCGACCCTTTACTCGACCTCGCTCTACAAGCGAAGACACGCTGGTTGCGATTGAGGACTTCCAAACAAAAAATGCAGACTCACAACGGATTATCACTTTCCGCACTCTCTTGACTTCCGAGGATGTTTTACGTCCTCTATCTTCCCTTGCCTTATTATCATTTCTGGAAACTTCGATCTCCGTTCTCATCCCCATCACATACACGACTTCCATCGCGAACGGAGGGCTTGGTCTTACTGCAATGCAGCTTGGTACCTTGCTTAGTGTTGGTGGAGCTATGGGCCTTATCTTTTCGGCCATAGGCGTACCTCTGTTGATAAGGCATTTCGGCGTATGGAAGATGCATTTCGCGGGAATGAGCGCACTCATTGTGGGATTCTCTTCTATAATGATGGCTTGTCTCACTGCAAAAAGAGCTGGATATGCTAGTAAAACGACGTGGATTTTTGTCGCGATTCAATACGCATCTTACATTATTCTACCGTTGGGATTCAGTGAGATACCACTATTCTTTTGGAATTACGCTTGGAAGATGCTGACAATATTCGCACCAGCCACGTCTCAAATGTTCGTCGTCAATGGTGCACCTAACAGAGACGCATTAGGGACTACAAACGGAATGGTACAAAGTGCACGAACGTTGGCTAGAACGGTCGCCCCGGTTTGTGTGATGTCCTTGTTTTCAATTTCAAAAGAGTATAACATAGTGCATGGACAACTGTCATATGTGGTATGTCTGCTCATCACTATCTGTGGTTTAAGGAATATCCTTGAACTTCCTCGTGAATTAAACCGACTGTAAAGATTTGTTTGGGAGACAGGCGTTGTACATTAGATACGTGGGTGTGTAATGGGAGAAAAACAGTGCCTCAGATCACGGTTACGACGCGTACGTATTGGAATGGAAAAGACATATCGACTCGAATCGGAAAGTGTCAGACCGTAGAGATTTGGGTCATCACGTATCTGACGAAAAAAATTCTTATCGTTCATTTCAATGCCATGGCAGTACTTCAAATTCTTGTGGACATGGTTAGGAAGAGACAGAAGAAATGCCTGAAAAGCGATACCACGGTCTCATATTACCAGTACATCCGAGTCCTTTCATGTCAGGTCGAGGTCAAACTGACGATTTGCCCGGACACCGCGGTCCTTGTGACAACCTTCAAACGCTTCAAAAGTGGAAGGACTTCCAAGTGAAAGGCGGACGTCGTTCTTACGGAGGACGACTTCACGAGTCCTGAACCATCACAGGCGCGACAGGCTGAGGTCACATCTGCCAAAACCAATCAGTGACTACCAACTGGAGAGGGCGCATCTGAATAGAGCGAGCTAATCTTTCTCTGCAGTACCAACTGCGTGCAGGCGACGAGAAAATCACTGTACCGATGTAGACCTATGTAGACCGATGTTACAGAATGTTACGGTCTATCAGGTTCTGTCTTATAGGTGATTCTTTCCCGGGCCGCGTGACTGCCTGGCCCCATTCTCAACTTCCGCCACCATGACTGCCACACCTCCCCCCAGCAAAGAGCTCAACTACATGTTCGCGCATATCGAAGACGATAAGCTCGTGGAAGACCCTGATGGTTTGGCGTACGACTATGGAGGTCCAGGCGACAGTGTATATTCCTTCATATCTCCCATTCGAAAACAGCGACCTGAAATCCATCGCAAATGGGTGCTTCTAGTGCGTTGCTCAAGAAGATCTTTTCATGAACTCATTTCTCTGCATAGGTCCCTGAAACTCCGATCATGTATGCCCCTTCAGAGACTCTCTGGGATCGTGTCGCAGAATGCCCGCCTGTCGAATACAAGACCGGATATTGGCGTGTTTGGGAGTCCGGCCCACTTCCTGCCCCTGTTCCGCCCATCGATCCCGTCTCCATATCTGTCTTTCTGGTTCCCCGTTCCCAGTACGCACAGCTGAATGAGGAACGGGACAAGTTGACCGATTTGCGGGTGAAGAACATCTTTCAACGTCCCCAGAAGGCTCCTTCCAAGGGTGCCACCGCCTCGACTTTCATCAACGACCACAGATCCGATCCCATCGCCATTGGGAGGCAGAAGCAGGACGATTTCTATCACGTCCCTATCTCCCTCTTCCATGCCGAATTTGCTCAATTCAAAGAAGATATTGTTTCCGGCGCTCTTGATCAAGAATTGTCGCCCCTCGCGTACAGGTGGTCGAAGGAACTTTCAGGCTTCTTTGAGGACGAGAAGAATCGAGAGTCCAAGTTTCACGAGCTGCTATCCCATTTACTTGACGGTCACAAGGTGGTGAAGAAAAAAATTGGCTCGTTCGAAACCGACGGAGGCGTTGATCTGAATGGTTTAGATTTACCTGATCTGTTAGTTAAGCCCTTGCTTGTGGAGGTCAAGATAGAATTTACCCAAGGATCGTGTGACGCTGTCTTTGAGATTGTACTTTGTGATCAGGAAGGCGTCAGGCTCATACTTTCGAATGATAAATACAAGGGTGATTGGCGAAAGACAAGGATTCCCTCTATCCTCGTCATTCATAATGGTAGGTGACGGGCCTTTGCTTTTGTTTTGTCTGATTCCAACGTGTCACAGGTCCCAATGTTCAGGCTCTAGGTGCCGTCTATTTGACCGATCAATACGTCGAAGTTCTCTCACCTTCGCTGCCGCTTTATTTCAGCGAGTACGATACCCGTTCTATGGAAAATCTTCTCAGATTTATGACAGCCCTCCGGAATCTCTTCCGCTCTCTTCTCAAGGTTTACGAAAAGCCAAACGACTACGCTATTGACTCTGATCAGGTCAGTTTCCCTTATCCTCGCTCATACCGGTCTTCCGGGACCACGGTTTGGTTCAACTACATCAAGCGAGTCAGCCAGATTCGCCTCGTATTCACCGCTCGTACTGAGGGTGATCAAGATATTATCATCAAATTTGGGTACGGGCCTTATGGAGTTGAGGCGCATCAGGCAGCAGCTGAATCTGGCTTTGCCCCAGCTCTGCTGAGCCATTCCAATCTCGCTGGTGGATGGTGGATGGTAGTAATGGAGAACTTGGAAAGTGACTTTCAACCATGTGACGATTTTGACATCCTCGAGCCGCCTTGCAAGGATGTGATTACAGAGTGTGTGTCGAAGTTTCACACCATGGGTTTTGTTCATGGTGATCTGCGTGACACAAATGTGTTTGTGCGTCGAAAGCAGGATAGATGGGAATGTCAGCTCATTGACTATGATTGGGCTGGGCGAGAAGGAGAGGTTGTGTACCCGATTGGAGTGTATAACACACACAGTGTCTGGCGACCCGATCTTCATCTAGATGGACAGTCAATCACCTCTGAGCATGACAATTCGACGGTAAACGAATTCTTGAGACGACGCACTAAAATCATTCGTTTCTAAAGTAATTTTCACTGGAACTATTGGAACTATGATGTATCTATATGATGGTTTTGGTCGGTTGTCTTATGTAGTAGCTTCGATGCTTTGAGTTTGACATGTCAGGCTCTCTTCCTGCTGGACACATCTGGTTCTATCTTGAATCGCTTCCAAATCACCCCGATGCGCTCTTTCTTGAGATCCCTTTAGCGCGAATTGAAAAACCTTGCCTTAACTCTTCCATGTACCTGCGCTTTTTTGCGTATGCCATCCTGGCACTTGACGGTGTTGTCCGTGATGCCACTGGTACATTGATGATTGCCGATAATGCGCAACTTGAAGAATACAGATCTACGTCTTCAGTCTATGTCAGTCGTGTTTCACTCTCTTGTCCGCTGTTCTCAGTATTGTCTCCAGCCACTGCAGTCGCTGCGGAGGAACTTGCCGCAGGTCGAGCCAATGTAGAGGTGGTCAAGCAACGTAGTAATTCTAGCTGTGGGACCGAGTCTACTCGTGCGGACGAGTGTCATGACACTATCTTTACGCGAGATGGCATATCCCTTGTCAATGAAGTCCCTGATACTGATATGCTTGCACAAGCTTTACATATTGTAGCCTATGCACGGGGTACACCGGTATGTTAGGCCGTGTGTCCGTGGAGGAATCTAGCGTGCTAACTGTAAACTGCAGTGGCTCCTACACCTCATTAGTATGCGTAGAGGATTTGAAGACTGCGAAGGCGTAGAAAACTTGGAGAACATTGACGTTCCTAGAAATGGCTTCTGTGGACAGTTTACACTTCATCCGTATTATGATTGTCATGTTTGTGTAATTCGAAGGTTATTTCTTTGCTCTCTCAGCCTAACGCTCGGTGCTTATGTCTTACCAGACTCCAAATCATGTCCCTCAAACAAATGATGTACCATCTTCACCCCTCTGCAATCGCCGTGACGAATCTCCTCCCTCTGATTCACGATACACACTTCAATTTCTAGATGATAATCCCATATTTGAGCAGAACTATATACCGAAAAATACCGACGGTGCTTCCCACCGTGGTCATAATTCATCGTTCCGTCCCTTTACTTTCCTTCTCCATTATCGCTATGGTCCCTCGGCTCTTATACAGTGAGGTAGGGGGCTTAAAAAACGAATACCTTTCCCTAGCAAGGCAACTGTCCCTGTAGGTCGGTCTATGAAGCTTCGACATGACCGGGCAAAAGAGAGGAAGCGTAAGCAGTCTGAACGACAGGAAGGAGCAATGGACAACTTCACTCTTTGGACAATCAAGGCGGTCTTTGAAGCCTACGATCCTCTCGATGTGTTGAAGATGATTTTGCCATGGTACGATAACGAAATTGAGGAGGCTTTCGACTAGGATGAGGATTCAGAAGTATCTCCGCCACTGAAAAGTTTGTCGAAGGATGAGGATATCATAAGACGGGGAAATAATATCCCGGTCATATCAATAAAATGTTTTTGTCACAGTACCGATGCGTAACACTACCGCTAAGTAACAATGTATGATAGGATAGGATAGGATAGTTAAATTATACTGGCGAGGTCCGATTCCCGAACGACCAGTTTACCATACTGTACAATCTCTACTTAGATTACAGTATTGGAACACACATTTCTAATACGGGGGGGCGATAATGCCACTCTCACACTTGATGAGGAAAAAGCAGGAAAAAAACCTCGTGAGACGTGCACGGTCTTCCCCGTCTCGACAATGCATGCAAGCAACCTTTGCATCAAGATGGGACAAAGATTTCAACCCCATATACAACTTCTAAAACATCATATGCCAACTTTGCAAATAATTCCGTGATTCTTGTATCAGCCAATAAGGTGCGGAACAGCATCCATGCATCTGGATAGAATTTTGCATATTGTGGAAGTCCCAGGGTTACTTTGTGCATGAAAGTCTCCCTTAATTTGATCAATTCAAGACTGCCCTTACATTCAAATAAAACATGGGCAGGATCCTCGACTGAGCCTTTACAAAGACGGCACAACCGGAGCTCTCTGATTATTCGAGGTCTGTTTCTCTCATCCCAGCGCAACCGTTCCACAGCAAGCTGGTGATTGCCAGTCACAATGTGGATCAGTGCTTTCCGATGTGAACCTGTTGGGACATTCAAATAGTGTCGAAAAGTCAGAGCTTTAAAGACCATCTTTTTCTGTTTCCGGTCATACTCCTTTCGTTCTTTCAGAGTGTCCATTGTTCTGGGACAAGATATCACAGCCTTTTGTAGAGTCTTCTCCATGGAATTTTGAATGCCAGTGATTAGATCATTCAGGTATGCAGTAGTGATATCCTCAAACTCTGGAATGTTCCAAGTGAATGGAATTGGCAGGCTGTCAAGTACTCTGCATGCCTCCAAAATTATTGATGTGTGTCCATTTTGAGCCAAAGAGTAAGCTTCTCTGAATGCTTTCCATGCGAGATGATGATGTGGTAAATTGACCAGGTACTGCATGTTCTTGAAGAAAAGAATAATTCTTCGATAGCGGATTGGCATCACTCCCGTTTCGGTATGTATTATTTTTGTATCGGGCGTCGAGCGCTGTGCAATACTAATGCAGAGACAAAGAAAGCTGAAAACTGACAACGTGAGTTGGGGCAAGGAGAAAGGATGGAATGTTTATTCCGAGCTGAGAAGAGCATGGGAATAATTATTCCACACATCCTGGGGGTGCGGAGGCCGGAGACAAGACTACCCAAAGAGTAGTAGGGATCCGGACCCCACTGTTGTCAGCAGGCAGCAAATATGTCTGGAAGCATCAGTCATGTACTTAGAATTTTTCTAAACTTAGTAAGGGTGGGATGGTGGGCGAAATAAAGAAATAAAACTTCTATGTACAACGAAGGACGCGCTCACAGGTGTGAGTGAGATGGACGTAAGGAAGAGAAAGGCGGCCAAACTGCACAGCCTTCGAAGCCGTCACGAAAACACATATTCGGCTTCTACCGATCGCCGAATCTTCGACTTTCGTATCGGGCGTCGAGCGCTGTGCAATACTAATGCAGAGACAAAGAAAGCTGAAAACTGACAACGTGAGTTGGGGCAAGGAGAAAGGATGGAATGTTTATTCCGAGCTGAGAAGAGCATGGGAATAATTATTCCACACATCCTGGGGGTGCGGAGGCCGGAGACAAGACTACCCATATACGAAGGAAGCCTGAGGCGCGTCGAGATGTAGGCCGACTACCCAGAGGTGAGAAACACCAAGACCAGGGTGGATGAGAAGCTCCTTGATAACTCAGGTTATTTTATTTGGACAAATCTAATGTTGTGTTGACATATCGAATCAGTAGTAAATGGAATGGAATAATGGAACCGATTATTTTCGGTAAGTAGTGCGATGACGACGACGAGTAATGTTCTCAGTGGAGACTCTTGAGAAATGAGACTGTTGAGAATGATGTCTATGTAAATGTAGTGAAGCAAGTGACTCTAGGTTCCTCCAGTATTTAAGAAAGGCGGAGGATTTCCATCTCCCGAATACTTGGACGACGTCTGGATTGACTCCCGCGAGCAGATAGTGTGTTGTACCTCCGATCTGGAAGCAATGACCTGTCCGACGACTGATGCTATGGCGTTTCCATATGGCATTACAGCGTTGTAAGAATAGAGTCTTCGTTAAGATGCGTTTGGTGCCCTTGGTGTCCATGTAAGCAAAAAGTGGGTCAGAAGGCGCGAGTTTGTTTACATGGATGTGGTTGTCAAGAGAATGGATTGGATTTGTGGAACCCTGCTGTACTGGGACCATAACCTTGTCACCCCTCATCTGGCTCGTTTTAGTTTTGGGTAAGAAAAGTTTTTTTGAGCCGGCGTTGTTGGCTTTGCTGAGATCAGAGACTCTGGGCATGGCTTTGAAGTCGTACTGTGCTATGGATGAGTTTGTTGGGAGGACCTCTCCAGCTCTGAGTTGGCTGTAGAACATGAGGTCGGCGGCGGCTGCAATACAGCAATCTAGGCCGTTCGTGTCAGAGAGATCGAGGTCTTCGTGCAGCATGGATAAGTGCGATTTTTTGACTGGTTCTTGCTCTGGCCTGAAAGACGAGGGAGGGGCAGAGCGCTCAATGCCGGCGAGGACTTTCCGAAGACGATCACTTCCTTGCCAGGCATATCCCTTCGTGATGGTCCAGCCTTTGATGGCAGACAGTTTGGCTTTGACAGAGGAACCTGCTAATTTACCGCCGAACTCTGCTGCGTATTCGCAGAGTGTAATTTCCGAAGCTGGTAGGACGTCTTTGGCGTGTAGATGTTGTTGGTGGGCCCAATCGAGGAATTCCGTGATGTTTACGGCTTTGGGTTTTCGCTGCAACCGAGGCATTCATTAACTTTCTCACTTTAGCACTGAGTCGTGCCAGGTTGGAGTGTGTGGTAGTGGTTGTGAGTGTAGTGCGAATTCTGGTCATGAGTGCAGAAGTTCGGAAGTTGAGGTCTTGAGGTCACGCGTGACTCTCATTTGGTGACGATTTAAAAGGTTCTATAATGTATGAATTATCCGGTTTCATTGGGCGAGATTAAGATTAACGCGTTTATTTATCTATGATTCATGTGTACATTAGGAAGGTATTAGACGAGGATCGTGGAATGATACTGAAGAATGAACTAATAGTTTTAAGTGTGAAGGCATCGCTGGGGGATGAGGATGGAGGAGTGCACGCGCGGGGAATTTTGCTCTAGAGGGGGCGTCTGCAATGTTGTCGTGTGTTGATACCCACTGGGGTTCCACCCAAAGATTATGTTTCTGCATCAGCTCCACGATTTTTTGAAGGATCAAATTTTGCTGCGGTCCTCGTGAACAGCCACGACGAAGTGCTCCCACTACACCTTTGTTGTCGGAGTAGATTCGAACTCTGATGCCTGAGAGACCAGATGAGATGAGAGTGCGGATTGCCAGTTCTATGGCTACCATTTCTGCCCAACCGATATGTCGACCCTCATCGTCTCTCCAGCCATCTTTCAATTCCCAAGCAAGCCATTTGCCATTGAGAACTAAACCGATTCCCCAGCATGTGGATGCGTCAACGTAAATGATGTCGTCTGAGAATTCCGGGGGTCTCGATATGCTCAAGCCAACAAATTCCTGTTGCAGCAGCTGGTCCCACCAGTGCATGTCTGTGAGCAGATTGGCGGAGATTCGATGTTTGATCAGTGTAGAATCCAGCTGCTTGAAGGAGGCGCGGAACCGATAGAGGTGAATGAGTCGGGAACGTCCTTCTGGTGCCACCAGGCAGACATGATTTAGGGTGCCGATTATTGATTCGGCTTTGTCTTTGTCGAGTTTGTCCCCTACGAGCCATAGAGCCACCTTCGAACGATACTTAAGCTTTTTCTCCTGGGTTAGCTCGACTGTTTTGAGATCAAGCTTCCATAAGAATCCAATGTAAGTGAAGGAAAAGGCAAATGGAACGAATTTTTGAGGGGCCCAAGGCCATCCGAGAATTTCTGCGGTTTCCCAGATAAGTGATTCGTCATATGAATAAGTGAAGGATCCACTAGATGTGCGGTGCTTAGGATAGCGAAAGAATATAAAATCGTCGACCCATTTGAGTAGCGCCTCTACACCTCGGTGGAGGAGTATTTTAACCATGGCATCTGCCACATGTCCCCATATGCCCGGCGCCGAGCGTTCACCGAAATTCAGCATGAGGTCAATATGTATAAGGCCATCCAGGAAGAGGCATACGAGGTGTCGCACGGAAGGGTGAATGGGAATATTACAAAATGCGGCATCGACATCGAAGATGGCTACCTGCGTGCCCTCCGGAGCGTCCGCCACGAGTAGGTAGCAGTCAGCGAAAGTTCCCCAATCGCAAGGGAAGTCGTCAGCATCAATGAGTGAATTAATTGAAATTTTTGCGGGGTCAATGATTTTTGTGAGTGTCGGGGAAGGTGGAGGTGACGCAGGGGGAGAATGTGAATTGGAGGTTACAAATTTTACTTTGGGAAATGAATGATTGATGATAATGCGAAATTTGCCTGGCCTTTGCTCGAGGACAGCCATTGGTGCGGTACGGAAATTACCCAAAAGTCGTTGTGCATGTTCCGGTGTTAATCCGGTAGATATACGGCCCAGGGCAATCTCTTCTTTGAATTTTGCTCTAACGATATCAGCTTCGGCCTTGGTGCGGAAATGGTTTGGTGGTGTGAAAGTGTAACCCACGTCATACCCATCAGCCCCGATTCGAAACCCTTCTCGGAGGCCTTTCGGAACCCCCGCAAACTCCTGAAGTACGCCAGCCTCTTCCAGGAGTATTGACCATGCATCCGGCTTCAGACGCGTGGAGAAGGTAATGTCATCACTGCATGTGGTGCTGGGCACCATGAGAGGTGTCACCGCAGTTGCCACACATGTGCTTGTAGCGGCAAACGGCGCAAGAGCAACCGTTACGTCGGTTGAAGGAGTAGCAGAGGATTTCTCCGTTCTCCTTCTTCTCTCGCCAATTGCGACCGTTGCTGTCCTTTCGTATGATATCGGTGGGCTTGGCGACATGTTGGGCAGAGGAGTGAGCACCGTCTCCACATATGCACTGGTTATCCTGATGGGAGGTGGAGGTGGAAGAAGTGGAAGTATCACGAAAGGATGGATTTGACTTGGGCTTGCCATTGTTTTGGTCGGAGGTTTGGAAGGTGTAATATGCTAGCAGCCAGTCGCTCTTGCACCGAACCCCTCGTTCTATGCGAGACCATCGGGTTTCGTTGAAGACAAAAGGAACTCTGCGTTGTTTCGGGTTGTTCTTCCAATCGAAAAGGACCTGCTCCGTGTAAATGAGGTAGGTGGGGAAACATTCGAGGTAGTCATCTCGGTTTGTGACCATCTGAAAGGTCCGTCTTACAAAGTCGGCGATGGCCAAGGCATGATCAGATCCCGTGCGACCATGGGATTTTTCTGTGATGAGGAAAGCCTCCAAAGCCTTAGGCATTGTCTTGGCGATCTCACCAAAATCGTCTGTAGAAACTCAAGCGAGGTCAAAATGGGAGAGATCCTTGGATTTGATCCGCAAGTCGGTGCCCGAGAGGGAGACTGTGTTGTCAGAGCGGCGGCGATTGGCAGGATTGCTGCAGACCATTTTCGGGTTGAAGTAGGCTAGAGAAATGTGTTCTGGCCAACCCTTTCGCAAGGCTGTAATGACCTCGGGGAGAATCCGTACCATCTGGGAGACAGCCATAGTGTGGTCCTGTTCGCTTGGGTCTGGCAATGCCACAGCTGAGCTACCTGATCGACGTTCCATAGGCGATCGAGAACGAGAGTGGTACCATCTTGGTGATGGTGACTGGGAGCGGTCGTGCCTCTGAGGGTGGCGTGGAGGTGGGGAGCGTGAGCGTGCCCGACGGTGAGGGTCCTGAGTGCCAAGGTGAGAGTGGGAGACAGGGGCAAGGTTGGGACCTTGACGGTGCGATGTATGACGAGAGGACCTAAGTTGCTGTGACTGGACAGGTGGCACAAAGTCGTGAATGAAGGAGGCATTTTCCGGAGACTGGAAGGCAGGGAGGAGTGAAGCAAATGCCGGCGGTGAATGGAATGAGGTGGATATTCGCCGACGGTTGTGCGGGGGTGCACCATCTGGGGAACGGCTCGCTCTCCGTGGGCGGGCGATGGTGTCAGATAGCAACCGGGAGACGGACATGTCTGCAAGCGATCGGCCCCGATGAAATGCCACCGGACCATGGCCGGAGACAGCACTGGCCTGTCGGTCTGAGACCTGAGTTAGCAAGCACAGGATGCAACCAAGGACACAGATATCATACCCTCAGAATTCCCAGAGCGAGACGACGCAGCTGCAGCAGGGTACCTGGGTACAGAATTCAGGAGGTCTATAAAGCTATCAGTGAAGGCGTACCGTGCTCAGGCGAGAGTACGTACCTTGTATGCGCATGGAGACATTGCCCGCATGGGAAGTTCTCGGAGTGCTAGTTACTGCTGGGGAGAGCAAGCAACAGAGAGGGTTGACATCTCCATCAGGACCAGGCGAGGTCTGGGAGGGCAGTCGGCGGCGAGAGGCTGTGCGCAAAGTCGACGAGGCACCTGGCAACCGGATGGTTAGACGAGGAAGGTCCAGTCGCTCTGTCCGGCACCCGAACAGAGAATCCGTGTGCCCGAGGGAGTGAATGGGGTCGACCTCGCCCAATGAATCGGCCTCCAAGGCACCTGTGACCTGGGAGCGTGGGAGGGCTGGGGAGGAAGCAAACCGGTCCCGCTGTTCATCCTCCTCTGGTATGTTGTTAAGAGCTGCGGGGTCAAGCGTATAATGCGGAGCATTGGACCTAGACATAGCCCGTGTTACTCGGGTCCTCCCATGAAGTGGGATCAAAGGGTAGGCACGCTGCTTGCCCTTGCTGGGCCCCGCCTTGTTGGAGGAGAAGTTGGGAGAAGATGTGTGGGTTGGAATGGGTGAGCTGGCCATGGCTGTATGCGCGATGAAGAAGGAATGAAAAAGGCGATGTGCTCAAAGGTCCGGTGAGGCGTCGGGGAAGTCGTATAGAACCCGGGATGCGCGAAATAAAGAAATAAAACTTCTATGTACAACGAAGGACGCGCTCACAGGTGTGAGTGAGATGGATGTAAGGAAGAGAAAGGCAGCCAAACTGCACAGCCTTCGAAGCCGTCACAAAAACACATATTCGGCTTCTACCGATCGCCGAATCTTCGACGTAAGTACCTTTGAAGCTTTGCATACTTTAGTTCTGTTTAGCCGGTGGCGGCGTGACTGCTGGCCCCATTCTCAACTTCTGCCACCATGACTGCCACACCTCCCGCCAGCAAAGAGCTCAAGTACATGTTCGCGCATATCGAAAACGATAAACTAGTGCAAGACCCTGATGATACGACGTTCGACTATGGAGGTCCTGGAGATAATTTTGATTCCTTCATAGCTCCCATTCGAAAACAGCGACCTCAAATTCATCGCAAATGGGTGTTTCTAGTGCGTTGCTCAAGAAGATCTTTTCATGAACTCATTTCTCTGCATAGGTCCCTGAAACTCCGATCATGTATGCCCCTTCCACAACTCTCTGGGACCGTGTCGCAGAATGCCCGCCTGTCGAATACAAGACCGGATACTGGCATATTTGGGAGCCTGGCCCCGCTCCTGTTCCTGTTTTACCCAACGATTCCGCTTCCATATCCGTCTTTCTCGTTCCTGATTCCCAGTACGCACAGTTGAATGAGGAACGGGACAAGTTGACCAGTTTGCGGGTGAAGAACATCTTTCAACGTCCCCAGAAGGCTCCTTCCAAGGGTGCAACCGCCTCTACTTTTATCAATGACCACAAATCCAATCCCATCGCCATTGGGCGGCCAAAGCAGGACGACTTCTATCACGTCCCTATTTCCCTCTTCTATGCCGAATTTGCTCAATTCAAAGAAGATATTGTGTCCGGCACTCTTGATCAAGAATTGTCACCCCTCGCTTACAGGTGGTTAAAGGAACTCTCAGGCTTCATTGAAGACGAACAGGAGCGAGAGTCCAAGTTTCATGAGCTACTATCCGATTTACTCGACGGTTACGAGGTGGCGAGAAGGAAAATCGGCTCGTTTGAGACCGGCGGAGGCATTGATCCCAAGGATACGGATTTACCTGATCTGTTAGTTAAGCCCTTGCTTGTGGAGGTCAAGATAGAATTTACCCAAGGATCGTGTGACGCTGTCTTTGAGATTGTACTTTGTGATCAGGAAGGTGTCAGGCTCATACTTTCAAATGATAAATACAAGGGTGATTGGCGAAAGACAAGGATTCCCTCTATCCTCGTCATTCATAATGGTAGGTGACGGGCCTTTGCTTTTGTTTTGTCTGATTACAATATGACACAGGGCCCAATGTTCAGGCTCTAGGTGCCGTCTATTTGACCGATCAACACGTCGAAGTTCTCTCACCTTCGCTGCCGCTTTATTTCAGCGAGTACGATACCCGTTCTATGGAAAATCTTCTCAGATTTATGACAGCCCTCCGGAATCTCTTCCGCTCTCTTCTCAAGGTTTACGAAAAGCCAAACGACTACGCTATTGACTCTGATCAGGTCAGTTTCCCTTATCCTCGCTCATACCGGTCTTCCGGGACCACGGTTTGGTTCAACTACATCAAGCGAGTCAGCCAGATTCGCCTCGTATTCACCGCCCGTACTGAGGGTGATCAAGATATCATCGTCAAATTCGGATACGGGCCTTATGGAGTTGAGGCGCACCAGGCAGCAGCGGAATCTGGCTTTGCCCCAGCTCTGCTGAGCCATTCCAATCTTGCTGGTGGGTAGTGGATGGTAGTAATGGAGAACTTGGAAAGTGACTTTCAACCATGCAACAATTTTGACATCCTCGAGCCGCCTTGCAAGGATGCGATTACAGAGTGTGTGTCGAAGTTTCACACCATGGGTTTTGTTCATGGTGATTTGCGTGACACAAATGTGTTTGTGCGTCGAAAACAGGATGGATGGGAATGTCAGCTCATTGACTATGATTGGGCTGGGCGAGAAGGAGAGGTTGTGTACCCGATTGGAGTGTATAGCACTCACAGTGTTTGGCGACCCGAACTTCATCTGGACGGTCAGTTGATTACCTCTGAGCATGATAATTCAACGGTAAATGAATTTTTGAGACGACGCACTAAAATCATTCGTTTCTGATGTAATATTTCTTGGAATTGTACTGCATCCATACGATAGTCTCAGTTGGTGCTTCCACACTATGTTTCATTATTTGTTTGTTTTATGGAGGAACAACCCCCAGCATATACTATCTCTCCTGCCTGACAATCCCTTTCCAGCTAATTTTCTCGACCGGTTGCTGGATATCGATACAATCGGATCCTCACCTCAGGATATTGCTATCTCATGCAGCATATAGCTGTTGCCTTTACTCTCTCTACCAAGTACGTAGTGCCAGAAATATCTGGGTTTGTTGGCCCCAGGCAAAAATGTTTGAGTTCCTGTACTATACAAATGCGAGAAGGAGTGAATGTAAGACTGAAATCAATCCAGGTCCGTTAATGATACAAGTACATGGATAAAAACACAAATGCAGGAGGATGACGGTCAATACATGAATCGGAATGTAATAAGTGGGGGTGAAAATGACATATAGAAAGAGCGAGAAGATACTTGAATTAATCCAGAAACAAATGCGTAGAGAAGACCGGAGGACTGATGCAAAAGGAAAGTGCAAGAGAAAAATTTAGTGACTAATTACAAGAAGCAGATGCAGAAAACAAGAAGCTATCCTAGCTGCGAGTCGGAGACACACTTGGCTGTCGAAGCTGGGAAGTCGATAGCATTCAAGCTGATAGTCGATCGACTGCTGGGGCTGATAGAGTTCCTCCTGCTGAAAGTAGCTTCCAGGGACTAAGGAGGGATTGAGCTCGGGGAGTAGGTCCGTCATATAGTCAACGTCACCACCAGTGTTGACGTTATTGATCAGCGGGAAGTTCTGATCAGTAGAGCCAGAGAGGAAATCCATGGGGTTCGTGGATAAGTCGAATTGGTTCGAGTTAAAGGCGAACGGGTTGAATTCTGGAGCACTCGAGCCTGAGGCTATTGTGGTGGGATCAAAGTATTCGTTTGACAGCAAGGTATCAAAAGCCGCTTTGAACAACTCATCATCGGAGGTAGGGCTGTATACCGATGTCCCTAGGGATTGTTGCTGTTGTTGCGAAAATGTAGCAGCCATTGGAGTGGACTCGAGGGGGAACTGGTTTGTAGAAAATCAGTGAAAAATAGAGATGATTTGCAGAATAACCCACATTGTATACTTCGTAACCAGCAAGACTAGCTTGAGACTTCGAATCTAGGATCCAGGTGTCAGCTCCAGCGAAAGGCGGAGGGGCTCCGTTTGAATAAGGGGAGACCTCCCAACTTCCTGAGTCGAGAGAGGTGTTGAACGCGGCTATGCTGTTCACATGCCACTATTATAATCATGTGTTATGATATGTCATATGTAGTCGTATCTAGTCATTTACTATATGCGGATTCCTCTGTACTTCCTTATGTAATACTGTCATACAGTTATGTATATAAACAGGCCATATCCTGTACTGGAATCCAACTTGCTTCTCTCTTACTTTTATTGCCTCACTGAGACACTAAGCTCTACTACCAGGTATGGTGCTGGAGAGTGTTCCTACTATGCACCCCTTGCCTGCTCAACAGGTTATGGGCCCCGGATGAACACTTTGCTGAGCTCTAAGCTTGCAGCGCTCTCTGGTTTACTGTTGTCATTGACGCATCTATTTGATTGCTGTCTCTGACACAGACCTTTACCTGGCACGTCGCCTCTGGTGCTGAAGTCAATATCGCACTTAACAGTGCTGATTATGACATCGCCCAAGAGTGCTTGACATTGTAGATGACAGCTTGCTAGACATATGTCGCAGCTTGTCACTACTGGCAATGACATTCATGCCATTTTGTTTCCATCTGTTGTCTTGAGTGTTTATGAATTGCATGCTGACATTTTCTGTTGATTTTACCCAGATTACAATGTCCTCTGCACTGTTCACCGCTGTTACCACCACTTTTAAAGGTGATAACTACAACACCTGGACCCCTGAAATGGAGGCCTTTCTTCAAGCCACAGGGCTTGGATCAGCCATCACCTCTGACCCGCCTGTCGAGCCGTCTCCACTTGATACAGAAGACCTCGAAGGAATATGACGATGCACTCAAATCCTGGAAGGAGATTGATACCAAGGCTGTTGGCAACATCCGCCTCCGCCTTTCTCCGTCAATCCGCATCCTTGCTAAGGAGCTGTGGGAATTCTTGCAGAAAACCTACAAGGTCAAAGGTCTAGGCACAGTCTGTAACGACTTTGCTGCCGCCATGGCTGTCAAGGTCCCATACAAGGGAAACCCACTCACAGCTATGACTGACATTGGCATGTTCTTCTCCCGTATGGATGATGCTGACATTGGCATCCCTGCCCACCTCGAAGCTCTGATCCTTCTATCTAAGCTTCCATCACGCTATTCTGTCATTGTCGAGACTATGTCTCAACTCGGTACTGAGGAGCTCAAGAAATTGATGCTTACCAAAGTTCGTATCGCAGTTATGAACACTTTCAGTGGAGACACCATTGGCAACTCCCAACCGCAGAATGCAAACAAGTTTTTGAATGTTCATCACAAGGGAAACGATCCCAAGTTCTCCCAACGGTAGTAACCAGCAGCAAAAGGGACAGAATGGGAATGATGACTCCAACAAGAAGAAGCGTAAGCGTGGCAGTGGAAAGAACAAGAAGGCTAAGAAGAATGCAAACACTGCCCAAGCTGATGCAGACTCTATGATCTTCAGTCCGATTGGCAGTACTGTTGACTTTGGTCCGGTACGTACTGATCTTACTCCTTCTGTTCAGGATGTGCACAAGCACTCCATCCACCCTCCTCACAATCCTCCTCCTAATGCTACCTCCCTTCGTCTTCACAAGAAGACAAGGATGGCCATCAATCATGCTCGTAACATTGGCGTCCGTGCGACTGCCAAAGTCATTCGCACCCTTGAGCCAACTGGGCATATTTCGGAGTTGGACAGTGATGATGAACTTGATCCTCCGACAAAGTGCACTCGTGCAATGTCTCCTGTGGATGATGTTGAGAATGGCAGTAAGGCTTCTACGCCGCCTCCTCCATCTCCTCCTATGGACTTTGAAGTCCCAGGAACCGCCTCCTTTGATCCTGATGAGTTGATGAACTTCGACTTGGATCGTGAGATTTTGGCAATCACTGGATTCATGGACACCATGGGGTCAGTACCCTCCTCTGAGCTTGATCATACAAAATGTACTAACGCACCTTCATCGGTTGCAGTGGCGAAGACATGCAAGTCGGCGGCCTTTGAGCCTGATCTCTTGTCCCATTTGTATAATTACCATATCGATGCCAAGTATATATCCAATGAACATTTTTGTGTACATGACATTTCATACTCTGTGTGCAAGAAGTGTAAGGGTAAACAGAGAAATCAACCCAAATGGTGGATGAACGACTCTGGTTGTTCTGAACACACTACCTTTGACTTGAGTGACTTCATTGAGTATGAAGACCTTGAAGAAAAAGTGCTCATAGCAACTGCAACTACAACTGCCTACATTACTGGCGTTGGAACTGTCAAGTCCATGCCTCGGGCCTCCATTCCGCCGCTCGGTACTCCGAAGATCCACTCGTTATTGTAATCTCTTCTTATTGTTCTTTCTCGCTACACATACCCTTTTGTTCTAGTCTCTCTTTATTGTCTTTTACTCTATCCTGCAGGTACTACTCGTATAGCTCCTAGTAGTTAGTCTGGCGCTCCGCACCGCTGCGCCGTTCCGTAGATATAAATACTGCCTGTACACTACTGTAGTTCCTCAGTTTAATTATCGACTTAGATTCCCTCCTTAACTCTGTGCTCTTCTAAGTCTTCAGGCTCCCTGCCTTGAAGTACTACCTCTATAACCTTTGGACTTATAAGTTCTCTGGTTTGCTCCTCATCATCGGCGATACCGCCGCTCCGACTTGGCTGCTACTTAGCTCCTCTCTCTATACTCTCAATCTCCAGGGACTAACGGCGTAACGGCGGTGTTGTTAATAACTTCACTACTGTCCCACTCGTCTTCCGCACTTATGTCACGAAGCGGCAGAGGCGGAGTGACTAGCGGAGCAGGGAAGCGGAGTGACTAAGCAAGGCGATGAGGCGGAGCGACTAAGCAGAGCGGAGGCAAACTGGTCCCAGATAATGACAGAGATATATTGAGTATCGTAGTCATAGGTAACAATAAGTAAGCACATACCTGGTCCCAGATAATGACAGAGAGGTCAAGATGAGGGACCAGGCTGTGAGGGGTTGGCTTTATATACATAATCCGATCTGCGAGAAATGACGATGTAATACTGTACAGTTTAGGAACAAGGAAGGTGGCGGAAGCCAGTAGAAGGAGAAGGGTAACAGGTGGATCAGTAATCGATGATGGGGATCAGGTGGGTCAGTAATCGATGGGATTTGACAGTGATGTAATCGTACAAGTAAGGGCGTCGAGACGGTGAGAAAAGGAAAATGATAGGGGCTACATACTTCATGACATTACCCCCCTTCTTATGACCATTGCCCTCAATGGTCAAGGTTTTGCTGCTGTGGGGTGCTTCTTGTGGAAGGCACGAACAATTTTTGGAGCCCGGCTCAGGTTGGGCGCTGGTTCCCAGGAGTTATGCCCTGCGTCATATCCCTTCCACTTTACCAGGTATTCCAACCTCTTCCACCGGACCCGACTATCCAGGATTTCCTCTACTTCATACTCCGGTTCGTCTTCATCCTCTAGGTAGACCGGCTCTGGTGGTGGTGGTATTTCTCCATTGATAGTGTTACCTTTCCAGGGGTAGAGTTTGTCAACATGGAACACAGGATGAATGCGGTCAAGGGAGATAGGGAGGTCAAGGCGGTAGTCCAGGGGTCCAATCTTCTCCAAGATTCGGTAGGGTCCGAGCTGTCGATCTCCTAGCTTCTCGCTGGACAGTTGGAGGTTGATGTCTTCCGCACTGAGCCAGACAAAATCTCCGACTTTGAACTGGTGGGCTTTCCGTTTTCCTCGTTCGTATCCCTCTTTCTGCTGTTTTTTTCCTAAGTGCAAGGCGGCCCCTGCGTCCTGTCGGGCTTCTCGGAGTATCCGTATGCGGTCATCTACAGCTGGAATCCCACTGCGTTGTCCAACTGGGATGTTGAACAAGGGGAGATATCCGTAGGTTAGCTCAAATGGGGACATGCCTAATGCAGAATGGGTTCGTGAGTTGATTACGAATTCAGCCATTGGAAGGTGCTCTGCCCAGTCATCCTGCCGGCGACCTACATAGAGTCGAATGTATTTTTCTACTTCTTGGTTGGCGCGTTCAGTTTGACCATTAGACTGCGGGCGATACCCGGAAGTAAGATCTGATTTTATTCCCAGTCTGGCAAGTAGGGATCACATGAGTTTGGCTGCAAACTGAGGCCCACGGTCAGACTTGAAGTGAAGAGGGAGCCCATGAAGACGGAAGATTTCTTTGTAGTAGATGTCAGCAACCCCTTCTGCAGTGATGGAGCTGGTACATGGGAGGGCATGAATTTGTTTCCCATAGAGGTCTGTGCAGACTAGGACTGCGTCGTATCCTTGGGAGTTAGGTAGTTGCGTTATCAGGTCCACCCCTACCTCTTCCCATAGACCCAAGGGTACGTCTAATGGTTGAGTTACAGCTCATGGGTGTCTTTGGATTTTTTTGCGTGCGCACGTCTCGCATCCCTCTACGTACTTCTCCACAAAGGAGCGCAGTGTTGGCCACCAGAAATGGGTGCTAACTAGATCGAGTGTTCCGTGGAGCCCAGGGTGTCCGGCAGTGGGATGGTCATGGCATTGACGTAGTACTTCGGTGCGCAGATCATTGTCTGCTGGCACGTACACTCGTCCTCGGTAGTAGACCAGACCGTTGTCCTCCTCCCATTCGGCGATTCCATTGGCCAAGCGCTGTAGTCCGTGCTCTTTGACCGTTTTGAGACCTTCCAATACCTGTGCTTCCCGCTGTGAGGCCTTCCGGATGCGATCCTCTAAGGGTTTCCGTAGGATAGAAGCTGCAATTTTGGTGAAATGGTTGGGCTTAAGGACTGTCTGCTGTCGATTATCCTCATTGTCTAGTACCTGGTGCGCTGCCATACGGGAAAGAGCATCAGCCTGAGTGTTTATTCTACCAGGGCGGTGGATCATGTGGAAGTCAAACCGTGAAAGGTATAGAGCCCAGCGAGCTTGGCGGCGGGTGAGGTCTTGAGCTGTGCGCCAAAATTCGAGGTTAGAGTGATCAGTGATGATGTCAAATGGCTGGGGTAGTCCCTCCAGGAAGTTCCTCCAGTCCTTCAACGCTTCTATGATGGCTAGCATTTCCCGGTCGTAGATCTCATAGTTTCGTTCTGCTGGTTGCATAGAGGCTGATCTGAAGGCGACGGGGTGCCATTGGCCATCATCTTGCTTCTGCATGAGGGCACCGCCGGTAGCGAAGCCTGAAGCGT